TTGGCAGTCATTGGCGATGCTGAATATACCAGCATCGTCGTCATCGTCATCAACGATCTCGATTGCATCGACATCAGCATCCATCACGTCGACACCATTGTCGACGGGTGATGAGCAAGAACCAGATCGGTTTTTTTTCGAGCGAGTACACCGCCTCCTTAAACTAGAGTCACAATCTAAGAAGGCGGGAAAACGTGGATGGCGTAGGCCATTCACGAAGAACGGTGTATGCGTTGTCGACGCGTGCACCGAGTTGTTGATGGCGAATACCGCCATCGGCAAGAACTCACTCCAGCTCGTAAACGAGTGGACATACTCTCGAAGTATCTCTTCGAGGACGCGGTTGACGCGTTCCGTTTGACCATCTGTTTCGGGATGATCAGAAGTTGACATAGTCAAACGTGTTCTAGTGAACGGAACACGGATTGCCAGAACTCCACCGTGAAGCGGGGGTCGTATCGGACACGAGTTCATGGGGTAACCCGTGAAGTCGGAAGATAGTATCGATGAAGACACGAGCACAGCCCTGGGCTGCAATTGACTCTAGTACAGCAACAAAATGTACCATCTTGCTGAACCGATCAACATTCACAAGAATATTCGTATTCTTGTGGGCGTCTTTAGGAAACCCGAAGACGAAGTCCATCAGTACGGACTGCCAACACTCCGCCAGAATCGGAAGAGGCTGCAAGGGTGCCCAAGATAAAGGACTAGGCTTCACTCGTTGACAAACTTCGCAAGCGCGAATAAATTTGCGCACAAACTTATAGTGGCGGGGCCAGTAGAAGTCACGACTCACCGTGAGGTGAGTCTTTTCCCTACCGCGATGACCACTTGTTGGGGCATCGTGACACTCAAACATGATGCGCAATCGCAAATTATTATGAGCCGGAACGACGATACGAGGTGTGTCGCCGTCGACTGCTGTATAGTACAACAGTCCATCACGAACAGAATAACGTTCGGGTTGAAGAGCGGTGTTGAGACGTCAAGCTTTACAAAGCTTAATTGCACGGATTGGATTCGTAATCCATCGCTCGTAGAAGCGAATCATATCCTGCGTATGCTTTTCGCACGTCGTCGAGCAGATTCGACGACGGAACACTCACTGTTAGTGTTGCTACAGTGAGATCGGCCCTACTGTTGTGTTGAGCAGTCAGCTCAAAATCGGGCCGACGCGAAAGAGCATCAGCGATGACATTAAGTCGTCCTGGTTCATAATCGACGGAGAAGATGTACTCCGCGAAAGAAGACAGCCACATCGCGATTCGTTTTGAGATGTGTGGGCTGTTTACGGCCGTGCGTAACGACGCATGGTCGGTATAAACGATGAAGGGCCTATCTCCTAAGAGATATACCCGAAACTTAGCCAGTGCATGTTTTATGGCAAGTAGTTCCTTGTCATGCACCGAATGATTTTGCTCACCTGCTCGCAGCTGACGCGATTGATAAGAGACGACGTGCTCAACGCCGTCTGAGTTGCACTGCATTAACGCGCACCCGATTGCAAAATCGCTTGCGTCACATACCACATGGAATGGTCTATCCCGGTCTGAAATCGCCAACACAGGCGGTTGTACCAAGCTTTTATAGATACCTTTAAAAGAGTGCTGACACTCAACGCTCCATGACCACCTCTAGTTTTTCTTTAACAGACGAGAGAGATGTACGGTCTCGACATGGTTGCGCGAGTATTTGTGCAAGCACGCCGCCAAGCCAAGGATCTCTCGAAGTGCCTTGACGTCGACTGGCACAGGCCAGTCGCTAAATGCCTGGATCTTTTCCGGATCAGGGCGTACGCCATTTTTACCCACGATGCAGCCAAGAAGTGGTGTTTCGCTTACTTTGAAAACACACTTTTGAGGTTTGCAAACAACTCATGCTCTCGCATAATTGTAAGAACCTTCCGGACGTAAATTTCTATGAACCCCCACCCCCGTCTTTCCATCCATAGCCCGGCTATGGACGAAGACATCGTCAAAGTAACTCGGTGCGAAATCGCGCACCGATCGCAACAGATTCGTAACACATTTGTTAAACGTTGCGGGGGCGTTACTAAGCCCCTGTGGCATCACTAGCCACTCCCAGAGCATACCACTGAAGATGCTCACTGCTGTGTACGGTATATACATTTCAGGCATGAGGATCTGATAGAATCCATCCATCAGATCCATGGACGAAAAGATGGTGCTTTTTGCTGTACCATCAACGATGACGTCCTTCCTCGGTATCGGCGCTTGGAGCGGTACCGTTGCAGCGTTCAATTTTTTGAACGCGTGCACTATCCGCTAATATACTGTGGCCTTTCGGACGCATAAGGTCGAATATCTGTGTGGGGATGATAATTCCCTCACATGACCAGCCGCTAGACGATCGGCAAAGAATTTGTCGATCGCCGTGACCTGTCCACGAGGCAGTGGCCACTGCTTCATGACACAGTATTTCGAACCAGGTTTCAGTTAGATCTCATGCCGAGTGCCTTTGTCCTTGGTCAGCTCGCATGGCACGGATTCCGGGAAACATCCCTGAATTTGACTAAATCCTTACACAAAGGATTTGTCTTTAGAGACTTTTAAGATAGAGACGTGTATCGCTTAATCCGAGTCTTCTCTTTGAGGACAATCTCGTCCATCGATGAGCTACTGAGAACCTGCTCGTTCTCAGCAAACACTTGTGCCGACCGAATATCAGCGACGTACTCGTCCTCTGTGACGAGTACGCAGATCTGCTTGATCTTGTCACTACGCAGATATCACAAAAATCTTTTAGATTCTAGCGTTGACAACTTGACCACCTCCGAAGCTGACTTCGGGGGTAATCAGATCAAGTGTATAAGCGCCTACACTTGATCCGTCATTCACCAAGACAATCACTGTCTCGGTGAATTTCTGGGAAACCATACCCACAGGTGGTCGAAAATCCACACCATCAACCTAACTCTCTCTGGAGTTATTGCTCTCAGGAACGCCGGAATTTTCTTCCGTTACGTGTACTATCACGGTCACGTTCTCTTCGATCGACTCTCTTTCAGTCGATCGGGCTTGCTCTACGATCGACTCTCTGATAGTCGATCTCGCTTTAACGTGTTGTCCATCCTGAACAACACTAATCTCTCTTCTCGGATGCAGCTTGCTTGGTGTGCATCCGTGTTCCAGTCCACTCTGTCTATTCGAGTGGTGAATCTTTGGCGCAGCCTGTGTCTCTACACAGGTGCCGGAAGCTGGTTCCACAGTGCAGTGGCCTTCTACACTGTGATTTTGTGCAGTCATACTAACGACCGTACCACAAGTGAAGCCATCGCACTCAATCGTTGTACATCCACACGCTTGTTGGATGCTCCAAGATGTTCATCAGATGGCCATCCGATGAACAAACAACAGGCATCTTCACGGATCGATGCTGCCAGATAACTTACGGCTGGTATTTCTAAGCCATGGCAGACCCAGGATGACATCAAATGTTGCTGGTCTCTGCTTAGAGACTTCAACATACCACTGATGGCGAGTTCGCCCATGAGTACACTCACGCGGCCGACTACCTCCCACTCTGAGTCACTCAGATGGGAGTAGCCTTTACGTGTGACGTGAAAGCTGTCGTCTTCTACGTCCAACATGTTCATGTCGGATGGACACTAAGTAGTCGTTGGACGGACTACGAAGTGCTACCAGGTGTAACAGGCACCCTGTGTTCGAAGTGCCACGAAACTTCACGTACACTAGTACGTGCAGAGGAATTTTGTCTACTTAAACGACTCGTTTAAGTAAAAGTAAAAAGAGAACTGTATTTTAGTATAGTTAACCATCAATACAACCTTAATATTACCTAACTATATTAAACTACGTCGTCGTATGACGATACCCTGCTCACCACTCATTGCGCGCTTCTAGCAGCGATTGGTGGCAATCTATGGTTGATATGTCTTTTACCAACCAATCTTGGAGCAGCACATAAATATTATCCAGAAGGGGATAATATTCCTTCGATATTATCTATCTCGGATAATATTGGTAGAATATTGTCATGCTGGACAATATTCCTATTGACACCATTTGGTGTCAATTTCGTGCAACGGGCTACCCCGTTACAGTGACAGCATAGTGCACTGTGTCATGCTATAGATTGTTAAAGCGTTTTTGGCAATTCGACGTGTTCAAGGATCGCGGAGGAGGGATGGGCTGCAAAGTCGAATTACTTCGTGACGATAGCTTTGTCGAATTCTGTCATACGGATCTTCATACATAGGACTAAAGACGACTGCATTCGTCCGCCGTCTCCCGAGTACACCTTTTGCGCGCTTCATGCTTGGGTTTTTGAAAATCCAGCTAACCTCAGCGCCTCTAACACTAACATTATGCATGTTTTTAACTCGCAAGAAACTTCGTCGTTGTCGCTTCATACGCTCGAAGCTCCTGACCTACTACTCCAACGTAATCAATACGAAGTCTCTAAGCGCTATACAGTTCTATTGTTATAAACTCCGCATATCTCCTGTTGTACAACGGCCGGTACATTTGCATTGGCATTCATTCGCATTGCAATGTGATCATGGCTGGAGCGCGCTGCTCTAAACACACACGTGACCTACTCCAGAAAAGCGCATAGTATTGATCAGATGACTCTACAATACGATTGAGTCGCGCGGGTTCATCAACTCCAAGGTCCAGTTTGCAAATATAGACTTCCCCAATTTTTGTCGTCGTACCTGCTTGATGTACCGGAGTAACAAACAGACCCCCAAGCGACTGTCTGTCACGCACAAAAAAGGGTAAGGCTCATTTCGTAGCTCTCAGCCCCGATCAAGCGTGCTAGGTACGTTCACCATACTCAGTATGCAAACTATCCACTCAACATTAAAAAGAAGATTACCAATCGATCGCAGCGGCTGCAACGATCTCTTACAAACTCCAAGTCAACAGCAACTCGTAGCCTCCATCCACGTCAGTCTACAATTTGCGCCATCCCCCGCAAGTCGTTGTTTGAGACTAGATTCCCACTCGGTCATGGCGCAACATCTTCGCGTATGGAGGTCCCGCGCGGTTCCGTGGTGTTGCTCTTTTAGCGCAAAAGCTCGCTCGTTCCCCGCCACTCCTTCCCCCAATTTTCCAGGCGAGTACTTGCACGCTAAGATCGTGACATCTCAAGTACCGGGTCCCAAGTCGCAGCAGCGATTGGAGCGTCTCGCGACGCTCCAGAACACGGGCGCTGTCACCTTTTTCGCAGATTACGCCGCCAGTAAAGGCAATTACTTAGTGGATATTGATGGCAATCGCTTCCTCGATGTGTACGGACAGATCGCTTCTCTCCCCATTGGCTACAACCACCCTAAGATCCTCGACGCCATGAGCGACAAGACAAATCTGGCCATGCTGGCTCAGCGTCCATGTCTCGGCGTGTTTCCACCCGCCGATTGGGTGGACCGCATCGACAGGACGCTGCTAAAAGTGGCTCCAAAAGGACTTACGGACGTCAACACGCTCATGTGTGGCTCGTGCTCCAATGAAAATGCCTACAAGGCGGTGTTTATATGGTTCCAAACCAAGCTAAGGGGAGGGCGATCACCATCTGAGCGTGAGCTGGAGACGAGCATGATGCACCAATTGCCAGGGACACCAAACCTGAGCATCTTATCGTTCCAGGGAGGGTTTCATGGACGTCTCATGGGCTGTTTATCGACGACACATTCAAAGGCGATACATAAGGTGGACGTGCCAGCGTTTGACTGGCCAGTCGCGCCGTTTCCCAAGTTGAGATACCCTCGAGATGTCCATCAAGTAGCCAATGAAGCGGAGGAAGCGCGTTGCTTGGGTGAGGTCGAGAGGTTGCTTAAGTATAGTGCTGAGGTGACCAAGCCGGACGACATGCGCATTGCTGGAATGATCGTCGAGCCAATTCAAGCTGAAGGAGGAGACAACTACGCAAGTCCTGCGTTCTTTCGTCATCTCCGCGACATGGCTGCAGCTTATGATGTGGCGTTCATCGTGGACGAGGTCCAAACGGGTGGTGGTAGCACTGGCAAATTCTGGGCACATGAGCATTGGAAGCTCACGAACCCGCCTGACCTCGTCACTTTCAGCAAGAAGATGCAGACGGGAGGGTACTATGCGAAGGAAGCGTTTCGCGTCAAGGAAGGCTACCGCATCTTTAACACGTGGATGGGAGATCCCGCAAAGATGATTACTCTCGAGGCAGTTCTTGAGGTTGTTCTGGATGATAACCTATTGGAGAATGTCAACATCACAGGCGACTTTCTGAAGACCGGACTGAAAAATATTGCTGCCGAGTTTCCGGCTCTGGTGTCAAACGTGCGTGGCCAGGGCACCTACTTGGCGATTGACTTTCCGACCGAAGCTGTGCGCAATGAATTTGTGAGTCTAATGAAGACAAAGGGTGTCGTATCGGGTGGCTGTGGGGCCACGTCAGTTCGATTCCGGCCTGCATTGGTCTTCCAGCCGAAACATGCAGCAGAATACCTGGACAAGATGTACGAGGTGTGCAAAGATCTTGTACATACGTAGAAGATGGCAGTGCAACGAATAGTGGAGTTCCTGATGGCAAGTCAAGATGCTGATGCCCTCATCTGGTACGTACTGCTTGTATAATTTATGACTTGCACTCGTTATTGTAACAAACGAGCAGTCACGTCTTAGCGACCCCGCCGTCGAACGTTGAAGCTGTCACAGAACGTCACAAAGAATTCCAATCATACTTTGACCAGGTCGTAAGCAGGATAAACTGATACAACAGAGTCATTGCTGGTCACGAGCACGCGTGCTGGTTTCTATTAGACATCAAACTGGTTGTTTACGTCCATGTATCAGCACGATGACAACAGTGAAGAATGTGCAGCGCGAAGGCAGTGAGGATTATACAGCGTGAAGGCTATGTTGTAACATTCGACGCTTACAGTTTAGTTTAGTAGCTGAGCATCTACGGCGACAAGTGCACCGTCACATCATGGGCGATCGCAGCATGTTTACAATCTGATTCTCTGGAGGACTTCGGTGTGTCAACCTTAAACAACTTTGATCTGTTTAGTACAACGCAGCATTTGGATTCGGGCACTCACCTCTCGGCGGATGATATTCGTTCGAGCAGCGCTCAGCAAGGCATGACGACGGAGCTGTTGTCGTCGTTCTTCGGAGACTCACTCCATCACCCCCATACTCTATGAGCTTGGATGCCGGTGCTCTTCGATCAAGGGGGGATGCGTACTTTTCTATCAGGAAACACACACCTCGATGATGAGTCGAAAGCAAGATATCCCATGCAAGTCGGAATGGCCGGACTGCTACTCAATAACATCGACGGCACCAGTATGCTTGTGGCGCTGAACTTAGGAAGTCATGCACAATAAAAAACTTGGTAGGTGTGCATCCACGCAGAAGAAAAGTTTGAACAAAGCAGGCTGAAGCAGTCGGGCTTTCTTCGTTGCCTTCGTCTTTGAGCGTGTGCATACATGAAGCCAAGCCCTCTACTTCTCAACAATATCGAGTCCGTTCGACTGCAGCTTCGTCTGCAGTTTATTGAGTAAAGATTTGTCGGCATTTCGATGCACTCGAAGATCTGCGCAAGAGCGATCTGCGTTGACTTGCTCAAAACTGCGCGACAATGGAATTGCGGTAAACTCAACTGACTCGAGCTCCGCAATTGTACCAAAGGCAATTTAAGTAGCGCCACGGCTAGAACTTGAGCAATGCATGGTCTTCAAAGACCTCCTCGAGCCAGACGCGTGACTGACCCAGGATAAAGACCGCACCAACTAAGCGGCATCCCCTAGGGACAATGCCGCGATAGAATCGTGACAAACCTCCTTCGCGGTAGATACGAATAGCTGTGGCGAAAGTGCTAGGGGCCTGATCAGACGCCACCATCATGGCTTCACCCTGCATGACAGTCTTGACCGTGTCCACAGGCTGCGTGGCCACCACAGTAAGGAGACCGGCAGCAACGCATCCGACGAGCGAGGCCGACGTCTTCTGCGACTTGGTAGCGGTGTCCACATGACCGAACGTCGATGGACTAAGCGTGTGCATCCTGTGCGTCAACACTGGGCCTAGCGCCAAGTATCCCGCACACCACGTGGCGTCTCGTATGGCCGTGGCAGTCACACCCCTAAGCAGTCGCACGACCCCGTGCGTCCGTGCCACCTCCTTGACAGTAGCGCCAAAGCTCTTGCCATTGTTTTGCTGCAGCGTCATGACGAGCTCCGCGGATGCGCTGAGCGGCGCCGACGAGATACCTGACAACGTGCCACAGAGCAACTTGGCCGAGTCCGAAGGCGCTCCTGTCTCTTCTGTTGAGTCACGCAGCAGACGGCCGTTGACTGCGAACTGCAGCGCGCTTACCGGCGCAATTGATACAAGCGAGACGCCAACGCCACGATAGAGCGCCAATGGGGACCAGTGGATGGGGCGGCCTTGCTGTACTGCGTTCTTCATGGCTACCGTTGGCTGCTGCAGTACCACTTCGATCATGCCGGCAAGAGAGCCCACGGCGCCATTCTGCAGACTGGAAAGTCGTCCTGCTCGCTCCGACATGAACGAGGACGGTGTCAAGAAAGCGGAAGGTGACGTCGATTGGTGATAGAGAGCTTAAATGGTGGTGCTAGGAGGTGCATGGGGATGCTGCTGGGGATGGCTCGCAATCATTTGATTGGGAGCCGGATCTATTCGGTTTCGTGAACATTGTAGCCTGCTTCTGTGGTAACTTTGTATACACCGACATCTCTGGAAGACTCTAAATGTATTCGAGGCAATAGTTAGGCAATCTATTTATCTAGTGGGAGGCGAGAAGCACCCGCTCCCTCGCAATCAATATCCACCCCCTCATGTTTACGATGCTCTGATTAGTCATTAAATAGGGATGTGCTGTACATTTCAATTCCTGATTGGACAAACGCGGAATGAAACGAACACCTTTCCACCGACAGCAGGTTCCATACAAACATTCACCTTTCTCTTGCGACTATCCTTTTATCCACAACTTCTTTAAAATGAACGCCCTGACCCCCTGAAACTGGCAAATGCTTCTCTTGCTGAAGCTCTAGCTTATAACAGAGGACAATGCAACGTCACAGAGATGTGTTTTTGCTACGAATCGTACGAAGAGGGTTGGCGGAAAGAAGGAAGGTGACGTCAAGGTAGTATACTATCAGTGCTCACAATTAATTGCGCCTGTTGTGCGCAGTGGCCAAGATGAGCGTACGAGGCCAGGCCGAAACAACGCCAACAAATCATGTTTATATAACCAGAAGAGAATGATACCCAGACACACAAGCTTAGCGAAGGGGCCGGCAATTTAGTTTACCGTTCATTGATATTTTCATTTGAAATTGTTGTTGCGTCAAGTCGTGTAAAACAAATTGAGTTTTTAATACTTAAATCACAATTTGATTCAGGAGACAGCAGACGATTGGCTAGGAGTCCAATTGCCACCGCTGTAGTCCCAGTAAGTCATTATCGCGTAATTCCTGGCATCTACCTCGTATTCGACTTGTTCTGCTCTTCGGGTCGGGTCTTGTTATCTTCATCTTGCTCAAATTTGTTACAGATCCACTGGACAAAGAGCATCTGGTCATGTCGAGTATACATTACCGGTACTGGATCTCAACAAGATCATTACGGTCTTGAGGGAGTTATGTAGGAAAATCCGTGTGTGGTTGATCTTATGCACTTGTGTGCGAAGAGGTAGAAGTGAATATATCTAAGTGTTAACTTCGTGCGCATGACACTATAAAAACATGCACTGAAACTTGACCATGACATGATTGCGTCCGTCTTTCCTCTCTCTTGCAAGCCGTCGCCATGTCGTCCAACGGTCATATCGCTACCTCGTCCCGCCACCTGGTCCCTTACCATCCTGTTACGACACCTGTTACTGTCGCCGCCTCGTCGCACCATCTGTCACCTTTGTAGCCTCGTCTTACCACTTCTGTCAAGATGTTTGTGGACTCGACCAATCAGGTGTCACCGTCACATGTTATATCCGTTGAACCTGTAACATAGCGATGACTCAACGAGACGTTTTTAAACAGACATTTCTAACAAGTTATCTTCGTGGGACCTGGAATAAGCTAAATGCCGGGCTAATGATTTAGTTTACCAATCAACAATATTGCAGGGATTGCTCGTTTCATTTCTTTTTATTGACAATCAGAGCATTTATGGTTGAGGAGTTAATGTTTTACGCCTCCCATACGATAAATGGGTAGTCTAAATGCTGAATACTGCGCCTGGGTGTATTAATAGTTTCTCTTCATGTTTAGCTAAACACGTCTACGTACTTTAACGACTTTCCTTTTAACTGAAAGTAAAAAAGGGGGTGTCTAGGCGTACACTTTCTAGTAACTGCGCGCACCCCTCACCCCGTGTGTAATCGTCTAATCGTTCTGTGTACCCTCTCGTTTTGAATAAAATGAGGATCGTTTTTCTCTCGCGCTGACCAGCAACCGAGAGTTAGCGTGCGGAAGAAGCCACAAGGGATCAACACTCTCTTTTCCACTGTGTTAGAGGCACAGCATGAACAGCGAGGACGCGGCCACGCGCGCAGCCAAGCGCAAGCACGCCACCTCGGGCGGCCGCAAGCTGCTGCGCTGGGACGCCGCGCGCTGGCAGCTGTTCGAGCGCACGCTGCCGTACACGACGCACCTTAAGAGCGCGCCGCGCGTTTCGCTCGCGTCTTTGTACGTGAGATGCTGTTCGTCTGCGGCGTGGCCCGTGCTTGCGCTCTCATGTGTCTCGATTTTTCTGTGCTGTTGTTTATTAGCTAAAAGATTCATTTTTCCGGTCGAAAGAGTCACGCGTTGTCGGTGGTGATGAAGCAACCGACTGTCGGCACGCGCTCGGGGTTTAAAGTGAATCTGGGGCTCGTGATTGACGCGACAGGCAGCAACACGTGTCTGCACGATGTCAAGTGGTTGCGTTGTGCTGTGGGGGTGATGGTGAGGAAATGGGAGGTATTGACTGGACAATTGTATGGGCTGGTTGGGAGTAGGACGGATTAGATGTTCAGTATGTCAATCTGAAGGTTTAAGGGAGCGGAGGTAGGACCTCTTTCTAAAATGGTTTGGCATGGTAGGCTGTGGGCGTTACGTGTGAATGGTGTCACTGGGTGATTGTATGTGGTTCCGAAGGTGCACGACAACAGATTGGCACAAGCATTATGCAAAACGCTATTCGGCCACTTGAAGGGTGATGTAAAGGAAATGGATATGGCTATTTTTTGGGGTGGATGGCTAAAACTTTGTGGGATTTCTCGTTGTGCGGTGAGTGATGACAGTGTTGGCGCTGAATGGACATACTCATTGGGTGAAATTGTGGTACTGATAGCTTTTTGGTCGAACATTGCGGCCTGAATCTCGACGCTGCGGTTGGAGGGTTTGCAGTCTCGACTTCGCCTGGTATCTATATGAGGCATTACCTGACGGTGCGTGGGTGTTTGGGCTATGTGGGAGGGCCGGCTGACATGATACTAAATTGTGCTGTTTCTGTCTTTTCTATCGTAACACACTCCGGAAGCGCGAGAGCGAATTAACCACTGTCTTTGAGGTTGTAACGGACCACGGTGTCATTTACGCCCCTTTGGATGCTCCGTATAATCTTGGCGGCTTCGAGTGTGAGGAGCCATTTTTTTATTTCGTTGCTAGCGAAGGCAGCGGCATCCCTGGTGAAGATGGAAGCATTTCAGAGCAGCGACTGGTTCAGTACATTAAATATACCTCGAGATGACTGAGTTTAGCGCTGCGCAACGTCAATTTTCAGCCACGAAATGGGAAAAGAGCTAAGCACTTTAAAGAGGATTTTTTTCCCGAAAGGTGCGTATTTAGCTGTCATGCCGTGTATTGCACACGAGCCAGCATGACGTGTGGTGCATTTGGATTGCTACGCCCCCTCATAACTGCGCGCACACCCCCTGCACGTGACGCGACGAAATTTAAGTCCTCACGTTACACATTTAAAGGTGATTGCAACCTGACGGGGAAAAGCATATTCGCGTTCCGGATGTAAACTACACATTGTAAAATTTACTCAATGCACATGTATTATATACTCTGCTAGCTGTTTGCTGTCTCAAGAGAGGACAATTGCGCCTGTCATGTCCTTCCTCTCGAAAATCTGGATTTCCGAATCTTCACAGAGCTCGCTCTCTAGATTCCACTAACTCAAAAGCAGAAGGATTACGCCTTGTGCTACTCCCCGCCACCGCACCCACAGGTCTGCCTCTAGTCCGCACTACCACAGGATTTTGCACTGGTGTGAGCGGCTGTTGGGAGAGCTCTACAATTTGTTCCTCCGAAGACGTTGCTGGTGTGGGGGAGAGTTTTTTGCTGAGATTGCAGCTGTGTCAGTACATCTGCAAAATTTGTCATCGCATCTGCAGAGGTATTACTGTCATTGCACTCAGGCTCCTGAGGTTTTACAAGCCACCAGTGCCTATGGAAATGGTGGGCCCCCAACGAAAAATTGATGCCATTTAAACGGTTGAGTTCGTGGAGCAAGGAAGACCCATCGTACTTCGAAAGATGATGGAGCAGATGGAGTCGCCAGCCAGGTGTTTAGCTTTCTGGAACTGTTCATACACCTTGCTCAAAGCATAGTGTGATATCTTCCGCTTGACAATCTTACAAATGTTGTGAGAGAAGGCAAACATGGAATGCGTCTTGTTGTAGATAATCTGTTGACGGATGTGATATTCTAGATAGTCGATCGATAGGGGGATCTTCTCGTACACATCTTTGAGATCTCATGGAGAGACACCGATCCATCCTTTTATCTAAGAATGTTTGCCTTCAGCGCGAGATGTAACCAAGTGACCAAGATGCAAGACCAGCTTGATGGATGCGGTGACAAACTTTTCCTTGTTTACGTCCATGTGCTCCTCAGGTATTCCACGTTCTGTCCGTACTCGCAGTAGGAGATTTGCAGATCTCTTCAATCAGCGATAAACGTCTCCACATCTATCGAAGCTGCCAGAAGGTGCTAGTCTGCCAGGAATCGTTCCCACCCTTCATTGGTTCGTAAATGTTTCTTCAGGTTGGCGACAGTGTTCTTTTCGATGCGCCATATGCAGAGAAGATTGAAAGCATCTCCGAGAATGATCAAAATTGCTGACATTAAGGCCAGATCTCGATCAGTAACCACCACCTCAGGCAGGCGGTTTAATAGAAACACCTCTTTTACGCGTATCAAAGCCAAACATAGTCCACTTCTGTATCTCCGCTCATAAAGCAAAAGCATATGGAAAATGTAGTATTGGTACTGGTCAAGCCGACAACGTAAAGGGGTGGGAGCTTGAACAAATGTTGTGTTAGAGACTTGCATAATGCAGACTGCAAGGTGTGAAGCTCATCATCTGTTGGTCTTGTGCGTAGAGTCCGTTAATACAACGTCGGGAAACTCTCTGGCTTGATCAACAGCACTTGGCGTAGCGAAGAAGAGGTGTGTGATTAGACCCTCATCGTCTTTTGCATAGTCATGCAGGACCTCTTTTTCCTGCAGCTCGTCTTGCAGGGCCTCCAGAGGTGTACGGCCGTTTAAATATTCTTGTAGAAGCCGGGCTTTGGCTTTGGAGATGTCTTTGCTGGTGAAGCTTATTTGCGGATCTTGTTGCCGTAAGGTCGTAAGGATAACTTTGGGGGCTGCACCGGCCTTGGACATCTGTTGCATGACCTGTCGCGCTTAATCTATGACTTTACGTACGCTGAGAAAGCCTGACATATCGGCTGTTGCCTCATGGTTGTGAGAACCCTCCTCTACCTTGACCCGCCACATCCATCCCTCTGCGGTCAATTCTCTTTTGATAGTGACGCTCCAGGGGCATTCAATGCATCTGCTGATGGTCTTTCTCTTTCGATTTCAATTTAGTGAGATATTCGCGACGGTTCCTGTACTCTAGGCCGTGCGAGCAATGGAGCCAGACCTTGCGTGTTTCACCGCTTTTGGAGGGTTTTGAGCGAGTCCGTCCCCCCACAGCGTAGCCTTGGTCAAGTACCGCTACTGCCAACTGAGCATCATCAAGAGAAGAATCATTATGCTCGGTAGGTGGTGCTAGCATTGCCGGAAGAGCAAGGAACAGAGAGATAATAGAATTGAATAAGGGATAGCTAGTATTTAGTGGTAGAAAAAAATTCGACGTCACGGGGGGGGGCGTAGTTATAAGGGGGTGTACGCCTAGGCGGTCCCTGAAAAATACAGTATAATGTATAAGGGAAAGCTCGGGAGCACGCTCTTTGGTACAGTACTCCGGCTTGGGAAACTGAATCAAGACGAAACACACACTGCAACGAGTATGATGTTGTGAACGTATGCAATGACCTAAAATAGCATCACCAGACAACGTGATCACCCTTTGCTTTTATGCGTCCAGCATTTGCTGAAAGAACATTTAAAAAATCATTTTTATCACGAAATAATTAAGGGAATTGATACATTCACACCACTTTATCTTTGGTTTACATTCTTCCTGTCATATGCGAATATTACATCCCCATCACTTATATTTTTCTCGTTGTAATTTTATCCGTCTATGTGTTTAACTGGATGAACACATGATAGACATATATCAACCACGCCTTTCTTAGTCGATAGGTACATTACGAAATTGTTTGTTGTATCGGAAACATGCTGCTGCAGCGTTGACAGGACCTTCCAAAATTTATAGAGAAGTTCGAGACAAGACTCTTTCACTAATTTGTATTTGTACTGCCGCATCTTACAAATCTGTCAGCATTCTCGAGATTCGCACCTATTCGCCTTCAGCTGTACACGTAACCACCAAAAATTTGAAATAAAAAATGTCCGATGTTCTTTTTACACCCGTTCTGTCTCGAATTGTTTTCATGTTGGTCAAAAGATATAGTCGTGCTTTTGTTCGGCCCGATCTGATCCGAGAGCTGCAAATATGATCACGATAACGTAGTGAGCGGTAGTAAATATATAAATCACTTCTGTGTGGCCGCTTAATACATTCGAACCATGGCTTTACATCCTGAAGAATTGCGTTTTTAATTCAGTAGCGTTCACATACTTTTACGGAAGGCGATAAAAAGAAGGTTTAAAGGACGTTACAAGAGCTTATCAGGAGAATCAGAAGTAAGTTTTTGTATGATGATGAAAATTTGTGGGTATGATATTAATGGATTTGAGTGCCGTAGTTTTGTAATTTAGTAAGCACTACCTTTAGTCGACCACACGAAGCTGACGACAACAATGATATTGTTTCACGTCCTAATGACTACGTATCACACATTCCATGAGCAGGAAATCATTTATTTCAGGTTAAGTACTTCATTTGTGTACTAACACGATCACGAGATTCATCTCACATTGGTCCGTAATGTGCGCCCCATTAGCGAATCCAAGCTACGACACAAGGAGGGCGTTAAATGGAGAAAATCATATAATCAGCACCTCACTGCGAGCCCGTAGGGTGAAACTAGTTTCAACTGTGCGTAAGGTGCATGACGACCATGTTTAGAGTGTACTTATGATTCGGTCTTTCTGTCTGTCCGACTTTCCGTCTGTCCGTCTGTCCGACTGTTCGTCTGTCTGTCTGTAAATAACGCCATGTACCGTAGGTGTGTATAAAGCGCGATTATATCTTTTACCGCCATTGCATTTGAATAACGGTAGGTACACTTTACACGTTGTACGAAGTGCGATGTAGCCTGACCCCTCCTTCGTATGTATCAATAATATGTGCTAGGTGTACCAATAATATCCTTTTAAGTGCGATTCAGCTTGTCGACTCCTTTTCATGTGTCTGCAAATAAACGCGAGGTAGATCTTACACGTCGTACTAAGTACGGTGCTATCATTTATCCTCTATTCATTTATAAAAGGCATTGGATTGAACCTGGAGGGCGAAGCTATTAATAACTAAGCGCAAGGTTCGCGAATACACACAGCTTTATTCAATTAAATATGGTATGAATTGCTTGTTTCAATGCGAGCTTGATCCCATATCTTATTGGTCCATGTATAGGTAGGGTTTACATGCAAAGGGTAATAAAGGGTTTGGCAAAAAGGATTAGAATTATAGATTTTTTTTAAAAAGAGTGTGGATGTTTGGTCGAACTAATTTTTTATAAAGAAATAGGAGTTGGATAATATCAGCGCTTAAAAATGTCCTAGGATGTTGATATCCAACAAATCCCTAGGTACGACGTACCTATACAGTAAAATGACCCGATGATTAGAACAAATAAAAAAATTACGTCTTGGTATGATCATGTTCACGTCGCGCACACAAATCTTCACGTCTTCAAATACTTTTTGATACAGAAGAACCTATCATTGCGAATCTCTATCAGCTAATAAATCTTTAGGTGATGACAAAATCTTGTCCCGGCCGTAAGCAAGAGAGATCAGCTTACAATTTATCTTTGCTATGCTAAATGAGATTTAGCGGAGCTTAGGTTGCGAGTGTTATTAATCCTTATAAAAATGTGGCTTCTTGCTTAAAAATGAATGTGTGAGCTCTATTAAACATTTCTTACATTCCAATTTTGGCCACCGCATTCTGCAGCTTGTACACCATTGTTAGATACTTTAATTAACTGCCAGCTTATCGAAGAATAAAAAGATCGAGGCCTTTCAAATTGGATTTGCCACACGCAGCCTGATTAGCGCCCGGCTCTCTGCTGTCAGCATCTTTTCTACTTCAACATTGTCCTTTTACTCTTTTAAAGGGCAAATATGGGTAAAAATTGCATCTCCCGTCGGTAAATCCGTGACAGTATTTTTTACTGAGGTATCTAAAAAATCTCAAAAAACCATAGTTAGTCGTAGCGTGGCTCATGTTCACCAGTTCGACAATGCTGTCTTCATCAGGCTCACCATCTATTTTGTGATTTGTGGTGCATCGACCGCTGGTTTGCAAAGAATTTTTTTTATTGTACGAAGTTTGACTTAAAAAAGGGCTTGCCATAACCAGTAACTGAATGTCTTGAAGGTAAAAGTATCTTGTCTAGTTTTCTTACACCAGCTTCGATAGCATCAAATAGCTTCTGATTGAATAAGCGCCGATAGTGTGACTTTAAATACGACTTATGCTGGCATCACACGGATGGGAATCGCGGTCATGTTTGAAAAGATAATGGAACTTAATATTTTTTTGTGGTAGCAGGTCATCGAATAGGGTATGTGGAGAACAGCTTCCCATCATCAGAAGAGCCACGGCAACAAGCGACAAGATCGAGCGGAACACACGGCCGTTGTAGCGCCTCCCATAGCAGGTCGTGTGGCACGCTACCAAAAGCGTTGTCAAGGTCGTACCACACGACATGCAATTCTTGATACTTGTGCCGGGCTTCGTCGACGACCATGGCTGCAAGAAAGTTGTGTTCCCCGCAGCCTTTCATAGCTCGAAAGCCCTTCTGCGCTTCAGCGTGGCGGACATTGACGTCGAGCCAGCGCGCAAAGCCAGGCGACAAGACACCAGCGTACAACTTGCAGATGGCCTGCTGCAAGCAGATCGGCCGCCAGTTCGATGGGTGGAGCCGATCGCCCTTCTCTTGCAGCAGGCGCACCACGCCAACCTTCCAGCTCTGCGGCACACGCTTGGACTGCCAGTAGCGCGCAAACGCTGCATGCAGAGCGGGCAGAAGCTGGGCCGTGAACAGTTTAAAGATGTCGTAGCCGACACCGTCAACGCCGGGGCTTGAACTGCCACGTCCACGCTGCACTTAGTCCTCGATCTCATGTGACGACGGCGCATCCTTGAGCAGCGCCATGTCAACGGTCGCTGGAGGCAGGCGGTCCATGGCCTTGCAGAGTGAGGCTCCGACTGGCGCCATGGGGTTGTAAATACCGACCGGGGTGTTGATAGCCGTGAAGAAATGGTGCAGGCGCTCCCCTGAAATGTGGCAGATGCCTTCGTCCACGTCCACTCAGTCCAGCGGAGGTGCAGTGGTAGCGGATGACGTAGCTGCAGCCTCATCTGCCTCGCGCTTGGACCGAGCCGTCGCCAGGATGCTCTTAACACACACCTTCTCATCGGTGTCGAAGAGGTGGTGGAGGCGTTGTTGCTCTAGGGAGGAGTTGATCCTCCCCACACGGCGACGGGCCTTGGCCACAACCTTGCGGTTGCCCGGCTCGCTGCGCTGGACAGCATGCATGGCGTCCAGAGCCTCGTCAAGCCGGTGCTCACGGTGATGACGTGTCACACGGGGCGGACGCGTGAGCCGGCACCCCTTGCCACCACCAGAGCGACCGCGGCGACGACGCGAACGACTGACACCTTGGTGCTGACCGTCTTGCGGAACTGCCTGCTCTTTACATTGGTGTGGCTCCTGTCTTCTGTCAGGATGCACGTCTTGCTGGTGCTGCTGTGGGCGCTGCGGACGAGGTTAGACGAGGTGCTGTGTCCGGGAGTAAGGCTACAGTTGATCGTACAGTGCACAAGGGAGGACTGTAATATAGCCCTCTGCCTCCTCCCAGTCATATGCTTCTGTTGTCTTGGCATCTAGCTTGCAGCTCGCCGCTTAACTAACTTGAACAACCTCTTGCTCGTCGTCATCCAATGGCGCGAAGGCGCAGTCGCGACCGGCGCTGGGGCACTGCATCAGGTCTTACAGTCATCGCTGTATACACCTCACCATCATCGATGTCCCCCATGTCATCATCATCGGCGGGGCTTGGGGAATCACCAGTGCCCACCGCGACATGCGGTGTGGCAGGCGGAGATGCAGCTGCGGATACAGGGGCCGTTGTGGAGGTGGATGTGCATCCATGTCCATCGGTATGCACCCACACTCCAACTCGGTCGCGAGGCGGTCAAGAGCGGCGTTGGCAAGGCGGTCGGCATGACCATTCGCCTGCCTGTCGATGGGATGAAGCGTTGCCCGCTCCATCCGCTCCAGCTCTGCCTTGACTGCGAGTCGCAGGTGACTCAGCTGCTTGCTGCGTGTGGCGAAGATACCACGCACCTGCTGGATGACCAGGGTGATGTCACCCTCGATCCGCAGGCGCGTGACACCTTGGTCGGCGGCAGCCCGTGTGCCGAGCAGCAGCGCTGTATATTCAGCGGTGTTGTTAATCTCGCTGCTGCTCGGCATGTAGTGGGAGCATGTCCACACTACAGGGCCGCTGGGTTTGAACAACGCAGCGCCGGCTCCGCCTGGGCCAGGGTTCTTGCGGCAGGCACCCTCAAAGCGCAGCAGCCACGCGCCGTCCATGTCGGGGTCTTCGGTGACGTTCTCGTCGTCGCCGTCACCAGCCTTGGTCTCCTCCTCCTCCGTTAGCTCTGGCAGGAGGAGACGGTCAGCAATCCTTGACACCACCACGCTGCGAGGCAGTGGTGGTCCCCAGCGAGGAGCGGTGTGTCACCGAGGCGAGACGCAACGCGAGAAGCGACCAGCTGCCGTGGGAGAGGTGGGCTCCATCTTGACCTGTCAGGCGTGGTGCTCGACTGCGGAGGGGACACAGCGAGCACCGGAGGGTCTTGGCGGGGCAGCACGGGTTCGGTGTCGGCCACCGTAGCGGTGGCATTGACTGCACCAGCAGTGGGGCTGAGACCACCTGCTGCTGATGCAGTCGCGGCCGAAGTGTCGCGGAGGCTGGCACATGCGCGAGCGTATTAGCTGCAGACAGCCTCGACACGAAAGGAGTGCCGCATGCACAACCTGCCGAGAAGCGGTCAAGGAAGGTGATGCGTCAGTGCTGTGAATCATGGTGTCGTTTGAGCGAGGCAAATCTTGAGGCCGTGTATTCACAAAGCGTGCACGTGAAGCGCTGCGCGTTGTGTGCATACACGGCCAGGGCTGAAGCCGGAAGTGCGCTGGCCGTGGATGGCCAAAGCGCTTAGTTCATAGGGCCGGCCTCAACGTCTTCGAGCATCAGTTGCTCAGCTTGCTCGCGCGGGTCGTCGTCGCCGTCATCGCTAAAGCGGCGACGCTTGCCGCCGAGACGGAGAACGAGAGGGGGAGACGGCGGAGCGCGCTTGCTGCCTGCCACGTCGCGCACTGGTTAACCTCCATAGGGACGGCAGCAGTCGTGGCAGGAGTCTGTGCATCACCCGCGGGCAAGAGGCTACCCTCCCTGCCGGGTGTGCCATCACTAACTTAAGGGCAGGGCCCAGCAGACAACTCGTTGCCGCAAGGCATCGGGGCGTCGCACCCGGATCGGTCGGGCAGTATGGGTGTCTGCCAGTCGAGCCGGTCGTCAAAGGTACGTGGGACATAGACAAAGTCACAAACAATTGCTGCGGTGGAAATGTCCTCGCTGGGAGTAGCGTGCATGCCCACAGGAGCGGCTGTGGCCACTGCAGTGTATCCAGCTCAGGCGGGCAGCTCCAAAGCTACCTGGTCGAGCCGGTCGTAATCACTTGGGCGGGCGGTGGCAGCGTCATGGTCCATCGAGGAGGTGTCTTGGTCGTCCCCATCTCTGCTTCTGTCGTCCTCGGGGTCGCTGGGGCCATTGGAGGCACCTAGGGCGCTAGCTGTTGCGGCTGCAAGTGCTGAACCATGATCAACCCGGTCGGGCTGCATGCCTGCTGCTCTGCCGGGTCGAGAATCAACAGGCGCGGGGTCTTGGGTAACAATGGAGGCTTGTAGGGCGAGCAAGAGGGCGGGGGAGCCGTCGCGCACGCTTGTTTACCCGATGGCTGCCTGTGAGCACCCAAGGAGCTGTCGCTTTGTAGGTCCTGCATGTCTTGAATCGATACCCGGTCGTGCAGCATAACGCCCACCCTGCCAAGTATGCCACCAATCGCTCTGCAGTCTTGAAAGACCGCGGCGGGCGGGCGGGCACGCGGAAAGTGCACGAAGCCAATAGGCGCGCGGAGGAGGCGTGTGCTGCACTCGAGGCCACTGCAGGGCCGGCGGAGACGAAGCCAGATTTGGCCGAGAAGTCCTGCGCGTTGTCCCGATCGTTTTCGTTAACATCGGCGACCCCGATACTGAAACCAAGTATAGTACCGAAGGCACCTTCGCTGGTACCGACAAAGGGTCGCCGGGCCTCTTATCGGTCTTTGATGGCACCCAAAACCGGGGCGGGAGACCGGGGGCCTTGCGCGCGACAGAGACCTCTGCGCACGCGGAAACTTGGCAGGCACTAGGCGATGCGGGTTCCAAACCCGTGCCCGAAGATGCGGCGCCTAACTCCGCGTCATCGCCGCAAGGCGATGGCGCGCATAGACGCAGTCGGGGCCCGTTTTCGGGCCCAAAAGGGAATGATTGGAGGTACGAGTGTGTACCACCAACCCTAGTCCGACGGTGACTGTTCCCAGATAGTTTCGTCTCAGCCATCCTTTTAAGAAGGGTTTCGAACTTTTAAGGAACAGTCGTAAATCAGACTTCTCCGCCTCTTCGCCAATGACCAGTTGCGTTTCACTTGGGAGAGGGGGCATTCTACCTGATTCTACGCCATTCTCGTCACCAGCCTACGCGTCGTAGAAAGACGCATCGCTGACGAGACTGGAATGGCTGTCCGTGGAGCACTCACTATCGCTGGATAGAGAGTGCTCCAGGGGCTCCCAACCCGGCCACCAGAAGCGCATCAGGATGCGTTGGTGTAAAGCCGGTGCAGAGTTCAGAAAGGCGAAAGGAAAATCGAGCGACAGATGAAACGGACAATTAATGAGTTTAAAAAGAAGCAAGTTCATTGTAGTCGGCCTCACGAGGGTTATGTGTTAGACACTTGAAGGCCTTCCTGAAAAGTATTGCTACTATTGCAGGATGTCCAAAAATGAATGTGAAAAAGACCGACAAAGTCGGAAACCAGTTTTCACACTGATTAGAACAGATTAGTTGGTTTGTATTACCAGTTAGTAACCTCTCCGCGATTATAAAATTTCCTAATGCGAATATCACTAATTGGAGGGTGCTTGTGTCTACCTGGGTTCGAAGGACGATTTTTTTTTCATACGGGGATAGTGTCCTGTCGGTCAAAAGACCAGCTTACCGCCGTGCCCTTACCTGAAATGTGCTCTGCCGGGTACCCCTGGACCGATGCATCGCTCTCGAGGCAGTACCTCCGCGTTGTCGATCACGGTGCTGGCGACAGTGCCAGCTCCAGATCCGATGACTGGACCGAATACAATGGCTCGACAGCTGAAGATCCAGCTGTCGAGCCTCAATCTTGAACAACCCAAGCGTCTCTGTGTAGGCCTTGAGGTTGCTGGGCTGCACCGATCCCAGCGAACCATAGACAATAGCCGTAGTCTGTACCCGCCATCCTTTAAGCCGCAACTCAGCGACGATGGGTTGGTACTTGTTGACCTTGAAGTCATGGCTGAGTTGCAGCGAGGAGTGGCGAGCACCAGCAGCATGGTCTTCAAACGTGACTTCAAGTCAGCAATCACCATTATCTTGGCAGCCACGTCACGCACCACAATGTCGGGACGCAGAGCTGCACTGGTGTACTCGGGTACCGTCTTGTTGATGCGCAGCTCTGCGCCTGACTTCCTCCGGACGAGCGCGTGCCTTATCTTGGCACCTATCTGCTCGAGTGCGTGGTCATGACGCTGACAGATTAAATCCATGTTCGCAGCACAATAAATCGAAACGTGCGCCAGCGTCTCAGCACTCGAGCAGGTCGGCGCTCGGCAGTGAGAGTTAGCCCGAAGACGGCGGCGCTTCAGCACCGAGTTAATGTGTCGACTTGGTTGAGGCGGGCCTGTATTCCAAACCGATGTTCGGCATCATATAGACCCGCCCCCGACATCACAAACTTGGACCCGGGGCCACCGTGCACCCGGGCCGTCTTACCTTGATCCACCAGACTCTTCCACCGAGTCTGGTGGCGAATCTTCATGTGCAACTTCACGTGCCGCAACACATCCTTGAGGTCCAGCCACTTGTCATGGTGCGGCACGCAGAGCGCGAATTGGTCCTGGACGTCTTCCTCTGCGCGGTCCGCCAAGAAGAGATGGTGGAAGCACATCACCCGCTATACGTCCACCCAAAGAGAAGCAATGTCGCCGGACCGTCGATTGACAGTAGCATGTAGAGACGACGCAAGCTCCGAGTTCAGGAACAGACGGATGATCTCGTCTTCTCGACCCACCCAGTGGTCTTCAATCAGTCGGTAGCGCTTGCGCGCTACCTGACACACCTGGGTCTTCGCAACTGCAACAATCGCCGGGTCCTTGGAGTGCAACATCTGCCACGCATGTGCCACCTGCAGCGCTTGGTGCATCTCTACCAGCGACTGCAGGCCCAGCCCACCACCCGACGTTGGCGTGTAGAAGAACTCCGTGGTGGCGGAATGAGGAAGGCTCAGCAGATGCCGCAACCCACGCTTGACGGCGCAGTCAAATCCTTGGAGCTGCGACTGTAGCGGGCGCAGGTGGCGAAGGGCGTACTCCACCTTCGGGTAAACGTACGTCTTCAACGCCCTCACCACCTGCCTCACTGCTAGTCCAGACTGCATCAGCGCGACCGCCTCCCGCCTGATCGGTTGTAGCTTGGGCTCAAGCTGGAGGCGGTGCTGCACATGGTCGAAGCCATCGCCCACCCCCAAGTACCGGTAACTCTCGTCAAGGGTAAGTGGGGCGATGACATCACCACGTAGCTCCAAGCGCACGCTATCGTCACGAGCCGTGTTGCCACGGGCTTTGATGGTCACCGCAAGGCTAGCACACTTAGCCGTGTTGGCACGCAACCCTGTCCATGCGAGGAAGCGCTTGACCACACCATGGCATCTCCGGATGCCGGCAGCGCTATTGCTGAAAACTTTAATGTCATCAGCACAGGCGGTGGTGCACAGCCGTACACCATCCGCCAGGGACAGACCGACATCCTCCAGCTGTTCCAAGCGTCGAACAAGTGGGACCAGTGCAGCGATGAATAGGAGTGGGCTCGAGGGGCACGCTTGGTAAACACCCACCTCCTGCCTCACTGGGTCAGTCGCACCCTCCTTCGAATTCACTACCACAAAGGACGACTCATGATAGATTTCCTGGCAACGGTTAATGAACCGGGGCTCAACGCCAATGCGGCGGAGCACCTGCCACATGAGTGCCTGTGGCAGCAAACCGAAGGCGTTACGTAAGTCGTACCACACTTGGTACAACTTGCGGTGCGACCTCCGGGACTTATCCAACATCGTGGTTGCCAGAAAATTGTGTTCATGACAACCGCTGAAAGCCCGGAACCCCTTTTGTGCCATCGGCAGCCGGTCGTTCAATTCTAACCAGCGCGATAGCCGACGTGCCAACAACCCGCTGTATAGTTTGTAGATAGCGGGCTGTAGGCATATCGGTCGCCAGTTGGTCGGCTGCATCGGTTCACCCTTCTTGTGGATAGGGCAAACGACGCCCACCTTCCACAGCACGGGCACCATCCGATGCAGCCAACAGAACTGGTATGCGGCATGCAGAAGGGGTACCAACTGCGGGCGCGGGCAAACCGGCGAAAAACATCATATCCAAACCCATCATGATCAGGGCTGGATGCCTTGGCTGCCCGCAGTAGCTGGTCCTCCACTTCATCCATCGAAATATCTCCATCGAAACAATCACCACCCAGTGTATGCACCGAAAAGTCGTTTAGCACGGCCCGGAACTCGTTACCTTCAGCAGCATCATAGTCGAAGGGAGCTGGCGCCGTGCTGGGGCCCACAAAGTGGCGGTAGAGCTCCTCCCTTCCAATGGGGCAGGTGTCTGGGTGCTCGACACCCGCGGTCTCCGCTGAGGCACCGTCCAAAATCTTGGCCACACACTTGGCTTCGTCCTTGGCGAAAGCCCGACGCAATTCAAGCTGCGCTATCGAAGCACGGACCCGTCCAACCCGGCGCCGCGCCTTTCGGACCGCTTGTCGGTTACTTGGCGTCACCTGCTGGGTTGCTTTCATGTCGTCAAGCGCCTCATCCAGCCCGTGCTCACGCTGCGTGCGGGTCACGCGTGGAGGTCGACGGCGGGGTTGGCGAGTCGGAGGCGACTGTGGGTCTGTACTTCCAACAGGTGCGATTGAGTACGACAGAAGTACTTCACGGAGGCGGTCAGGGATGGCAGAAATGTAGCCTTCACCTGTGACCCAGCTATCCGCATCCACAATCTTGCTCGCCAAGACCTCCGCAAACCGTTGCACGACACTAGCAGCTGCGTCGTTCTCTTCCTCGGTCAGTTGGCGTAGTCGAAGCCGAGGTTGCCGCTCGGGAGATGATTCTGGGCCAATAGGCAGAGTAGGGAAGACCTCACCTCCATCACAAGCAGCAATCTCGGCCTCCATGGCAAGACTGGCCGCATCAGCCAGCACGTTCGCGACAGCAGAATCAGCGGCGGTAGCTGCTGGCAGAATCGGTGCCGGGGCAACTGAAGGGGCGGAGGCAGGGGCAAAGCAGCTATCCATGGCGCCGGAGTGAGGGCCACACTCCACGGAGGTGCGTCGGATGTCAAGCGCACGGTTAGCGAGGCGGTCGGCATGGGCATTGGCTTGCCTGTCGATATGCCGAAGCTGATGCCATGCAAGACACCCCAGCGCCGTCCGCACTTGACCTCGCAGTCGCCGGAGTCGTCGGTTGGTGCAGCCAAACGAGCCGCGCACCTGAGCCAGCACTAGGTTGCTGTCGCCTTCGACGAGCAGTCACGTGGCACCATGGTGGACGGCACTCTGCACCCCCACCAGCAGAGCGGTGTATCCAGCAGTGTTGTTCGTCTCAGTGCTGGCGGGGAGGAAGTGCGAACAAGTCCACCCCACGGTGCCGCTCGAGTCGAAGAGAGCAGCACCAGCGCCCCCGGGTCCAGGGTTCTGCCGGCACGCACCGTCGAACCGCAGAAGCCATGGCTCGGACTCCGCTGCACCTGCAGCCACATCAACGGACGGACACGGACTGGCAGGGCTTGGGGCTGGCGAGGGCGGTGGGTCGGTGGGGACTGGAGCTGTCGCTGCAGCAGGTGCACGGTCAGCGATGGATGATGTTCTGCGTAAGCAGGTGTGGCGCCCTTTTATAGGAACCGTCACCGCAACACGCGGGCCCCAACGCGTCATCGCACGTCGTGGCGCTACAGGTAGTGGGGGCCTAACAGCGGGCGCGGGAACAGTCGGCTCACCAGTGACAAGGTGGGCAACCGCCGCACCCCCGATCGCGCCGTGATGTGGCCCCCACCGCGTGGCAAGAGTGCCGGATGCGGCAGGAGTCAGCGGCCCTCGCACTGCCGGAGCCGGGGTTGCACGGACACCAGTCGTCGGCGGAGTAATGGCCGCTGCGCCCACTGCGCGGTGACGAGGCCCCCACCGTGTCGGTCGTCGTGTGGATGCAGGTGCAACCACAGCGTCCATGTCTGCCACGTCTTCGTCTTGTACCTGTCCATAGCAAGGCTCCACACTGGCGTCAGCCATGAGGTCGTCCAGGTCGGGAAACACCGCGGTCAAGTCATCAAGACGTCGGCGCTTGCCAGCGGCCCGGACTTCACGCTGGGACAGAGATGGGCACCGTATGGGGGGACATGCTTGTGCCCGGCGGCAGTGATAGCGGCAGGCACGACGCTCTGTGGGTGGGCAACGTCTGCGGGCACAGCGCGGCTTGATGCAACTGCTGTGGCCGCAGCCATTTCCGCGCTGAGGGGCCCGTACGGTGTTGGGTCCTCCTCCGGGAGCAAGGCATGCCAAACAGAGCGAGCCTGCAACGACGGGGAAGTCGAGGCAGGTATGCCCGAGTCACGTGCAACGGCAGCGGTGTACGAGGGGCTGGCTAGACACGTGAGGGCATGTTTCGTTACCGCTGCACGTGACCGGTGCCCGATGCCGCACGTGCACCCGCTGTGGAAGTGGTCCACGAAGCAGGTGCCACGATGCGCTGTGCGTCGGTGTCGTGAAAGCGCCGCGAGGTCGCAGGCAGTGTACGCACACAGCGTACGCGTGAACGTGGGAACGTTGTCGACATACACTGAGAGCACAGGGCCCTGCTGCCCAACGGCAGGCATGGGTACATCTTGGGAGGAGCCCTGGCTACAGGCATCCTCGCTGCGCTTGTTCTCGTCGTCGTCGTGCTCTAGGCAGGCCGTAACAGACTGCTCATCACCGCAAGGCATCAGAGCGCCACACCCGGCTCGGTCAGGCAGCGGGGATGCCTGCCAGCCGAGCCGGTCGTCACAGGTAAGTGGGACAGAAACAACACCATAAACAATTGCTGCAGTGGACACGGCCTCGCTGGTGGTAGCGTGTGTGCCCACCTGAGCGGCCGTGGCCACTGCAGTGTAGCCAGCTCGGGCAGGCAGCTCCGTAGCTACCTGGCCGAGCCGGTCGTCATCACTTGGGCGGGCGGTGGCAGCGTTGTCCAACGAAGAGGCGTCGGTGTCGTCAGACGCCATCCCGTCGCTGCTGTCGCTGTCTTCGGGGTCGCTGGGGCCATGGGATGCACCCAGAGCGCGGGCCGTTGCGGATGAAAGCGCTGACCCATTATTAACCCGGTCGGGCAGCATTTCTGCCACCCTGCCGAGTCGAGCAGCATCATCCGCGGGGTCCTGGGCGGCGACGGGGCCGTCGGGAGCTGGTGGGAGGGCGGGGGAGCCGTCTCACACGTCGTAGAACCCGGGTACAGCCTTTTGGCACCCGGGGAGCCGATGCTCTGAAGTAGTCCTGGCTGGACCCGGTCGGGCAGCATGCTTGCCACCCTGCCGGGCCCAGCATCAGCGTTTGCATTGTCATGTGCCCCTCCCACGTCTGGGAGGGCGCTCGCATGAGGCTCAGTAGCCTTAGTACATGTGGCCGGACCCGGGAGCTGCCTGTAAGCACCCGGGGAGCCGTCGCTCTGTAGATCTTGCATGTCTTGAAGCGATACCCGGTCGGGCAGCGTAACGCCCGCCCGGCCGGGTATGCCAACAAACGCTCTGGAGTCTTGAGGGGCTGCAGCGGGAGAGCAGGCACGCGGGGACACTGTCGTAGCCAACGGCGCGCGGAGGAAGCGGGAGGCGCACTCGTGGCCTCTACAAGGCCGGTGGAGACGATGCCATCTTGGCCCGAGGAGTCTTGAGCGTTGTCTTGAATGTTTTCTTGAATTGCGGCGACCACTCGACTTAAACCAAGTATACGGCCGAAGGTACCTTCGGAGGTACCAACGGGGGGTCGCCGGGCCTCTTCCCGGTCTATGATGGCACCCAGAATCGTGGCCGGAGACCGGGGGGCCTTGCGTGCGACAGAGACATCTGCGCACGCGGAAAATGGCGGGCACTGGGCGATGCGTGCTCACAACACGTGCCCGAAGTTTCGGTGCCTAGCTTCACGTCACCGCCGCGAGGCGGTGTCGCGCGTACACCCGCGCAGGGCCCATTACCGGGCGGCGCAGCGGTGACATCTAGGGTAAAATTTGGTACCCCCAGCCCTAGTCCGACGGCGACCGTTCCCAGGCAGTTTCGTCCTACCGCCTGTGGATAGGCGGTGGTAGAACCGTCTGGAAACAGTCTTAAGTCAGACTGCCCCGCCTCTTCGCCAGTGAGCAGTTGCGTGTCACTTGGGAGAGGGGTTAGTTCGCCACCCAAACCAGTCTCTGCGACAGACGATGCGTCATAGAACGACGCATCGCTGACGAGACTGGAATGGCTGTCCGTGGAGCACTCACTATCGCTGGATAGAGAGCGCTCCAGGGGCTCCCAACCCGGCCACCAGAAGCGCATCAGGATGCGTTGGTGTAAAGCCGGTGCAGAGGTCAGAAAGGCGAAAGGAAAATCGAGCGACAGATGAAACGGACAATTAATGAGTTTAAAAAGAAGCAAGTTCATTGTAGTCGGCCTCACGAGGGTTATGTGTTAGACACTTGAAGGCCTTCCTGAAAAGTATTGCTACTATTGCAGGATGTCCAAAAATGAATGTGAAAAAGACCGACAAAAGTCGGAAACCAGTTTTTACACTGATTGGAACAGATTAGTTGGTTTGTATTACCAGTTAGTAACCTCTCCGTGATTATAAAATTTCCTAATGCGAATATCACTAATTGGAGGGTGCTTGTGTCTACCTGGGTTCGAAGGACGATTTTTTTTTCATACGGGGATAGTGTCCTGTCGGTCAAAAGACCAGCTTACCGCTGTGCCCTTACCTGAAATGTGCTCTGCCGGGTCCCCCTGGACCGATGCATCGCTCTCGAGGCAGTACCTCCGCGTTGTCGATCACGGTGCTGGCGACAGTGCCAGCTCCAGATCCGATGACTGGACCGAATACAATGGCTCGACAGCTGAAGATCCAGCTGTCGAGCCTCAATCTTGAACAACCCAAGCGTCTCTGTGTAGGCCTTGAGGTTGCTGGGCTGCACCGATCCCAGCGAACCATAGACAATAGCCGTAGTCTGTACCCGCCATCCTTTAAGCCGCAACTCAGCGACGATGGGTTGGTACTTGTTGACCTTGAAGTCATGGCTGAGTTGCAGCGAGGAGTGGCGAGCACCAGCAGCATGGTCTTCAAACGTGACTTCAAGTCAGCAATCACCATTATCTTGGCAGCCACGTCACGCACCACAATGTCGGGACGCAGAGCTGCACTGGTGTACTCGGGTACCGTCTTGTTGATGCGCAGCTCTGCGCCTGACTTCCTCCGGACGAGCGCGTGCCTTATCTTGGCACCTATCTGCTCGAGTGCGTGGTCATGACGCTGACAGATTAAATCCATGTTCGCAGCACAATAAATCGAAACGTGCGCCAGCGTCTCAGCACTCGAGCAGGTCGGCGCTCGGCAGTGAGAGTTAGCCCGAAGACGGCGGCGCTTCAGCACCGAGTTAATGTGTCGACTTGGTTGAGGCGGGCCTGTATTCCAAACCGATGTTCGGCATCATATAGACCCGCCCCCGACATCACAAACTTGGACCCGGGGCCACCGTGCACCCGGGCCGTCTTACCTTGATCCACCAGACTCTTCCACCGAGTCTGGTGGCGAATCTTCATGTGCAACTTCACGTGCCGCAACACATCCTTGAGGTCTAGCCACTTGTCATGGTGCGGCACGCAGAGCGCGAATTGGTCCTGGACGTCTTCCTCTGCGCGGTCCGCCAAGAAGAGATGGTGGACGCACATCACCCGCTATACGTCCACCCAAAGAGAAGCAATGTCGCCGGACCGTCGATTGACAGTAGCATGTAGAGACGACGCAAGCTCCGAGTTCAGGAACAGACGGATGATCTCGTCTTCTCGACCCACCCAGTGGTCTTCAATCAGTCGGTAGCGCTTGCGCGCTACCTGACACACCTGGGTCTTCGCAACTGCAACAATCGCCGGGTCCTTGAGTGCAACATCTGCCACGCATGTGCCACCTGCAGCGCTTGGTGCATCTCTACCAGCGACTGCAGGCCCAGCCCACCACCAGCCGTTGGCGTCCAGACTTGAACCTCCGTGGTGGCGGAATGAGGAAGGCTCAGCAGATGCCGCAACCCACGCTTCACGGCGCAGTCAAATCCTTGGAGCTGCGACTGTAGCGGGCGCAGGTGGCGAAGGGCGTACTCCACCTTCGGGTAAACGTACGTCTTCAACGCCCTCACCACCTGCCTCACTGCTAGTCCAGACTGCATCAGCGCGACCGCCTCCCGCCTGATCGGTTGTAGCTTGGGCTCAAGCTGGAGGCGGTGCTGCACATGGTCGAAGCCATCGCCCACCCCCAAGTACTGGTAACTCTCGTCAAGGGTAAGTGGGGCGATGACATCACCACGTAGCTCCAAGCGCACGCTATCGTCACGAGCCGTGTTGCCACGGGCTTTGATGGTCACCGCAAGGCTAGCACACTTAGCCGTGTTGGCACGCAACCCTGTCCATGCGAGGAAGCGCTTGACCACACCATGGCATCTCCGGATGCCGGCAGCGCTATTGCTGAAAACTTTAATGTCATCAGCACAGGCGGTGGTGCACAGCCGTACACCATCCGCCAGGGACAGACCGACATCCTCCAGCTGTTCCAAGCGTCGAACAAGTGGGACCAGTGCAGCGATGAATAGGAGTGGGCTCGAGGGGCACGCTTGGTAAACACCCACCTCCTGCCTCACTGGGTCAGTCGCACCCTCCTTCGAATTCACTACCACAAAGGACGACTCATGATAGATTTCCTGGCAACGGTTAATGAACCGGGGCTCAACGCCAATGCGGCGGAGCACCTGCCACATGAGTGCCTGTGGCAGCAAACCGAAGGCGTTACGTAAGTCGTACCACACTTGGTACAACTTGCGGTGCGACCTCCGGGACTTATCCAACATCGTGGTTGCCAGAAAATTGTGTTCATGACAACCGCTGAAAGCCCGGAACCCCTTTTGTGCCATCGGCAGCCGGTCGTTCAATTCTAACCAGCGCGATAGCCGACGTGCCAACAACCCGCTGTAGAGTTTGTAGATAGCGGGCTGTAGGCATATCGGTCGCCAGTTGGTCGGCTGCATCGGTTCACCCTTCTTGTGGATAGGGCAAACGACGCCCACCTTCCACAGCACGGGCACCATCCGATGCAGCCAACAGAACTGGTATGCGGCATGCAGAAGGGGTACCAACTGCGGGCGCGGGCAAACCGGCGAAAAACATCATATCCAAACCCATCATGATCAGGGCTGGATGCCTTGGCTGCCCGCAGTAGCTGGTCCTCCACTTCATCCATCGAAATATCTCCATCGAAACAATCACCACCCAGTGTATGCACCGAAAAGTCGTTTAGCACGGCCCGGAACTCGTTACCTTCAGCAGCATCATAGTCGAAGGGAGCTGGCGCCGTGCTGGGGCCCACAAAGTGGCGGTAGAGCTCCTCCCTTCCAATGGGGCAGGTGTCTGGGTGCTCGACACCCGCGGTCTCCGCTGAGGCACCGTCCAAAATCTTGGCCACACACTTGGCTTCGTCCTTGGCGAAAGCCCGACGCAATTCAAGCTGCGCTATCGAAGCACGGACCCGTCCAACCCGGCGCCGCGCCTTTCGGACCGCTTGTCGGTTACTTGGCGTCACCTGCTGGGTTGCTTTCATGTCGTCAAGCGCCTCATCCAGCCCGTGCTCACGCTGCGTGCGGGTCACGCGTGGAGGTCGACGGCGGGGTTGGCGAGTCGGAGGCGACTGTGGGTCTGTACTTCCAACAGGTGCGATTGAGTACGACAGAAGTACTTCACGGAGGCGGTCAGGGATGGCAGAAATGTAGCCTTCACCTGTGACCCAGCTATCCGCATCCACAATCTTGCTCGCCAAGACCTCCGCAAACCGTTGCACGACACTAGCAGCTGCGTCGTTCTCTTCCTCGGTCAGTTGGCGCAGTCGAAGCCGAGGTTGCCGCTCGGGCGATGATCATGGGCCAATAGGCAGAGTAGGGAAGACCTCACCTCCATCACGAGCAGCAATCTCGGCATCGATGGCAAGACTGGCCGCATCATCCAGCACGCCCGCGACAGCAGAGTCACAAGCAGTAGCTTCTGGCAGAATCGGCGCCGGGGCAACTGAAGGTACGGGAGCTGGCGTAAAGCAGCTATCCATGGCGCCGGAGTGAGGGCCACACTCCACGGAGGTGCGTCGGATGTCAAGCGCACGGTTAGCGAGGCGGTCGGCATGGGCATTGGCTTGCCTGTCGATATGCCGAAGCTGATGCCATGCAAGACACCCCAGCGCCGTCCGCACTTGACCTCGCAGTCGCCGGAGTCGTCGGTTGGTGCAGCCAAACGAGCCGCGCACCTGAGCCAGCACTAGGTTGCTGTCGCCTTCGACGAGCAGTCACGTGGCACCATGGTGGACGGCACTCTGCACCCCCACCAGCAGAGCGGTGTATCCAGCAGTGTTGTTCGTCTCAGTGCTGGCGGGGAGGAAGTGCGAACAAGTCCACCCCACGGTGCCGCTCGAGTCGAAGAGAGCAGCACAAGCGCCCCCGGGTCCAGGGTTCTGCCGGCACGCACCGTCGAACCGCATAAGCCAGGGCTTGGACTCCGCTTCACCTGCAGCCACATCAACGGACGGACACGGACTGGCAGGGCTTGGGGCTGGCGAGGGCGGTGGGTCGGTGGGGACTGGAGAAGTCGCTGCAGCAGGTGCACGGTCAGCGATGGATGATGTTCTGCGTAAGCAGGTGCGGCGCCCTTTTATAGGAACCGTCACCGCAACACGCGGGCCCAAACGCGTCATCGCACGTCGTGGCGCTGCTGGCAGTGGGGGCCTAACAGCGGGTGCGGGTACAGTCGGCTCACCAGTGACAAGGTGGGCAACCGCCGCACCCCCGATCGCGCCGTGACGTGGCCCCCACCGCGTGGCACGAGTGCCGGATGCGGCAGGAGTCAGCGGTCGTCGCACTGCCGGAGCCGGGGTTGCACGCGCACCAGTCGTCGGCGGAGTGATGGCTGCTGCGCCCACTGCGCGGTGACGAGGCCCCCACCGTGTCGGTCGTCGTGTGGATGCAGGTGCAACCACAGCGTCCATGTCTGCCACGTCTTCGTCTTGTACCTGTCCATAGCAAGGCTCCACACTGGCGTCAGCCATGAGGTCGTCCAGGTCGGGAAACACCGCGGCCAAGTCATCAAGACGGCGGTGCTTGCCAGCGACCCGGACGTCACTCTGGGACAGAGATGGGCACCACATAGGGGGGACATGCTGGTGCCCGGCGGCAGTGATAGCGGCAGGCACGGCGCTCTGTGGGTGGGCAACGTCTGCGGGCACAGTGCGGCTTGATGCAACTGCTGTGGCCGCAGCCATTTCCGCGCTGAGGGGCCCGTACGGTGTTGGATCCTCCTCTGGGCGCAAGGCATGCCAAACAGAGCGAGTCTGCAACGGCGGGGAAGTCGAGGCAGGTATGCCCGAGTCACGTGCAACGGCAGCGGTGTACGAGGGGCTGGCTAGACACGTGAGGGCATGTTTCGTTACCGCTGCACGTGACCGGTGCCCGATGCCGCACGTGCACCCGCTATGGAAGTGGTCTACGAAGCAGGTGCCACGATGCGCTGTGCGTCGGTGTCGTGAAAGCGCCGCGAGGTCGCAGGCAGTGTACGCACACAGCGTACGCGTGAACGTGGGAACGTTGTCGGCGTACACTGAGAGCACAGGGCCCTGCTGCCCAACGGCAGGCATGGGTACATCTTGGGAGGAGCTCTGGCTACAGGCGTCCTCGCTGCGCTTGTTCTCGTCGTCGTAGTGCTCTAGGCAGGCCGTAACAGACTGCTCATCACCGCTAGGCATCAGAGCGCCACACCCGGCTCGGTCAGGCAGCGGGGATGCCTGCCAGCCGAGCCGGTCGTCACAGGTAAGTGGGACAGAAATAACACCATAAACAATTGCTGCAGTGGACACGGCCTCGCTGGTGGTAGCGTGTGTGCCCACCTGAGCGGCCGTGGCCACTGCAGTGTAGCCAGCTCGGGCAGGCAGCTCCGTAGCTACCTGGCCGAGCTGGTCGTCATCACTTGGGCGGGCGGTGGCAGCGTTGTCCAACGAAGAGGCGTCGGTGTCGTCAGACGCCATCCCGTCGCTGCTGTCGCTGTCTTCGGGGTCGCTGGGGCCATGGGATGCACCCAGAGCGCGGGCCGTTGCGGATGAAAGCGCTGACCCATTATTAACCCGGTCGGGCAGCATTTCTGCCACCCTGCCGAGTCGAGCAGCATCATCCGCGGGGTCCTGGGCGGCGACGGGGCCGTCGGGAGCTGGTGGGAGGGCGGGGGAGCCGTCTCACACGTCGTAGAACCCGGGTACAGCCTTTTGGCACCCGGGGAGCCGATGCTCTGAAGTAGTCCTGGCTGGACCCGGTCGGGCAGCATGCTTGCCACCCTGCCGGGCCCAGCATCAGCGTTTGCATTGTCATGTGCCCCTCCCACGTCTGGGAGGGCGCTCGCATGAGGCTCAGTAGCCTTAGTACATGTGGCCGGACCCGGGAGCTGCCTGTAAGCACCCGGGGAGCCGTCGCTCTGTAGATCTTGCATGTCTTGAAGCGATACCCGGTCGGGCAGCGTAACGCCCGCCCGGCCGGGTATGCCAACAAACGCTCTGGAGTCTTGAGGGGCTGCAGCGGGAGAGCAGGCACGCGGGGACACTGTCGTAGCCAACGGCGCGCGGAGGAAGCGGGAGGCGCACTCGTGGCCTCTACAAGGCCGGTGGAGACGATGCCATCTTGGCCCGAGGAGTCTTGAGCGTTGTCTTGAATGTTTTCTTGAATTGCGGCGACCACTCGACTTAAACCAAGTATACGGCCGAAGGTACCTTCGGAGGTACCAACGGGGGGTCGCCGGGCCTCTTCCCGGTCTATGATGGCACCCAGAATCGGGGCCGGAGACCGGGGGGCCTTGCGTGCGACAGAGACATCTGCGCACGCGGAAAATCGCGGGCACTGGGCGATGCGTGCTCACAACACGTGCCCGAAGTTTCGGTGCCTAGCTTCGCGTCACCGCCGCGAGGCGGTGTCGCGCGTACACCCGCGCAGGGCCCATTACCGGGCGGCGCAGTGGTGACATCTAGGGTAAAATTTGGTACCCCCAGCCCTAGTCCGACGGCGACCGTTCCCAGACAGTTTCGTCCCACCGCCTGTGGATAGGCGGTGGAAGAACCGTCTGGAAACATTCTTAAGTCAGACTGCCCCGCCTCTTTGCCAGTGAGCAGTTGCGTGTCACTTGGGAGAGGGGTTAGTTCGCCACCCAAACCAGTCTCTGCGACAGAAGATGCGTCATAGAACGACGCATCGCTGGCGAGACTAGAATGGCTGCCCGTAGAGCACTCACTATCGCTAGATAGAGAGCGCTCTCGAGGCTCCCAACCCGTCCACCAAAATCGCATAAAAGGGGAGATAGTGGAAAGGCAAGATAGACAAACGGTATAGCACGAACTAAGATAGAACGAATGAAATTAGAAAAGAAGAAAGTTTATTGTAGTTGGCCTCACGGGAGGAAGGTGTAAGCCCCCGGAGACCTGCCCTGTCTTAGTAGCAAGCTACCTCGACAGGATGTCCAAAAATGAATGTGAAAAAGACCGACAAAAGTCGGAAAGCAGTTTTCACACTGATTAGAACAGATAAGTGTGTGTATTACCGTCTGGTTAGTCTATTTCTAAAGGGTATAGAAATACCCAATAGAAACTATGTGGTGTGTAAGTTAGGTACAGGTTGCACCACATAGTGCTAAACTATAACGTACCAGAGGGATTTGAGGGCGGTTCCCTACGTGGGTATGGCCCTGTCGGCCACTATGGGCCCGAACGACGCTTAGTGGCGGCCTTGATGTGACGGAGTCCCCCCGGTCACCGTCACCCGACTGCCCCTTGCATCATGTCTTGAGCGTCCTCGAGCTTGGTCGCGAACCTCAGCTTGAACTTGAACTCCAGCTTGACCGCGATCGTGAGCTTGACCTTGGCCTTGACGGGCGCGGTGCGTACTGCAGTGCAGGTTCCAGATGCGGCGGCTGGACGTAATGCACTCAGCAGAAAGTTGCCTGTCCAGCCGCTTCGCATCGCCCTTCAGCACACCAAGTTGCTCGGTGTAAACCGCGAGGTTACCACCGGCAACAGCGCCAAGCGAGCCATAAACGAGCGCCGAAAGGTGTACCGTCCAACCTTGACGCTCGAGATGGCGCTTGACGCAGTCGTACTTGGTGCGCTTGAAGGCAGCCACCCGCACTAGCGCGGAGCTGTTCGCATCAGCACTCGCTTGTTCTTCGAACGCTACGGCCAGGTCCACCACAGCCACAGTCTTCTTGCTGTGGTTGAACAGCTGTAGATCTGGCCGCAGCGCTGGTCCCGCAAGTCCAGGCACCGTTTGGCTGACGCGAAGCTCTACCCGGTCTGTCTGTCCACCAGACCTCGAAAGTAGAGCCCGCTCGATGACCTTGAGAGCGTCATTGTGTCGTCCACGAACAGCGTCCATCGTGCCAGCACAGTGGTTTAGCACATGTGCCAACGTCTCCGAGCGCGAGCATCCAGGGTGTCTGCATTTGTCGTGCGCCCGGAGACGTCGACGCTTGAGCACACTGTGCGTGTCCAGCTGGTTCAAGCGGGCGGCCACTGTGAAGCGGTAGTCGGATTCCCACATGCCTCGCGGCCGAGTAAGGAACCCACTACCAGCTCCACCATGGGTCCGTGCCGTCTTGCCTTGGTCGCGCATGGCCGCCCACTTGGTTCAGTGCTTGTTCTTCAAGTGTAGCTTCACGTGCCGCAGGACCGAACGATGGTCAAGCCACTTAGCGTGGTACGGCACGCGAAGCTGGAAGCTCACCGCAGATTCACCTGTATCCACACACGCTGGAGATGTCTCCAGCTGTAGACCAAAGCGCTGCAGATGACCGCGCACGCCAAACCACAGTGACCCAATGTCAGCGTTACGACGTTTGGGTGGGGCTGGGTCTGACGAACCGAGCTTGCTGTTGAGGAGGAGCTGACATAGCTCCTCCTCGCGGTCCTTCCATGCTTGACCATCCAGCTTGTATCGGGCGTCAGCTATCTGACGAAGCTGCAGGCGAACGATACGTTGGGTGGCAGGGTCAGGTGAGTTCAGCATCTGCCACCCATGAGCCACTTTCAACGCACCATGCAGCTCCGTCAGCGGCAACAAACCCAAACCACCACGTGACACCGGCGTGTAGAAGAACGCGGTGGTTGAGTTTGTTGGTAGCCGCAGCAGGTGGCGTAGGCCGCGCACAAGGTGGCGATCGAAGCCCTCCAGCTGTTGAGCAAACGGTCTCAGGTGCCGGAGGGCGTAGTCGACCCGCGGGTAAAGGTACACCTTCACCGCCTTCACCACCTGCCATGGTGCCAATCCAGATTGAAACAGTGCCGTCGCGTCGTGCTTGAGCTGCGTAATAGCTGGAGCAAGCTCGACGCGACGGCGGACGTGGTCAAAACCATCCCCGATCCCCAAGTACTTGTACGTTTCATCCACGGAAAGTGAGGGGATCGGGGTACCATCTAGTTCGAGTCCAATGTCTTGAACTTGTAAGACGTAGCGACTGTTGCGCTGAACCGACATGGTGCTGCACTTCAGTGGGTTGGCAGCCATGCCGGTCCAACGTAGGAAGTCAACCACAAGAGTGTGCTGGCTCTTGATGCCGTCCTCGGTGTCGCTAAAAATCTTCAAATCATCGGCATACGCGGCGGCAACGGGACAGTCATCACCTGACATCTGCACTCCTGTGGCCGGCAGCCGCTGCAACGCAAAGAGCAGCGGTCCGATCGCAACGTTAAACAACTGCGGAATCAGCGGACAGCCTTGGAATACACCCACTTGCTGCCGAATCGGAGCTGTGGGCCATCAACGGCGTTGCCCACCACAAAAGCTGCTTGATCGTAGAGGCCCTTGCACATGTCCACGTAGGCGGTGGGGACACCCAGGCGACGAAGCGAGTCCCACAGCAACGCAAAGATCCCACTGCCGAAAGCGTTCTTCAGGTCATACCAGACCTGGAACAGTGGGCGACGCTTGCGACGAGAGTTGTCAACTAACATGGCTGCGAGGAAATTGTGTTCCCCGCAGCCGTTCACCGCCCGAAACCCTTTCTGACCCGGGCCGTGCCGTGCATTGACTTCCATCCATCGTACGAGACGCCGCGCAAGCACGCCAGTGTAAAGCTTGTAAATGGCTTGCTGGAGGCATATGGGCCTCCAGTTCGCCGGGTCATCACGTGGGCCCTTCTTGTAGAGCAGCCTCACGATGCCAACCTTCCAGCTCTGGGGGACCTTCTTCTCCACCCAGCAGCGCTTGAAAATTGCCATCAGGACTGTCAGCAGCTGTGGACCGAAGTGCTTGTACACGTCAAAGCCGACGCCGTCAAGCCCAGGACTGGAAGCACCACGCGCATGTTGAAGCTGATCTTCAATGTCGTCAGCAGTCGGTGCCGCAATAAGCAGCTCCTTGAGTCGCGAGGCAGCAGGAATCTGGGCCATGGCCGTGTGAAAAGCATCACCAACTGGAGCATCCACGTCAAAGGCCCGTCGGGGCATATTAACTCCATCGAAATATCGCCACAGGTCATCACTGGATATGGGGCAGACTCCATCATCCACTTCATCCGTGGCACTGGTCACCCCAGCCTCCAACCCCGTTGCTGCCTGCGTGCGGCGAGCATTGGAGAGGATCGCGTCCACACAAGCCTTCTCATCGGTGTCGAATTTGTGGCGCAGGCGCTGCTGGTCCAGCGCCGAGTTAATGCGCCCGACGCGGCGGCGGGCCTTGCTGATGGCCGGGCGGTTGCTTGGGGCGCTGCGTTGCACCGCATGGAGCTCTTCCAGGGCCTCGTCAAGACGGTGCTCTCGATGGTGGCGGGTTACCCGCGGGGGGCGTCCACGATGCTTGGGCTTAGCGCCCGACCGGCCAGTGCCACGACGGCGCCGACGGGTGCCACATCGCTGCCCATCGGACTCGACAGGCCCAGGTCGCGGCGTATGTGGAGGGCCGAGAGGCTTGCCTCCCGCCTGTGCATGCCGGCGTTCGCAAGACCGACTCTGGCCACGAGGTGGGACCTGGGTACAGCTCGAGGCCTGGGAGTACGGTTGCAATTTGTCATACAAGGTGTACGGGAGGGCAGTAATGTAGCCCTCCACCGACTCCCAGTCGTCAGCATCCGTGATCTTGGCAGCGAGTAGAGCTCCAAGCCGCTCCACCAGAGCACGAGCTGCTTCATCTTCTTCGTCTGTGAGCTTGCGTAGGCGGAGGCGAGGCCGTCGTTGCGGAACCGCATCGGGACCAATACGCATGGCCGCGTATACCTCACCGTCATCAATGTCCTCCATGGACTCGACATCGTCCAGCCCCTCAAGGTCGTCATCAGGAGTAAGGGGTGCTGGGGGCGGGGGCACCGGTATGGTGTCCTGCCGCAAGCCGATGTCGCTCGTACGAGTACAGCCATCACCAGTTGGATGGTCCGCGCACTCCAGTACGGTACGGCGGAGGTCGAGCCCACGGTTGGCGAGGCGGTCAGCATGTGCGTTGGCCTGGCGATCAATGGGGTGGAGCGTAAAGACTCCCACTCGCGCCAGCTCAACCTTGACTTGGTCCCGAAGACGGCGAAGGGCGGCGCTGCGAGTGGCGAAGATGCCACGCACCTGCTGGATGACCAGCGTGCTTTCACCCTCGATGCGCAGGCACGTGGCGCCATGATCGGCAGCAGCCCTTGTACCGAGCAGCAGAGCGGTATACTCAGCGGTGTTGTTCGTCTCGCTGCTGCTCGGCATGTAGTGTGAGCATGTCCACACTACGGGGCCGCTGGGCTTGAACAACGCAGCGCCGGCGCCGCCTGGACCAGGGTTCTTGCGGCAGGCACCGTCGAAGCGCAGCAGCAACTCGCCATCACCTTCATCAGCGTCGTCCACGTCGTCGCTTTCGCCTACCTTCGTCTCTTCCTCCTCCGTCAGCTCCGGCGGGAGCAGACGGTCAGCGATCCTCGACACCACCACGCTGCGAGGCAGTGGTGAACCCCATCGTGGGGCAGGAACAGCGGAGAGGCGAGACGCGACACGCGAAGCAACCACCTGCCGAGGAAGCGGAGCGCTCCATCTTGAAACCTTGGACCTGTCATCAGTGGTGCTCGCATGTGGGGGGGGGGGCACAGCGAGCACCGGAGGGTCTTGGCGGGGCAATACGGGATTGGCTGTAGCCACCGTAGCGCTGGCATCGACTTCATCAGCAGTGGGGCTGAGATCCCGTGCTGCTGGCGTAGCCTCAGCCGAAGTGTCTTTGAGATGGCGCACGCTTGCGCGTGGTTAGCTGCAGCCAGCCTCGACACGAAAGGTGTGCCGCACGCACAACCTGCCGAGAACCGGTCGAGGAAGGCGATGCGGCGATGCCTTGAGTCCCGGTGGCGCTTGAGCGAAGCAAAGCTTGACGCCGTATATGCACACAGCGTGCACGTGAAGTGCGGCGCGTTGTGGGCATACACGGACAGGACGGAGGCCGGGAGTGCGCTAGCCGTGGATGGCCAAAGCGCTGAGTGCTTGGGGCCGGCCTCAACGTCCTCGAGCAGCATTTGCTCGGCTTGCTCGCGCGGGCCGTCGTCGGCGTCATCGCTCAAGCGGCGACGCTTGCCGCCGAGGCGGAGCACGAAAGGCGGCGAGCCCGGTACATGGCTGGCTGCCTGCCACGTCGCGCACTGGTCAACCTTCATAGGGACGGCAGCGGTCGTGGCAGGAGCCTGTGCAGCACCCACGGGCAGCATGATACCCGCCCTGCCGGGTGTGCAGTCATCGGTATGGGGGCAGGGCCCAGCAGACAACTCGTCGCCGCAAGGCATCGGAGCGTCGCACCCGGCTCGGTCGGGCAGTATGGGTGTCTGCCAGCCGAGCCGGTCGTCACAGGTACGTGAGACATCAACAACATTATAAACAATTGCTGCAGTGGACACGGCCTCGCTGATGGTAGCGTGCATGCCCGCGGGAGCGGCCGCGGCCACTGCAGTGTATCCAGCTCGGGCAGGCAGCTCCGTAGCTACATGCCCGAGCCGGTCGTCATCACTTGAGGAGGAGGCAGCGTCGTCGTCCATCGAGGAGGCAGTGTCGTCGTCGGGGGCCCCGCCGTCGCTGTTTTCGCTATCCTCTGGGTCGCTGGGGCCTTGGAAGGCACCCAGTGCGCGAGCCGTTGCGGCTACGAGCGCGGACCCGAGCTGCACCCGGTCGTGCAGCATGCGTGCCGCCCTGCCGGGTCTAGCAGCAACAATCGCGGGGCCTCGAGCGGCGGCGGGGGCTTCCGGAGCGAGCGGGAGGGCGGGGGGACCCGTCGCGCACGCGTCTGGACCCGGGGGCTGCCTGTGGGCACCCGGGGAGCCGATGCTCTGTAGATGTCCATGCTGGACCCGGTCGGGCAGCATGCCTGCCGCCCTGCCGGGCCCAACATCATCGCTCGCAGTGTCTTCGGCCGCTCCCACGTCTGGGAGGGCGCTCCGCAACGTGTAGATGCCCTTGGTGCACGTCTTGGTACCCGGGCGCCGCATGCTTGCGCCCGGGGAGCCGTCGCTCTGCAGTCCTTGTCCTTGTGTCGGCGATACCCGGTCGGGCAGCGTAACGCCCGCCCTGCCGGGTATGCCAACAATCGCATCTTCATCCTGCAAGGCCACGGCAGAGGCGGGAGCGTCCGGCGAGGCGGGGGAAGCCAAACGGCGCGCGGAGGAGGCGGGAGGCGGTCTCGTGGCCTCTTCAAGGCCGGCGGAGACGACGCTATCTTGGCCCGAGGAGTCTTGAGCGTTGTCTTGAATGGTGTCGTGAATTGCGGCGACCCCAATACTGAAACCAAGTATATTGTCGAAGGTAGCTTCGGAGGTACCAACGGGGGGTCGCCAGGCCTCTTCCCGTTCAATGATGGCACCCAAAATCGGGGCCGGAGACCGGGGGGATTCGCGCGCGACAGAGACCTCTGCGCGCGCGAGAACTTGGTAGGCACTGGGCGATGCGGGATTCGAACCCGTGCCCGAAGTTGCGGCGCCTAACTCCGCGTCATTGCCGCAAGGCGATGTCGCGCGTAGACGCGCTCGGGGCCCCGGAAGGGGATTATTGGAAGTACCAGTGTGTACCCCTACCCCTTTTCCGACGGCGACCGTTCCCAGGCAGTTTCGTCCCACCCGTTCCGCAAAGAAGGGTGCCGAACTTTCTGGGAACAGTCTTAAATCAGACTGCCCCGCCTCTTCCCCAGTGACCAGTTGCGTGTCATCTGGGAGAGGGGGCATTTCGTCTTGTCCCACTCCAGTCTCGTCATCGGGCTACACGTCGTAAAACGACTCATCGCTGGCGAGACTGGAATGGCTGTCCGTAGAGCACTCACTATCGCTAGATAGAGAGCGCTCTCGAGGCTCCCAACCCGGCCACCAAAACCGCATAGAAGGGGCGATAGTGGAAAGGCCAGGGCAGAAAGGACAGATAGACAAACGGTACAGAACGAACTAAGATAGAACGAACGAAAGTAGAAAAGAAGCAAGTTTATTGTAGTCGGCCTCACGAGGGTTAGGTGTAAGCCACTCGGAGACCTTCCTAAAATAGTATCGCTACTATGTCAGGACGTCCAAAAATGAATGTGAAAAAGACCGACAAAAGTCGGAAACCAGTTTTCACACTGATTAGAACAGATAAGGGTGTGTATTACCGTCTGATTAGTCTATTTCTACAGGGCATAGAAATACCCGATAGAAACTATGTGGTGTGTAAGTGGGGTACAGGTTGAACCACACAGAGCTAGACTATAACTTACCGGTTGGGTTTGAAGGGCGGTGTCCTCCCTGGATAGTGCCCTGTCGGTCAAATGACCCGCTTATCGCCGTACCTGTGTCCGCGATCTGCTCCGCGGGGTCCCCCCAGACCCACGCGGTGCTCCCGAGGCACCACCACTGCGCTGTAGATCACGGTGAAGACGACAATGCCCGCTCCATATCTTGTGGCCTGATCGTATGCAGTAGCTCGACAGCTGAAGATCCAGCTGCCGGGCTTCACGCTTGAGCAGATGCAGCATCTCCGTGTAGGTCTTGAAGTTGCTGGGATACACCGATCCCAGCGTGCCATAAATCAGTGCTGCAGACTGCACTCGCCACCCCTTCAACCTCATCTCATCCGCAATTGGCTTGTATTTTAGCACCTTGAAGTCATGGCTGCTGTGAAGCGAGGAGTGGCGAGCGCCAGCAGCATGGTCCTCAAACGTGACTGCCAAGTCAGCGATAAACAAGGTCTTGGCGGCCACATCGCGCAGCACGATGTCGGGGCGCAGAGCTGCACCAGTGTACTCGGGGACTGTCTGGTTCAGGCGTAGCTCTGCGCCGGACTTGGTGCGAACGAGCGCTTGTCGAATCTTGGCACCAATCTGCTCGAGTGCACTATCGTGACGCTGGCGTATTGCACCCATATTGGGCGCACAATGATTCAAAACGTGCGCCAGCGTCTCGGCACTCGAGCAGTTCGGCTTCCGGCAGCGGGCGTTGGCTCGCAAGCGGCGTCGCTTGAGCACCGAGTTAGTGTCCACTTGGTTCAGGCGAGCCTGGATGCCGAAACGGTGCTCAGCATCGGACAGGCCCGCTCCCGACATCACAAACTTGGACCCGGGACCACCGTGTACCCGGGCCGTCTTGCCTTGATCCACCAGACTCGGTGGAAGAGTCTGGTGGCGAATCTTCATGTGCAACTTTACGTGCCGCAACACAGTCTTGTGGTCAAGCCACTTGTCATGGTGCGGCACGCGAAGTGCTAGACGATCTTGTCCAGACTCTGCAGTGATGTCAGAGAACTTGAGTTGGTGGACGCATAACACTCGCTGTACGTCAACCCATAACGAAGCGATATCACCCGAGCGTCGATTGGCGGTGGCATGGGGAGACGACGCAAGCTCCGACTTTAAAAATAGCCGGATGAGCTCGTCGTCTCTACCCACCCAGTGGTCTTCAACAAGTCGGTAGCGCTTGCGCACCACCTGACACACTTGGGCTTGTGCCACCGCCACGATAGCGGGGTCCTTCGAATGCAACATCTGCCACGCGTGTGCCACCTGCAGTGCTTGGTGCATCTCCACCAGCGACTGCAGGCCCAGCCCACCACCAGAAGTAGGTGTGTAGAAGAACTCGGTGGTGGCGGACTGTGGCAGGCGTAACAGATGCCGCAATCCACGCTTCACGGTGCAGTCAAAGCCTTGAAGCTGTGAATGTAGCGGGCGCAGGTGGCGAAGGGCGTATTCTACCTTCGGGTATACGTATGTCTTCAACGCCTTCACCACCTGCCACACCGCTAGGCCAGACTGCATCAGCGCCACCGCCTCCCGCTTAATCTGTTGGAGCTTGGGCTCCAGCTGGAGGCGGTGCTGCACATGGTCGAAGCCATCGCCCACCCCCAAGTACCGGTAACTCTCGTTAAGGGTGAGTGAGGAGATGATATCACCATGAAGCTCCAATCGAACGCTATCGTCAAGAGCCAGGTTGCCGCAGGCATTGGTGGTAACCGCGAGGCTAGCACACTTGGCCGTATTCGCACGCAACCCAGTCCAAGCGAGGAAGCGCGTGACCACGCCATGACAGCGTTGGATACCGGTGGCGCTGTTGCTGAACACCTTGATGTCGTCAGCATAGGCGGTGGTGCACGGCCGTACACTATCCGCCAGCGGCACACCGACATCCTCCAGCTGTTCCAAGCGTCGTACGAGAGGTACCAGTGCAGCAATAAACAGGAGTGGGCTCAAGGGACATCCCTGGTAGACCCCCACTTCCTGCCTCACTGGGTCAGTCGCACCGTCCTTTTCATTCACTACCACAAAGGCGGACCCATCGTAAATGTCCTGGCATCGGCTGATAAACCGGGGCTCGACGCCAAGGCGGCGGAGCACCTGCCACATGAGTGCCTGTGGTAGCGAGCCAAAAGCGTTGCGTAAGTCGTACCATACTTGGTACAACTTCCGGTGCGACCGTCGGGACTGGTCCAACATCGTGGTTGCCACGAAGTTGTGCTCGTGACAACCGTTGAACGCCCGAAACCCCTTCTGCGCCATCGGCAGCCGGTTGTTCAATTCCAACCAGCGCGATAGCCGACGTGCCAGCAGCCCGCTGTAGAGTTTGTAGATAGCGGGCTGCAGACATATGGGCCGCCAGTTAGTCGGCTGAATCGGGTCACCCTTCTTGTGGATTAGGCGAACGATGCACACCTTCCACAGCGAAGGCACCATCCGATGCAGCCAACAGAACTGATACGCGGCATGCAAAAGGGGCACCAACTGCGGGGCAAACCGGCGATAGACATCATAGCCAACCCCATCGTGCCCGGGGCTGGATGCCTTGGCAGCCCGCAGTAGCTGGTCCTCCACTTCGTCAATCAAAATCTCGCCGTCGAAACAATCGCCACCCAACGTGTCCATCGAAAAATCATTGAGCACGGCCCTAAACTCACAACCGACAGCAGCATCGTAGTTGAAGGGAGCTGGGGCCGTGCTCGTGCCCACAAAATGACGGTGGAGCTCCTCCCTGCCGATGGGGCAGGTGTCTGGATGCTCGACACCCGCGGTCTCCGCCGAGGCACCGTCCAAAATCTTGCCCATACACGTGGCTTCGTCCGTGGCGAAAGCTCGACGCAAGTCTAGCTGCGCTATCGATGCACGGATCCTTCCAACACGACGGCGAGCCTTCTGCACCGCTTGGCGATTACCCGGGTTTGTGCGCTGGGTCGTCTGCATGTCGTCCAGGGCCTCATCGAGACGATGCTCTCGTTGCGTGTGCGTCACACGTGGGGGTCGACGTCGTCGCTGGCGGGGCGGAGTAGCTCTGGGCCTGGCATAGCTAGCCGAGACGACGGTGTACGGCAGAAGGACTTCACGAAGGCGGTCAGGAATAGCAGAGATGTAACCTTCCCCTGTAATTCAACTGTCCGCGTCCACAATCTTGCAAGCCATGACCTCGGCAAACCGCTGCACTGCAGCAGCAGCCGTATCATGGTCCGCCTCGGTCAACGGACGCAATCGAAGCCGAGGTTGCCGCGCGGGAGATGAGTCTGGGCCAATAGGCAAGGTTGGAAAGACCTCACCTCCATCACGAGCAGCAATCTCGGCCTCAATGTCAAGACTGACCGTGTCCACCAGCATGTCATCGACACCAGAGTCATCAGCAGGATTTCCAGGCTCTACCGGTGTAGCAGCCGGTGGAGAGGAATCCAGGATAAAGCAGCTATCCATGACGCTAGAATGAGGCCAAACTCGACGGCGGTGCGTCGGAGGTCAAGTGCACGGTTAGCAAGACGGTCGGCGTGGGCATTGACGCTCCTGTCGATATGCCGCAGTTGGTGCCAGTCAAGGCGAGCCAACTCCGTTCGCACTTGACCTCGCAAGCGCCTAAGCCGTCGGTTGTTGCAGCCGAACGATCCGCGTACCTGAGCCAGCACCAGGTTGCTATCACCTTCGACGAGCAATCGTGTGGCACCATGGTGGACTGCGCTCTGGACCCCCACCAGCAGAGCTGTGTACTCAGCAGTGTTATTCGTTTCACTGCTGGCGGGGAGAAAGTGTGAGCACGTCCACACCACGGTGCCACTCGAGTCAAAGAGAGCCGCACCAGCGCCGCCTTGGCCAGGGTTCCTTCGGCATGCACCGTCGAAACGCAGAAGCCATGGCTCGGTCTCGGCCACACCAGCCGTCGCTTCCACTGATGGGGACGGACTTGCGGGACGTGGTGCAGGCGTAGGCGGCGGGGCCGTAGGGACAGGGGCCGGAGCACCTTCCACAGCAGTCACCCTGCCAACGGAGGAGGAAGTCCGCCGTAAGTAGGTTCGGCGCCCTGTGGAAGGCACCGTCACCACGACGCGAGGTCCCCAACGTGTCGTCGCTCGTCGAGGTGCAGCTGGCAGTGGGGGCCGAGCAGTGGGCGCTGGAACAGTCGTCTCGCCAGTGACAAGGTGGGCAACCGCCGCGGCCCCGATCGCGCAGTGACGTGGCCCCCACCGCGTGGCACGAGTACCGGATGCAGCGGGAGTCAGCGGTCGTCGCACTGCCGGAGCCAGGGTTACACGCACACCAGTCGGCGGCGTAGTGATGGCTGCTGCGTCCACTGCATGATGACGAGGCCCACATCGAGTCGATCGTGCCGTATCCCTAGCTGCAAGCACGATATCATTGCCGTGCATGTCTTCATCGCGGCCCAGCAGTGGGCCTGTATCCACACTAGCGTCATCCATGAGCTCATCCAGGTCGGGAAACGCTGCTTCCAAGTCATCAAGGCGGCGGCGTTTGCCAGCGACCCGGACTTCACGCTGTGACAGCGATGGGCACCACATGGGGGGGACATGCTGGTGCCCGGCGGAAGCGAGAGCGGTAGGTACGGCGCTCTGTTGGTGGGCAACGTCTGTGGCTACAGTGCGGCTTGATGCAGCTGCTGCTGCCGCAGACGCCACCGCAAAGAGGGTCCCGGTAGGTGGAAGGACCACCTCTTCGTGCGAGACCGCACACACGGGACGAGAACGAGAGAGTTCAGGCGACGAACCGGGAGGAGCACGTGCAGCAGGGGGCGCGTAGGACGGACTGTCACGGCAGCCCAAGGCATGTTTCGTAGCCGCTGCACGTGTCCTATGTCCAAGCCCACACATGCACCCGCTGTGGAAGCGGTCCACGAAGCAGGTGCCACGGTGGGGGGTTCGTCGGTGACAGGCCAGCGCTGCCATATCGCAAGCAGTGTACACACACAACGTGCAATGAAATGTGGGGGCGTTATGTGCGTACACTGCCAGCACAGGGTCCTGCTGACCGGTCGCAGGCTGTGGTGCAGCTTGGCAGCGACCCTGGCGACCGTCGTCCTCGCCACGCTTGCTCTCTTCGTCTTGCAAGAATTGTGCATCGAAATCAAGCGTCGCGCTGCCGTGTGGCAGCGAAGAGGCATACCCAGCTCGGTCGGGCTGCATGGGTGTCTGCCCGCCGAGCTGGTCGTCACAAACCTGTAAACATGTGACATATACGGATGCTGCAGTGGACACGGCCTCGTGAGAGGCGTCGTGCATCCCCATAGGAAGGGCCGTGCCCACTGCAGTGTATCCAGCTCGGGCAGGCAGCTCCGTAGCTACATGTCCGAGCCGGTCGTCATCACTTGAGGAGGAGGCAGCGTCGTCGTCCATCGAGGAGGCAGTGTCGTCGTCGGGGGGCCCGCCGTCGCTGTTTTCGCTATCCTCTGGGTCGCTGGGGCCTTGGAAGGCACCCAGTGCGCGAGCCGTTGCAGCTACGAGCGCGGACCCGAGCTGCACCCGGTCGGGCAGCATGCGTGCCGCCCTGCCGGGTGGAGGAGCAACAATCGCGGGGTCTCGAGCGGCGGCGGGGGCTTCCGGAGCGAGCGGGAGGGCGGGGGGAACCGTAGCGCACGCGTCTGGACCCGGGGGCTGCATGTGGGCACCCGGGGAGCCGATGCTCTGTAGATGTCCATGCTGGACCCGGTCGGGCAGCATACTTGCCGCCCTGCCGGGCCCAACATCATCGCTCGCAGTGTCTTGGGCCGCTCCCACGTCTGGGAGGGCGCTCCGCAACGTGTAGATGCCCTTGGTGCACGTCTTGGTACCCGGGCGCCGCATGCTTGCGCCCGGGGAGCCGTCGCTCTGCAGTCCTTGTCCTTGTGTCAGCGATACCCGGTCGGGCAGCGTAACGCCCGCCCTGCCGGGTATGCCAACAATCGCATCTCCATCCTGCAAGGCCACGGCAGCGGCGGGAGCGTCCTGCGAGGCGGGGGAAGCCAAACGGCGCGCGGAGGAGGCGGCGAGCGGTGTGCTTGAGGCCCCGAACGGGCCGACGCACGCTGCGCCATCTTGATCCGTGGCCGTCCGCGCGTGTTGTTGCGCGTTTCGAGAAGCCACGGCGACTCCTATACTTAAGCCAAGTATAGGCCCGAAGGTACCTTCACCGGTACCAACGGGGTGTCGCCGAGCCTCTCCCCGGTCGTCGACGGTACCCAATGTCGGGACCGGAGACCGGGCTTTCGCGCGCGCGCCAGGGACGTCGCCGCGCGCAGGCATTTGCAGGGCCAGGGGCGAGGCGTGTTCCGAACACGTGGCCCGAAGTGGCGGCGTTCGCGGCCCATTTTCGCCATCGGCGGGGCCGAAAACGGGGGCGCCAAAAATCCCTGGATGCACCTGTCCCACGTCGGCTCGTCCCATCCCGTATGGTCCCACTTCAAGTGGGATAGGGACTGCGCAACGTTCCGGGAACGGGCGCATCAGATTTGCAGCCGTCCTATCCCCGATGACGAGTTGCGTGTCATCGAGGATGGAGGACGGCGATTGGTCAAAATCCACCCCAGTCTCCGCGTCAGACGACGCGTCGTAGAACGACCCGTCGCTGGCGAGACTGGAGTGGTCGTCCGTCGAGCACTCGCTGTCGCTGAACGGCGAGCGCTCGGAGTGCCAGTCCGGCCACCAGAAGCGCATAGAAATGCGGAGGTGTAGAGCCGGGGCAGAACGAAAAAGACCAAACAACAAACGAACAATGTATTGATCGAGAGTTAAGTAGAAAAGACTAGAGTAGTACCTCGTCGGCCTCGCGGGGGAAAGGTGTACGCCCCCGGAGACCTGCCCCGTCTTAGTAGCAAGCTACTTCGACAGGATGTCCAAAAATGAATGTGAAAAAGACCGACAAAAGTCGGAAACCAGTTTTCACACTGATTAGAACAGAGAAGTATATTTATTACCGTCCGGTTAGTCCATTTCTAAAAGTATAGAAATACCCGATAGAAACTATGTGGTGTGTAAGGTAGGTACAGGGTGCACCACACAGAGCTAAACTATAACGTACCAGATGGATTTGAGGGCGGTTCCCTACTTGGGTATAGCCCTTTCGGTCACTATGGGCCCGAGTTCCGACTAGCGGCGGCCTCGATGGGACGGAGTCCCCCCCCGGTCTCCGTCACCCGACTGCCCCTTGCATCTCGTCTTGAGCGTCCATGTCTTCGTCCTTGGAACAGGTCTCGACTTGAACCTTGAACTTCACCTTGGTCCTGCTGCCTCGCGCGGTGTTGGCTGCAATGTAGATTCCATATGCGGCGGCTGGACTTAATGCACTCAGCAGAAAGGTGCCTGTCCAGCCGCTTCGCATCGCGCTTCAGCACGCCAAGTTGCTCGGTGTAAACCGCAAGGTTACCACCGGCGACTGCACCAAGCGAACCGTAGACGAGCGACGAAAGTTGAACCGTCCAACCTTGACGCTCAAGGTGTCGCTTGACGCAGTCGTACTTGGCGCGCTTGAGCGCAGCAATCCGCGCGAGCGACGACGTCCTCGGGTCGTCTGTAGCTTGGTCTTCAAAGGCCACAGCCAGATCTACAACCGACACCGAACGTGTGGTGTGGTTGTAGACCTGCAAGTCCGGCCGCAGAGCAGGTCCGGGGAGCGAGGGTACGGTTTGGTTAACCCTCAGATCAACCCTTTCCTTCCGATCACCCGCCGACGACGCTATCGCCCGTTCAATGATCGTCAGAGCGTCGTCGTGGCGGGTGCGGACTGCATCCATGGTGCCGGCACAGTGATTCAACACACGTGCCAGCGTCTCGGTCCTTGAGCAGCCAGGGAATCGACACGTGTCGTGCGTCCGAAGACGCCGGCGCTTCAAGACACTGTGGGTATCCGGCTGGTTGAGACGACCACCCACCGCAAAGCGGTAGTCGCTCTCCCAAAGACCACGGGGCCGCGAGAGGAAGGCGCTGCCAGCACCACCAAAGGTGCGAGCAGCCTTCCCTTGGTCCTTCATCGCGGCCCATCGCTTCCAGTGCTTGTTCTTGAGGTGCAGCTTCACGTGCCGAAGGACATCCCGATGGTCCAACCAACCGTCGTGGTGGGGCACGCGAAGCTGCAACCTCTTGGCCGGCGTCCCCGTCTCCTCCACCGCTGGCATCATCTCAAACTGGAGGCCGAAGCGGTGAAGGTGACCCCGGACGTCGAACCACAGCGACCCAATGTCCGCATTCCTTCGCTTGGGCGGCGCTGGGTCCGACGCCCCCAGCTTACTGTTGAGAAGGAGCTCGCCCAGTTCCTCCTCACGGTCCTTCCACAGCACGACATCCAACTTGTAGCGGGCCTCTGCAATTTGACGGAGCTGCTGGCGGGCAATGCGCTGGGTGGCAGGGTCAGAAGAGTGCAACATCTGCCACCCATGCGCCACTTGAAGTGCCCCGTGCAGCTCCGTCAAGGGCAGAAGCCCCAAACCTCCACGAGAAACAGGAGCGTAAAGAAACGCTGTCGTAGCGCTAGTCGGCAGCCGCAGCAGGTGGCGGAGACCGCGAACAAGGTGGCGATCGAAGCCCTCCAGCTGCTGTGCGAACGGTCGCAAGTGCCGGAGGGCGTACTCGACGCGCGGGTAAAGGTACACCTTGACCGCCTTGACCACCTGCCACGGCGCCAACCCGGACTGCAGCAGTGCCGTCGCATCATGCTTGAGCTGGGCGATAGCTGGGCCCAGCTCGACGCGACGGCGCACATGGTCGAAGCCATCCCCGATCCCCAAGTACTGGTAAGAGTCGGAGGCGCTGAGCGCGGGGATCGGGGTGCCGTTCAGCTGCAGCCCGAGGTCGCTGGTCTGGTGGAGACCACGCACATCTCGCTGGACTGACATGGTGCTGCACTTCAGCGAGTTAGCCTTCATGCCAGTCCAGCGTAGGAAGTCGTGCACCACTGCATGCTGTCGCTTGATGCCGTCCACGGTGCTGCTAAAGGCCTTCAAGTCGTCCGCGTAAGCAGCAGCACCGGGACGGTCTTCGCAGGACATCTTCACTCCAGTGTCGGGCAGCGACTTGAGCGCGTGAAGCAGCGGGGCGATCGCGGCGGTGAAGAGGTGGGGGCTGAGTGGGCAGCCTTGAAACACGCCCACCTACAACGCGATCGGTGCCGTGGTCCCATCCACAGCGTTACCAATTGTAAACGCTGCGCCTGCGTAGAGACCACGGCTACAAGCGACAAACTCGGGCGGAACACCCTGCCGTTGTAGCGCTTCCCATAGCAAGTCGTGTGGCACGCTACCAAAAGCGTTGGCAAAGTCGTACCACACGACATGCAACTCTTGATGCTTGCGGCGGGCTTGGTCGACGAGCATGGCTGCGAGGAAGTTGTGTTCCCCGCAGCCGTTCATGGCTCGAAAGCCCTTCTGCTCGTCGGCATGGCGACTGTTGACGTCGAGCCAGCGCGTAAAGCGACGCGACAAGACGCCGGCGTACAACTTGTAGATGGCCTGCTGCAAGCAGATCGGCCGCCAATTGGATGGGTCGAGCCGATCGCCCTTCTTGTGCAGCAGGCGCACCACGCCAACCTTCCAGCTCTGCGGCACACGCTTGGACTGCCAGCAGCGCGCGAACGCTGCATGCAGGGCGGGCAGAAGCTGGGCCGTGAACAGCTTGAAGATGTCATAGCCGACACCGTCCAAGCCAGGGCTGGAACTGTCACGCGCACGCTGCACTTGGTCCTCGATCTCATGCGAAGACGGCCCATCCGTGAGCAGCGCCATGTCAACTGTCGCTGGAGGCAGGCGGTCCATGGCCGCGCGGAACGAGGCTCCAACTGGCGCCATAGGGTCGAAGGCACCCACTGGGGTGTTTACCTCGGTAAAGAACCGGTGCAGGCTCTCCCCTGGAATAGGGCAGGTGCCTTCCTCCACGTCCACACAGTCCGGCGGAGGCGCAGAGGTGCTGGCTGGCGTAGCCGCAGCCTCGTCTGCCTCGCGCTGGGACCGAGCCGTCGCCAGGATGCTCTCAACACACACCTTCTCCGAAGTCTCGAAGAGGTGGCGGAGGCGTTGCTGCGAAATGGAGGAGTTGATCCTCCCCACACGACGACGTGCCTTGGCAACAACCTTGCGGTTGCCCGGCTCGCTACGCTGGACAGCATGCATGGCGTCCAGAGCCTCGTCAAGCCGGTACTCACGGTGATGACGTGTCACACGGGGCGGACGTGTGCGCCGGCGCCCCATGCCACCACCGGAGTGACCACGGCGACGACGTGAACGGCTGCCACCTTGGCGCTGACCGTCTAGCGTCACGGCCTGCGCCGGACCTTGGTGTGGCTCCGGTCGCCTGGCAGGACGCACGTCTGGATAGTGCAGCTGCGGGCGCTGGGAGTGAGGTTGGGCGGGGTGCTGTGTCTGGGAGTAAGGCTGCAGTTGATCGTACAGCGCATACGGGAGGGCTGTGATGTAGCCCTCCGCCTCCTCCCAGTCATCAGCGTCCGTTATCTTGGCAGCTAGCCTCGCTGCTAGCCGCTCCACCAACTTGCCCGCAGCCTCTTCCTCGTCTTCGTTTAGCTGCCGTAGGCGCAGTCGCGACCGGCGATGAGGCACTGCATCAGGCCCTACACTCATCGCTGCATACACCTCGCCATCATCGATGTCCCCCATGTCATCAGCATCTGCGGGGCTTGGGGGATCATCAGTGCCCACCGCGACATGCGGTGTGGCAGGCGGAGGTGCAGCTGCGGGTGCAGGGGCCGTCCTGGAGGTGGAGGTGCATCCATGTCCATCGGTATGCACCCCACACTCCAACGTGGTCGTGCGGCGGTAAAGAGCGGCATTGGCGAGGCGGTCGGCATGACCATTCGCCTGCCTGTCGATGGGATGAAGCGTTGCCCGCTCCATCCGCGCCAGCTCCGCCTTGACCGCAATGCGCATTAGCCTCAGGCGCTTGTTGCGTGTGGCGAATATGCCACGCACCTGCTGGATGACAAGTGCTGTCACCCTCGATCCGCAAGCGCGTGACACCGTGGTCGGCGGCAGCCCGTGTGCCGAGCAGCAGCGCGGTGTACTCGGCCGTGTTGTTGGTTTCGCCGCTGCTCGGCATGTAGCGGGAACACGTCCACACTACGGGGCCGCTGGGCTTGAATAGCGCAGCGCCGGCGCCGCCTGGACCAGGGTTCTTGCGGCAGGCACCGTCGAAGCGCAGCAGCAACTCGCCATCACCTTCATCGGCGTCGTCCACGTCGTCGCTTTCGCCTACCTTCGTCTCTTCCTCCTCCGTCAGCTCCGGCGGGAGCAGACGGTCAGCGATCCTCGACACCACCACGCTGCGAGGCAGTGGTGAACCCCATCGTGGGGCAGGAACAGCGGAGAGGCGAGACGCGACACGCGAAGCAACCACCTGCCGAGGAAGCGGAGCGCTCCATCGTGATGTCTTGGTCCTGTCATCAGTGGTGCTCGCATGTGGGGGGGACACAGCGAGCACCGGAGGGTCTTGGCGGGGCAATACGGGATTGGCTGTAGCCACCGTAGCGCTGGCATTGACTTCACCAGCAGTGGGGCTGAGATCCCCTGCTGCTGGCGTAGTCGCAGCCGAAGTGTCGTTGAGACTGGCGCACGCTTGCGCGTGGTTAGCTGCAGCCAGCCTCGACACGAAAGGTGTGCCGCACGCACAACCTGCCGAGAACCGGTCGAAGAAGGCGATGCGGCGATGCCTTGAGTCCCGGTGGCGCTTGAGCGAAGCAAAGCTTGACGCCGTATATGCACACAGCGTGCACGTGAATTGCGGCGCGTTGTGGGCATACACGGACAGGACGGAGGCCGGAAGTGCGCTGGCCGCGGATGGCCTAAGCGCTGAGTTCAAGGGGCCGGCCTCGACGTCCTCGAGCAGCAGTTGCTCGGCTTGCTCGCGCTCATCCCCGTCATCCTCGTCGTTCAAGCGGCGACGCTTGCCGTTGAGGCGGAGCACGAGAGGAGGAGACGGCGGAGTGAGGCTTGCTGCCTGCCACGTCGCGCCCTGGTCCACCTCCATGGGGACGGCTGCGGTCGTGGCAGGAGCCTGTGCAGCACCCACGGGCAGCATGATACCCGCCCTGCCGGGTGTGCAGTCATCATCATGGGGACAGGGCCCAGCAACAGCGGACGGCTCGTCGCCGCAAGGCATCGAAGCGTCACACCCGACTCGGTCAGGCAGTATGGGAGCCTGCCTGCCGAGCCGGTCGTCACAGGTACGTGAGACATAAACAATTGCTGTAGTGGACACGGCCTCGCTGACGGTGTCGTGCATGCCCGCGGGAGCGGCCGCGGCCACTGCAGTGTATCCAGCTCGGGCAGGCAGCTCCGTAGCTACATGCCCGAGCCGGTCGTCATCACTTGAGGAGGAGGCAGCGTCGTCGTCCATCGAGGAGGCAGTGTCGTCGTCGGGGGCCCCGCCGTCGCTGTTTTCGCTATCCTCTGGGTCGCTGGGGCCTTGGAAGGCACCCAGTGCGCGAGCCGTTGCGGCTACGAGCGCGGACCCGAGCTGCACCCGGTCGGGCAGCATGCGTGCCGCCCTGCCGGGTGGAGGAGCAACAATCGCGGGGTCTCGAGCGGCGGCGGGGGCTTCCGGAGCGAGCGGGAGGGCGGGGGGAACCGTCGCGCACGCGTCTGGACCCGGGGGCTGCCTGTGGGCACCCGGGGAGCCGATGCTATGTAGATGTCCATGCTGGACCCGGTCGGGCAGCATACTTGCCGCCCTGCCGGGCCCAACATCATCGCTCGCAGTGTCTTGGGCCGCTCCCACGTCTGGGAGGGCGCTCCGCAACGTGTAGATGCCCTTGGTGCACGTCTTGGTACCCGGGCGCCGCATGCTTGCGCCCGGGGAGCCGTCGCTCTGCAGTCCTTGTCCTTGTGTCAGCGATACCCGGTCGGGCAGCGTAACGCCCGCCCTGCCGGGTATGCCAACAACCGCATCTTCATCCTGCAAGGCCACGGCAGCGGCGGGAGCGTCCTGCGAGGCGGGGGAAGCCAAACGGCGCGCGGAGGAGGCGGCGAGCGGTGTGCTTGAGGCCCCGAACGGGCCGACGCACGCTGCGCCATCTTGATCCGTGGCCGTCCGCGCGTGTTGTTGCGCGTTTCGAGAAGCCACGGCGACTCCTATATTTAAGCCAAGTATAGGCCCGAAGGTACCTTCACCGGTACCAACGGGGTGTCGCCGGGCCTCTCCCCGGTCGTCGACGGTACCGAATGTCGGGACCGGAGACCGGGCTTTCGCGCGCGCGCCAGGGACGTCGCCGCGCGCAGGCATTTGCAGGGCCAGGGGCTAGGCGTGTTCCGAACACGTGCCCGAAGTGGCGGCGTCCAACTCCGCGTCACCGCCGCGGGGCGGTGTCGCGCGTGGCGGCGTTCGCGGCCCATTTTCGCCATCGGCGGGGCCGAAAACGGGGGCGCCAAAAATCCCTGGATGCGCCTGTCCCACGTTGGCTTGTCCCATCCCGTATGGTCCCACTTCAAGTGGGATAGGGACTGCGCAACGTTCCGGGAACGGGCGCATCAGATTTGCAGCCGTCCTATCCCCGATGACGAGTTGCGTGTCATCGAGGATGGAGGACGGCGATTGGTCAAAATCCACCCCAGTCTCCGCGTCAGACGACGCGTCGTAGAACGACCCGTCGCTGGCGAGACTGGAGTGGTCGTCCGTCGAGCACTCGCTGTCGCTGAACGGCGAGCGCTCGGAGTGCCAGTCCGGCCACCAGAAGCGCATAGAAATGCGGAGGTGTAGAGCCGGGGCAGAACGAAAAAGACCAAACAACAAACGAACAATGTATTGATCGAGAGTTAAGTAGAAAAGACTAGAGTAGTACCTCGTCGGCCTCGCGGGGGAAAGGTGTACGCCCCCGGAGACCTGCCCCGTCTTAGTAGCAAGCTACTTCGACAGGATGTCCAAAAATGAATGTGAAAAAGACCGACAAAAGTCGGAAACCAGTTTTCACAATGATTAGAACAGAGAAGTATATTTATTACCGTCCGGTTAGTCCATTTCTAAAGGGCATAGAAATACCCGATAGAAACTATGTGGTGTGTAAGTTAGGTACAGGGTGCACCACACAGAGCTGAACTATAACGTACCAGATGGATTTGAGGGCGGTTCCCTACTTGGGTATGGCCCTGTCGGCCACTATGGGCCCGAGTTCCGACTAGCGGCGGCCTTGATGTGACGGGTTCCCCCCGGTCCCCGTCACTCGGCTGCCCCTTGCATCTTGTCTTGAGCGTCCATGTCTTCGTCCTTGGAACAGGTCTCGACTTGAACCTTGAACTTCACCTTGGTCCTGCTGCCTCGCGCGGTGTTGGCTGCAATGTAGATTCCATATGCGGCGGCTGGACTTAATGCACTCAGCAGAAAGGTGCCTGTCCAGCCGCTTCGCATCGCGCTTCAGCACGCCAAGTTGCTCGGTGTAAACCGCAAGGTTACCACCGGCGACTGCACCAAGCGAACCGTAGACGAGCGACGAAAGTTGAACCGTCCAACCTTGACGCTCAAGGTGTCGCTTGACGCAGTCGTACTTGGCGCGCTTGAGCGCAGCAATCCGCGCGAGCGACGACGTCCTCGGGTCGTCTGTAGCTTGGTCTTCAAAGGCCACAGCCAGATCTACAACCGACACCGAACGTGTGGTGTGGTTGTAGACCTGCAAGTCCGGCCGCAGAGCAGGTCCGGGGAGCGAGGGTACGGTTTGGTTAACCCTCAGATCAACCCTTTCCTTCCGATCACCCGCCGACGACGCTATCGCCCGTTCAATGATCGTCAGAGCGTCGTCGTGGCGGGTGCGGACTGCATCCATGGTGCCGGCACAGTGATTCAACACACGTGCCAGCGTCTCGGTCCTTGAGCAGCCAGGGAATCGACACGTGTCGTGCGTCCGAAGACGCCGGCGCTTCAAGACACTGTGGGTATCCGGCTGGTTGAGACGACCACCCACCGCAAAGCGGTAGTCGCTCTCCCAAAGACCACGGGGCCGCGAGAGGAAGGCGCTGCCAGCACCACCAAAGGTGCGAGCAGCCTTCCCTTGGTCCTTCATCGCGGCCCATCGCTTCCAGTGCTTGTTCTTGAGGTGCAGCTTCACGTGCCGAAGGACATCCCTATGGTCCAACCAACCGTCGTGGTGGGGCACGCGAAGCTGCAACCTCTTGGCCGGCGTCCCCGTCTCCTCCACCGCTGGCATCATCTCAAACTGGAGGCCGAAGCGGTGAAGGTGACCCCGGACGTCGAACCACAGCGACCCAATGTCCGCATTCCTTCGCTTGGGCGGCGCTGGGTCCGACGCCCCCAGCTTACTGTTGAGAAGGAGCTCGCCCAGTTCCTCCTCACGGTCCTTCCACAGCACGACATCCAACTTGTAGCGGGCCTCTGCAATTTGACGGAGCTGCTGGCGGGCAATGCGCTGGGTGGCAGGGTCAGAAGAGTGCAACATCTGCCACCCATGCGCCACTTGAAGTGCCCCGTGCAGCTCCGTCAAGGGCAGAAGCCCCAAACCTCCACGAGAAACAGGGAGCGTAAAGAAACGCTGTCGTAGCGCTAGTCGGCAGCCGCAGCAGGTGGCGGAGACCGCGAACAAGGTGGCGATCGAAGCCCTCCAGCTGCTGTGCGAACGGTCGCAAGTGCCGGAGGGCGTACTCGACGCGCGGGTAAAGGTACACCTTGACCGCCTTGACCACCTGCCACGGCGCCAGCCCGGACTGCAGCAGTGCCGTCGCATCATGCTTGAGCTGGGCGATAGCTGGGCCCAGCTCGACGCGACGGCGCACATGGTCGAAGCCATCCCCGATCCCCAAGTACTGGTAAGAGTCGGAGGCGCTGAGCGCGGGGATCGGGGTGCCGTTCAGCTGCAGCCCGAGGTCGCTGGTCTGGTGGAGACCACGCACATCTCGCTGGACTGACATGGTGCTGCACTTCAGCGAGTTAGCCTTCATGCCAGTCCAGCGTAGGAAGTCTTGCACCACCGAATGTTGACGCTGGTAACCGTCCACGGTGCTGCTGAATGTCTTCAAGTCGTCTGCGTAAGCAGCAGCACCGGGACGGTCTTCGCTTGACAGCTTCACTCCAGTGTCCGGCAGCGACTTGAGCGCGTGAAGCAGCGGGGCGATCGCGGCGGTGAAGAGGTGGGGGCTGAGAGGGCAGCCTTGAAACACGCCCACCTTCAACGCGATCGGTGCCGTGGTCCCATCCACAGCGTTACCAATTGTAAACGCTGCGCCTGCGTAGAGACCACGGCAACAAGCGACAAACTCGGGCGGAACACCCTGCCGTTGTAGCGCTTCCCATAGCAAGTCGTGTGGCACGCTACCAAAAGCGTTAGCAAAGTCGTACCACACGACATGCAACTCTTGATGCTTGCGGCGGGCTTGGTCGACGAGCATGGCTGCGAGGAAGTTGTGTTCCCCGCAGCCGTTCATGGCTCGAAAGCCCTTCTGCGCGTCGGCATGGCGACCGTTGACGTCGAGCCAGCGCGTAAAGCGACGCGACAAGACGCCGGCGTACAACTTGTAGATGGCCTGCTGCAAGCAGATCGGCCGCCAATTGGATGGGTCGAGCCGATCGCCCTTCTTGTGCAGCAGGCGCACCACGCCAACCTTCCAGCTCTGCGGCACACGCTTGGACTGCCAGCAGCGCGCGAACGCCGCATGCAGGGCGGGCAGAAGCTGGGCCGTGAACAGCTTGAAGATGTCATAGCCGACACCGTCCAAGCCAGGGCTGGAACTGCCACGCGCACGCTGCACTTGGTCCTCGATCTCATGCGAAGACGGCCCATCCGTGAGCAGCGCCATGTCAACTGTCGCTGGAGGCAGGCGGTCCATGGCCGCGCGGAACGAGGCTCCGACTGGCGCCATAGGGTCGAAGGCACCCACCGGGGTGTTCACCTCGGTAAAGAACCGGTGCAGGCTCTCCCCTGGAATAGGGCAGGTGCCTTCCTCCACGTCCACACAGTCCGGCGGAGGCGCAGAGGTGCTGGCTGGCGTAGCCGCAGCCTCATCTGCCTCGCGCTTGGACCGAGCCGTCGCCAGGATGCTCTCAACACACACCTTCTCCGAAGTCTCGAAGAGGTGGCGGAGGCGTTGCTGTGAAATGGAGGAGTTGATCCTCCCCACACGACGACGTGCCTTGGCAACAACCTTGCGGTTGCCCGGCTCGCTACGCTGGACAGCATGCATGGCGTCCAGAGCCTCGTCAAGCCGGTACTCACGGTGATGACGTGTCACACGGGGCGGACGTGTGCGCCGGCGCCCCATGCCACCACCGGAGTGACCACGGCGACGACGTGAACGGCTGCCACCTTGGCGCTGACCGTCTAGCGTCACGGCCTGCGCCGGACCTTGGTGTGGCTCCGGTCGCCTGGCAGGACGCACGTCTGGATAGTGCAGCTGCGGGCGCTGGGAGTGAGGTTGGGCGGGGTGCTGTGTCTGGGAGTAAGGCTGCAGTTGATCGTACAGCGCATACGGGAGGGCTGTGATGTAGCCCTCCGCCTCCTCCCAGTCATCAGCGTCCGTTATCTTGGCAGCTAGCCTCGCTGCTAGCCGCTCCACCAACTTGCCCGCAGCCTCTTCCTCGTCTTCGTTTAGCTGCCGTAGGCGCAGTCGCGACCGGCGATGAGGCACTGTATCCGGCCCCACACTCATCGCTGCATACACCTCGCCATCGTCGATGTCCCCCATGTTGTCGTCATCGACGGGGCTTGGGGGGACATCCGTGTCCACCGCGACATGCGGTGTGGCAGGCGGGGGTGTAGCTGCGGGTGCAGGGGCCAGAGTGGAGGTGGAGGTGCATCCATGTCCATCGGTATGCACCCCGCACTCCAACTCGGTCGCGCGGCGGTCAAGAGCGGCGTTGGCGAGGCGGTCGGCATGACCATTCGCCTGCCTGTCGATGGGATGAAGCGTTGCCCGCTCCATCCGCGCCAGCTCCGCCTTGACCGCAATGCGCATTAGCCTCAGGCGCTTGTTGCGTGTGGCGAATATGCCACGCACCTGCTGGATGACAAGTGCTGTCACCCTCGATCCGCAAGCGCGTGACACCGTGGTCGGCGGCAGCCCGTGTGCCGAGCAGCAGCGCGGTGTACTCGGCCGTGTTGTTGGTTTCGCCGCTGCTCGGCATGTAGTGGGAACACGTCCACACTACGGGGCCGCTGGGCTTGAATAGCGCAGCGCCGGCGCCGCCAGGCCCAGGGTTTGCCCGGCAGGCATCGTCAAGGCGCAGCAGCCACTCGCCGTCCATGTCCTGGTCGTCGTTGACGTCCTCGTCGTCGCTGTCACCAGCCTTGGTCTCCTCCTCCTCCGTTAACTCTGGCGGGAGGAGACGGTCGGCAATCCTTGACACCACCACGCTGCGAGGCAGTGGTGGACCCTAATGTGGGGCGGGAACCTCGGAGAGGTGGGACGCAACACGAGAAGCAACCAGCTGCCGTGGGAGCGGGGGGCTCCATCTGGACTCTGTCGACCTGTCATGAGTGGTGCTCGACTGTGGGGGGGACACAGTGAGCACCGGAGGGTCTTGGCGGGGCAGCACGGGTTCGGTGTGGGCCACCGTAGCGGTGGCATTGACTGCACCAGCAGTGGGGCTGAGATCCCCGGCTGCTGACGCGGTCGCAGCCGAAGTGTCGCGGAGGCTGGCACACGCGCGAGCGTGGTTTGCTGCTGCCAGCCTCGATACGAAAGGCGTGCCGCACGCACAACCTGCCGAGAAGCGGTCGAGGAAGGAGATGCGTCGGTGCCGTGAGTCCCTGTGTCGCTTGAGCGCAGCAAAGCTTGAGGCCGTGTATGTACACAGTGTGCACGTGAAGCGCTGCGCGTTGTGGGCATACACGGCCAGGACGGAGGCCGGGAGTGCGCTAGCCGTGGATGGCCAAAGCGCTGAGTGCTTGGGGCCGGCCTCAACGTCCTCGAGCAGCAGTTGCTCGGCTTGCTCGCGCGGGTCGTCGTCGGCGTCATCGCTCAAGCGGCGACGCTTGCCGCCGAGGCGGAGCACGAGAGGCGGCGTGCCCGGTACATGGCTGGCTGCCTGCTACGTCGCGCACTGGTCAACCTCCATGGGGACGGCAGCGGTCGTGGCAGGAGCCTGTGCAGGACCCGCAGGCAGCATGGTACCAGCCCTGCCGGGTGTGCAGTCATCGGTTTGGGGGCAGGGCCCAGCAGACAACTCGTTGCCGCAAGGCATCGGAGCGTCGCACCCGGCTCGGTCGGGCAGTATGGGTGTCTGCCAGCCGAGCCGGTCGTCACAGGTACGTGAGACATCAACAACATCATAAACAATTGCTGCAGTGGACACGGCCTCGCTGATGGTAGCGTGCATGCCCGCGGGAGCGGCCGCGGCCACTGCAGTGTACCCAGCTCGGGCAGGCAGCTCCGTAGCTACATGCCCGAGCCGGTCGTCATCACTTGAGGAGGAGGCAGCGTCGTCGTCCATCGAGGAGGCAGTGTCGTCGTCGGGGGCCCCGCCGTCGCTGTTTTCGCTATCCTCTGGGTCGCTGGGGCCTTGGAAGGCACCCAGTGCGCGAGCCGTTGCGGCTACGAGCGCGGACCCGAGCTGCACCCGGTCGTGCAGCATGCGTGCCGCCCTGCCGGGTCTAGCAGCAACAATCGCGGGGCCTCGAGCGGCGGCGGGGGCTTCCGGAGCGAGCGGGAGGGCGGGGGGAACCGTTGCGCACGCGTCTGGACCCGGGGGCTGCCTGTGGGCACCCGGGGAGCCGACGCTCTGTAGATGTCCATGCTGGACCCGGTCGGGCAGCATGCTTGCCGCCCTGCCGGGCCCAACATCATCGCTAGCAGTGTCTTCGGCCGCTCCCACGTCTGGGAGGGCGCTCCGTAACGTGTAGATGCCCTTGGTGCACGTCTTGGTACCCGGGCGCCGCATGCTTGCGCCCGGGGAGCCGTCGCTCTGCAGTCCTTGTCCTTGTGTCGGCGATACCCGGTCGGGCAGCGTAACGCCCGCCCTGCCGGGTATGCCAACAATCGCATCTTCATCCTGCGAGGCCACGGCAGCGGCGGTAGCGTCCGGCGAGGCGGGGGAAGCCAAACGGCGCGCGGAGGAGGCGGCGAGCGGTGTGCTTGAGGCCCCGAACGGGCCGACGCACGCTGCGCTACCTTGATCCGTGGCCGTCCGCGCGTTTTGTTGCGCGTTTCGAGAAGCCACGGCGACTCCTATACTTAAACCAAGTATATTGTCGAAGGTAGCTTCGGAGGTACCAACGGGGGGTCGCCAGGCCTCTTCCCGTTCAATGATGGCACCCAAAATCGGGGCCGGAGACCGGGGGGATTCGCGCGCGACAGAGACCTCTGCGCGCGCGAGAACTTGGTAGGCACTGGGCGATGCGGGATTCAAACCCGTGCCCGAAGTTGCGGCGCCTAACTCCGCGTCATTGCCGCAAGGCGATGTCGCGCGTAGACGCACTCGGGGCCCCGGAAGGGGATTATTGGAAGTACCAGTGTGTACCCCTACCCCTTTTCCGACGGCGACCGTTCCCAGGCAGTTTCGTCCCACCCGTTCCGCAAAGAAGGGTGACGAACTTTCTGGGAACAGTCTTAAATCAGACTGCCCCGCCTCTTACCCAGTGACCAGTTGCGTGTCATCTGGGAGAGGGGGCATTTCGTCGTGTCCCACTCCAGTTTCGTCATCAGGCGACGCGTCATAGAAAGATGCATCGCTGGCGAGACTGGAGTGGCTGTCCGTAGAGCACTCACTATCGCTAGATAGAGAGCGCTCTCGAGGCTCCCAACCCGGCCACCAAAACCGCATAGAAGGGGCGATAGTGGAAAGGCCAGGGCAGAAAGGACAGATCGACAAACGGTACAGAACGAACTAAGATAGAACGAACGAAAGTAGAAAAGAAGCAAGTTTATTGTAGTCGGCCTCACGAGGGTTAGGTGTAAGCCACTCGGAGACCTTCCTAAAATAGTATCGCTACTATGTCAGGACGTCCAAAAATGAATGTGAAAAAGACCGACAAAAGTCGGAAACCAGTTTTCACACTGATTAGAACAGATAAGGGTGTGTATTACCGTCTGGTTAGTCTATTTCTAAAGGGTATAGAAATACCCAATAGAAACTGTGTGGTGTGTAAGTTAGGTACAGGTTGCACCACACAGAGCTAAACTATAACGTACCAGAGGGATTTGAGGACGGTTCCCTACTTGGGTATGGCCCTGTCGGCCACTATGGGCCCGAACGACGCTTAGCGGCGGCCTCGATGGGACGGAGTCCCCCCGGTCTCCGTCACCCGACTGCCCCTTGCATCTTGTCTTGAGCGTCCATGTCTTCGGCCATGAACGTGGGCTTGACTTGGACCTTGAGCTTGATCGTGACCATTCTGTCGCTCGCGGTGCTGGCCGCAGTGCAAATTCCATATGCGGCGGCTGGACTTAATGCACTCAGCAGAAAGTTGCTTGTCCAGCCGCTTCGCATCACGCTTCAGCACACCAAGGTGATCGGTGTAAACCGCAAGGTTACCACCGGCGACTGCGCCAAGCGAACCATAGACGAGCGCTGAAAGGTGGACCGTCCAACCTTGACGCTCTAGGTGTCGCTTGACGCAGTCGTACTTGGCGCGCTTGAGCGCAGCAATCCGCGCGAGCGACGACGTCCTCGGGTCGTCTGTAGCTTGGTCTTCAAAGGCCACAGCCAGATCTACAACCGACACCGAACGTGTGGTGTGGTTGTAGACCTGCAAGTCCGGCCGCAGAGCAGGTCCGGGGAGCGAGGGTACGGTTTGGTTAACCCTCAGATCAACCCTTTCCTTCCGATCACCCGCCGACGACGCTATCGCCCGTTCAATGATCGTCAGAGCGTCGTCGTGGCGGGTGCGGACTGCATCCATGGTGCCGGCACAGTGATTCAACACATGTGCCAGCGTCTCGGTCCTTGAGCAGCCAGGGAATCGACACTTGTCGTGCGTCCGAAGACGCCGGCGCTTCAAGACACTGTGGGTGTCGGGCTGGTTGAGACGACCACCCACCGCAAAGCGGTAGTCGCTCTCCCAAAGCCCACGGGGCCGCGAGAGGAAGGCGCTGCCAGCACCACCAAGGGTGCGAGCAGCCTTGCCTTGGTCCGTCATCGCGGCCCATCGCTTCCAGTGCTTGTTCTTGAGGTGCAGCTTCACGTGCCGAAGGACATCCCTATGGTCCAACCAACCGTCGTGGTGGGGCACGCGAAGCTGCAACCTCTTGGCCGGCGTCCCTGTCTCCTCCACCGCTGGCACCATCTCAAACTTGAGGCCGAAGCGGTGAAGGTGACCCCGGACGTCGAACCACAGCGACCCAATGTCCGCATTCCGTCGCTTGGGCGGCGCTGGGTCCGACGCCCCCAGCTTACTGTTGAGAAGGAGCTCGCCCAGCTCCTCCTCACGGTCCTTCCACAGCACGACATCCAACTTGTAGCGGGCCTCTGCAATTTGACGGAGCTGCTGGCGGGCAATGCGCTGGGTGGCAGGGTCAGAAGAGTGCAACATCTGCCACCCATGCGCCACTTGAAGTGCCCCGTGCAGCTCCGTCAAGGGCAGAAGCCCCAAACCTCCACGAGAAACAGGAGCGTAAAGAAACGCTGTCGTAGCGCTAGTCGGCAGCCGCAGCAGGTGGCGGAGACCGCGAACAAGGTGGCGATCGAAGCCCTCCAGCTGCTGTGCGAACGGTCGCAAGTGCCGGAGGGCGTACTCGACGCGCGGGTAAAGGTACACCTTGACCGCCTTGACCACCTGCCACGGCGCCAGCCCGGACTGCAGCAGTGCCGTCGCATCATGCTTGAGCTGGGCGATAGCTGGGCCCAGCTCGACGCGACGGCGCACATGGTCGAAGCCATCCCCGATCCCCAAGTACTGGTAAGAGTCGGAGGCGCTGAGCGCGGGGATCGGGGTGCCGTTCAGCTGCAGCCCGAGGTCGCTGGTCTGGTGGAGACCACGCACATCTCGCTGGACTGACATGGTGCTGCACTTCAGCGAGTTAGCCTTCATGCCAGTCCAGCGTAGGAAGTCTTGCACCACCGAATGTTGACGCTGGAAACCGTCCACGGTGCTGCTGAATGTCTTCAAGTCGTCTGCGTAAGCAGCAGCACCGGGACGGTCTTCGCTTGACAGCTTCACTCCAGTGTCCGGCAGCGACTTGAGCGCGTGAAGCAGCGGGGCGATCGCGGCGGTGAAGAGATGGGGGCTGAGTGGGCAGCCTTGAAACACCCCCACCTTCAACGCGATCGGTGCCGTGGTCCCATCCACAGCGTTACCAATTGTAAACGCTGCGTCTGCGTAGAGACCACGGCAACAAGCGACAAACTCGGGCGGAACACCCTGCCGTTGTAGCGCTTCCCATAGCAAGTCGTGTGGCACGCTACCAAAAGCGTTGGCAAAGTCGTACCACACGACATGCAACTCTTGATGCTTGCGGCGGGCTTGGTCGACGAGCATGGCTGCGAGGAAGTTGTGTTCCCCGCAGCCGTTCATGGCTCGAAAGCCCTTCTGCGCGTCGGCATGGCGACCGTTGACGTCGAGCCAGCGCGTAAAGCGACGCGACAAGACGCCGGCGTACAACTTGTAGATGGCCTGCTGCAAGCAGATCGGCCGCCAATTGGATGGGTCGAGCCGATCGCCCTTCTTGTGCAGCAGGCGCACCACGCCAACCTTCCAGCTCTGCGGCACACGCTTGGACTGCCAGCAGCGCGCGAACGCCGCATGCAGGGCGGGCAGAAGCTGGGCCGTGAACAGCTTGAAGATGTCATAGCCGACACCGTCCAAGCCAGGGCTGGAACTGCCACGCGCACGCTGCACTTGGTCCTCGATCTCATGCGAAGACGGCCCATCCGTGAGCAGCGCCATGTCAACTGTCGCTGGAGGCAGGCGGTCCATGGCCGCGCGGAACGAGGCTCCGACTGGCGCCATAGGGTCGAAGGCACCCACCGGGGTGTTCACCTCGGTAAAGAACCGGTGCAGGCTCTCCCCTGGAATGGGGCAGGTGCCTTCCTCCACGTCCACACAGTCCGGCGGAGGCGCAGAGGTGCTGGCTGGCGTAGCCGCAGCCTCATCTGCCTCGCGCTTGGACCGAGCCGTCGCCAGGATGCTCTCAACACACACCTTCTCCGAAGTCTCGAAGAGGTGGCGGAGGCGTTGCTGTGAAATGGAGGAGTTGATCCTCCCCACACGACGACGTGCCTTGGCAACAACCTTGCGGTTGCCCGGCTCGCTACGCTGGACAGCATGCATGGCGTCCAGAGCCTCGTCAAGCCGGTGCTCACGGTGATGACGTGTCACACGGGGCGGACGTGTGCGCCGGCGCCCCATGCCACCACCGGAGTGACCACGGCGACGACGTGAACGGCTGCCACCTTGGCGCTGACCGTCTAGCGTCACGGCCTGCGCTGGACCTTGGTGTGGCTCCGGTCGCCTGGCAGGACGCACGTCTGGATGGTGCAGCTGCGGGCGCTGGGAGTGAGGTTGGGCGGGGTGCTGTGTCTGGGAGTAAGGCTGCAGTTGATCGTACAGCGCATACGGGAGGGCTGTGATGTAGCCCTCCGCCTCCTCCCAGTCATCAGCGTCCGTTATCTTGGCAGCTAGCCTCGCTGCTAGCCGCTCCACCAACTTGCCCGCAGCCTCTTCCTCGTCTTCGTTTAGCTGCCGTAGGCGCAGTCGGGACCGGCGATGAGGCACTGCATCCGGCCCCACACTCATCGCTGCATACACCTCGCCATCGTCGATGTCCCCCATGTCGTCATCATCTACGGGGCTTGGGGGACATCCGTGCCCACCGCGACATGCGGTGTGGCAGGCGGGGGTGCAGCTGCGGGTGCAGGGGCCAGAGTGGAGGTGGAGGTGCATCCATGTCCATCGGTATGCACCCCGCACTCCAACTCGGTCGCGCGGCGGTCAAGAGCGGCGTTGGCGAGGCGGTCGGCATGACCATTCGCCTGCCTGTCGATGGGATGAAGCGTTGCCCGCTCCATCCGCGCCAGCTCCGCCTTGACCGCAATGCGCATTAGCCTCAGGCGCTTGTTGCGTGTGGCGAATATGCCACGCACCTGCTGGATGACAAGTGCTGTCACCCTCGATCCGCAAGCGCGTGACACCGTGGTCGGCGGCAGCCCGTGTGCCGAGCAGCAGCGCGGTGTACTCGGCCGTGTTGTTGGTTTCGCCGCTGCTCGGCATGTAGTGGGAACACGTCCACACTACGGGGCCGCTGGGCTTGAATAGCGCAGCGCCGGCGCCGCCAGGCCCAGGGTTTGCCCGGCAGGCATCGTCAAGGCGCAGCAGCCACTCGCCGTCCATGTCCTGGTCGTCGTTGACGTCCTCGTCGTCGCTGTCACCAGCCTTGGTCTCCTCCTCCTCCGTTAACTCTGGCGGGAGGAGACGGTCGGCAATCCTTGACACCACCACGCTGCGAGGCAGTGGTGGACCCTAATGTGGGGCGGGAACCTCGGAGAGGTGGGACGCAACACGAGAAGCAACCAGCTGCCGTGGGAGCGGGGGGCTCCATCTGGACTCTGTCGACCTGTCATGAGTGGTGCTCGACTGTGGGGGGACACAGCGAGCACCGGAGGGTCTTGGCGGGGCAGCACGGGTTCGGTGTGGGCCACCGTAGCGGTGGCATTGACTGCACCAGCAGTGGGGCTGAGATCCCCGGCTGCTGACGCGGTCGCAGCCGAAGTGTCGCGGAGGCTGGCACACGCGCGAGCGTGGTTTGCTGCTGCCAGCCTCGATACGAAAGGCGTGCCGCACGCACAACCTGCCGAGAAGCGGTCGAGGAAGGAGATGCGGCGGTGCCGTGAGTCCCTGTGTCGCTTGAGCGAAGCAAAGCTTGAGGCCGTGTATGTACACAGTGTGCACGTGAAGCGCTGCGCGTTGTGGGCATACACGGCCAGGACGGAGGCCGGGAGTGCGCTGGCCGTGGATGGCCAAAGCGCTGAGTGCTTGGGGCCGGCCTCAACGTCCTCGAGCAGCAGTTGCTCGGCTTGCTCGCGCGGGTCGTCGTCGGCGTCATCGCTCAAGCGGCGACGCTTGCCGCCGAGGCGGAGCACGAGAGGAGGCGACGTGCGGAGTGATGGCTGGCTGCCTGCTACGTCGCGCACTGGTCAACCTCCATGGGGACGGCAGCGGTCGTGGCAGGAGCCTGTGCAGGACCCGCAGGCAGCATGGTACCAGCCCTGCCGGGTGTGCAGTCATCGGTTTGGGGGCAGGGCCCAGCAAGACAACTCGTTGCCGCAAGGCATCGGAGCGTCGCACCCGGCTCGGTCGGGCAGTATGGGTGTCTGCCAGCCGAGCCGGTCGTCACAGGTACGTGAGACATCAACAACATCATAAACAATTGCTGCAGTGGACACGGCCTCGCTGATGGTAGCGTGCATGCCCAGGGAGCGGCCGCGGCCACTGCAGTGTATCCAGCTCGGGCAGGCAGCTCCGTAGCTACATGCCCGAGCCGGTCGTCATCACTTGAGGAGGAGGCAGCGTCGTCGTCCATCGAGGAGGCAGTGTCGTCGTCGGGGGCCCCGCCGTCGCTGTTTTCGCTATCCCTCTGGGTCGCTGGGGCCTTGAAGGCACCCAGTGCGCGAGCCGTTGCGGCTACGAGCGCGGACCCGAGCTGCACCCGGTCGTGCAGCATGTGTGCCGCCCTGCCGGGTCTAGCAGCAACAATCGCGGGGCCTCGAGCGGCGGCGGGGGCTTCCGGAGCGAGCGGGAGGGCGGGGGGAACCGTTGCGCACGCGTCTGGACCCGGGGGCTGCCTGTGGGCACCCGGGGAGCCGATGCTCTGTAGATGTCCATGCTGGACCCGGTCGGGCAGCATGCTTGCCGCCCTGCCGGGCCCAACATCATCGCTAGCAGTGTCTTGGGCCGCTCCCACGTCTGGGAGGGCGCTCCGTAACGTGTAGATGCCCTTGGTGCACGTCTTTGTACCCGTGCGCCGCATGCTTGCGCCCGGGGAGCCGTCGCTCTGCAGTCCTTGTCCGTGTGTCGGCGATACCCGGTCGGGCAGCGTAACGCCCGCCCTGCCGGGTATGCCAACAATCCCATCTTCATCCTGCGAGGCCACGGCAGCGGCGGGAGCGTCCGGCGAGGCGGGGGAAGCCAAACGGCGCGCGGAGGAGGCGGCGAGCGGTGTGCTTGAGGCCCCGAACGGGCCGGCGACGCACGCTGCTTGATCCGTGGCGTCTTGCGTCGCGTTTTGTTGCGTGTCTTCGAAAAGCCACGGCGACCCCTATACTTAAACCAAGTATATTGTCGAAGGTAGCTTCGGAGGTACCAACGGGGGGTCGCCAGGCCTCTTCCCGTTCAATGATGGCACCCAAAATCGGGGCCGGAGACCGGGGGCCTCGCGCGCGACAGAGACCTCTGCGCGCGCGGAGAACTTGGTAGGCACTGGGCGATGCGGGATTCGAACCCGTGCCCGAAGTTGCGGCGCCTAACTCCGCGTCATTGCCGCAAGGCGATGTCGCGCGTAGACGCACTCCATTTGGGGCCCCGGAAGGGGATTATTGGAAGTACCAGTGTGTACCCCTACCCCTTGTCCGACGGCGACCGTTCCCAGGCAGTTTCGTCCCACCCGTTCCGCAAAGAAGGGTGACGAACTTTCTGGGAACAGTCTTAAATCAGACTGCCCCGCCTCTTCCCCAGTGACCAGTTGCGTGTCATCTGGGAGAGGGGGGGCATTTCGTCGTGTCCCACTCCAGTTTCGTCATCAGGCGACGCGTCATAGAAAGATGCATCGCTGGCGAGACTGGAGTGGCTGTCCGTAGAGCACTCACTATCGCTAGATAGAGAGCGCTCTCGAGGCTCCCAACCCGGCCACCAAAACCGCATAGAAGGGGCGATAGTGGAAAGGCCAGGGCAGAAAGGACAGATCGACAAACGGTACAGAACGAACTAAGATAGAACGAACGAAAGTAGAAAAGAAGCAAGTTTATTTGTAGTCGGCCTCACGAGGGTTAGGTGTAAGCCACTCGGAGACCTTCCCTAAAATAGTATCGCTACTATGTCAGGACGTCCAAAAATGAATGTGAAAAAGACCGACAAAAGTCGGAAACCAGTTTTCACACTGATTAGAACAGATAAGGGTGTGTATTACCGTCTGGTTAGTCTATTTCTAAAGGGTATAGAAATACCCAATAGAAACTGTGTGGTGTGTAAGTTAGGTACAGGTTGCACCACACAGAGCTAAACTATAACGTACCAGAGGGATTTGAGGACGGTTCCCTACTTGGGTATGGCCCTGTCGGCCACTATGGGCCCGAACGACGCTTAGCGGCGGCCTCGATGGGACGGAGTCCCCCGGTCTCCGTCACCCGACTGCCCCTTGCATCTTGTCTTGAGCGTCCATGTCTTCGGCCATGAACGTGGGCTTGACTTGGACCTTGAGCTTGATCGTGACCATTCTGTCGCTCGCGGTGCTGGCCGCAGTGCAAATTCCATATGCGGCGGCTGGACTTAATGCACTCAGCAGAAAGTTGCTTGTCCAGCCGCTTCGCATCACGCTTCAGCACACCAAGGTGATCGGTGTAAACCGCAAGGTTACCACCGTCGACTGCGCCAAGCGAACCATAGACGAGCGCTGAAAGGTGGACCGTCCAACCTTGACGCTCTAGGTGTCGCTTGATGCAACCATACTTGGTGCGCTTAAGCTCAGCAATCCGCGCGAGCGACGACGTCCTTGGGTCGTCCGTGGCTTGGTCTTCAAACGCCACCGCAAGGTCTACAACCGACACCGAACGTGTGGTGTGGTTGTAGACCTGCAAGTCCGGTCGCAAAGCAGGCCCGGGGAGCGAGGGTACGGTTTGGTTAACCCTCAGCTCGACCCGGTCCTTCCGATCACCCGCCGACGACACAACAGCCCGCTCGATTATCTTCAAGGCGTCGTCGTGGCGGGTGCGAACTGCATCCATGGTGCCGGCACAGTGGTTCAGCACATGTGCCAGCGTCTCCGATCTTGAGCAGCCAGGCGATCTGCACTTGTCATGTGCCCGAAGACGCCGGCGCTTGAGGACACTGTGCGTGTCGAGCTGGTTGAGACGACCACCCACCGCGAAGCGGTAGTCGCTCTCCCAAAGCCCTCGGGGCCGCGAAAGGAAGGCGCTCCCAGCACCACCAAGGGTGCGAGCAGCCTTGCCTTGATCCGTCATCGCGGCCCATCGCTGCCAGTGCCTGGTCTTGAGGTGCAGCTTCACGTGCCGAAGGACATCCCTATGGTCCAACCAACCATCGTGGTGGGGCACGCGAAGCTGCAACCTTTGCGCCGGGGTCCCTGTCTCCTCCACCGCCGGAGCCATCTCGAACTTGAGGCCGAAGCGGTGAAGGTGACCACGGACGTCGAACCACAGCGACCCTATGTCCCCATTTCGACGCTTGGGCGGGGCTGGGTCCGACGTCCCCAGCTTGCTGTTGAGAAGGAGCTCGCCCAGCTCCTCCTCACGGTCCTTCCACACCAGAACGTCCAGCTTATAGCGGGCCTCTGCAATCTGACGGAGCTGCTGACGGGCTATGCGCTGGGTGGCAGGGTCAGAAGAGTGCAACATCAGCCACCCATGCGCCACCTGTAACGCACCATGCAGCTCCGTCAACGGCAGAAGCCCCAACCCTCCACGAGAAACAGGAGCGTAAAAGAACGCCGTCGTGGCGTTGGTCGGCAGCCGCAGCAGGTGGCGCAGGCCGCGAACAAGGTGGCGGTCGAAGCCCTCCAGCTGCTGGGCAAACGGGCGCAGGTGCCGGAGGGCGTACTCGACGCGAGGGTACAGATATACCTTGACCGCCTTGATCACCTGCCACGGCGCCAGACCGGACTGCAGCAGGGCCGTCGCATCATGCTTGAGCTGGGAGAGAGCTGGACCCAGCTCAATGCGACGGCGCACATGGTCGAAGCCATCCCCAATCCCCAAGTACTGGTAGGAGTCAGCAGCACTGAGCGCGGGGATTGGGGTGCCGTCCAGCTGCAGTCCGAGGTCGCTGGTCCTGTGGAGGCCGCGGGTATCCCGCTGGACTGACATGGTGCTGCACTTCATCGGGTTGGCCTTCATGCCAGTCCAGCGCAGGAAGTCTTGCACCACTGCATGCTGTCGCTTGATGCCGTCCACGGTGCTGCTAAAGGCCTTCAAGTCGTCCGCGTAAGCAGCAGCACCGGGACGGTCTTCGCTTGACAGCTTCACGCCAGTGTCTGGCAGCAACCGGAGCGCGTGGAGCAGCGGAGCGATCGCGGCGGTGAAGAGGTGCGGGCTGAGTGGGCAGCCTTGGAACACCCCCCACCTTCAACGCGATCGGCGCCGTGGTCCCATCCACAGCGTTACCAATCGTGAACGCAGCGTCTGCGTAGAGACCACGGCAACAAGCGACAAACTCGGGCGGAACACCCTGCCGTTGTAGCGCTGCCCATAACAAGTCGTGTGGCACGCTACCAAAAGCGTTGGCAAAGTCGTACCACACGACATGCAACTCCTGATGCTTGCGCCGGGCTTGGTCGACGAGCGTGGCTGCGAGGAAGTTGTGCTCCCCACAGCCGTTCATGGCTCGGAAGCCCTTCTGCGCAGCGGCGTGGCGGCCGTTGACGTCCAGCCAGCGCGTAAAGCGACGCGACAGGACACCAGCGTACAACTTGTAGATGGCCTGCTGCAAGCAGATCGGCCGCCAATTGGATGGGTCGGACCGATCGCCCTTCTTGTGCAGCAGGCGCACCACGCCAACCTTCCAGCTCTGCGGCACACGCTTGGACTGCCAGCAGCGCGCGAACGCAGCATGCAGAGCGGGCAGAAGCTGGGCCGTGAACGTCTTGAAGATGTCGTAGCCTACACCGTCCAAACCGGGGCTTGAGCTGCCACGCGCACGCTGCACTTGGTCCTCGATCTCATCAACGGACGGCGCATCCGTGAGCAGCGCCATGTCAACTGTCGCAGGAGGCAGGCGGTCCATGGCCGTGCGGAACGGGGCTCCTACCGGCGCCATGGGGTCGAAGGCACCCACCGGGGTGTTCACCGCCGTGAAGAACTGGTGCAGGCGCACCCCTGGAATGGGGCAGGTGCCTTCGTCCAGCTCCACCAAGTCCGGCGGAGGCGCAGCGGTACCGACCGGCAGTTCCGTTGCCTCACGCTTGGACCGGGCCGTACACAGGATGCGCTCAACACACACCTTCTCCGTAGTATCGAAGAGGTGGCGGAGGCGTTGTTGCTCGAGAGAGGAGTTGATCCTCCCCACACGACGACGTGCCTTGGCCACAGCCTTGCGGTCGCCCGGCACGCGTTGCTGAACAGCATGCATAGCGTCCAGAGCCTCGTCAAGCCGGTGCTCACGGTGATGACGTGTCACACGGGGCGGGCGCGTGCGCCGGTGCCCCTTGCCACCACCAGAGCGACCACGGCGACGACGTGAATGGCTGCCACCTTGGCGCTGACCGTCCTGTGGCACGGCCTGCTCATGGCCTTGGAGTGGCTCCTGTCGCCGGCCAGTACGCACGGCTTGCTGCGGGAGCCGCGAGCAAGATTGGGCGGGGTGCTGTGCCTGGGAGTATGGCTGCAGTTGGTCGTACAGCGCATGCGGAAGGGCTGTGATGTAGCCCTCCGCCTCCTCCCAGTCAGCAGCGTCCGTGATCTTGGCAGCCAGCTTCGCAGCCAGCCGCTCCACCAGCTCTCCCGCAGCCTCTTGCTCGTCCTCGTCCAACTGGCGAAGGCGTAAGCGGGACCGACGCTGAGGCACTGTATCCGGCCCCACACTCATCGCTGCATACACCTCGCCATCGTCGATGTCCCCCATGTTGTCGTCATCGACGGGGCTTGGGGGACATCCGTGTCCACCGCGACATGCGGTGTGGCAGGCGGGGGTGTAGCTGCGGGTGCAGGGGCCAGAGTGGAGGTGGAGGTGCATCCATGTCCATCGGTATGCACCCCGCACTCCAACTCGGTCGCGCGGCGGTCAAGAGCGGCGTTGGCGAGGCGGTCGGCATGACCATTCGCCTGCCTGTCGATGGGATGGAGCGTGGCCCGCTCCATCCGCGCCAGCTCTGCCTTGACTGCGAGTCGCAGCTGGCGAAGGCGCTTGTTGCACGTGGCGAAGATGCCACGCACCTGCTGGATGACGAGGGTACTGTCCCCCTCTATCCGCAAATGCGTGACGCCATGATCGGCGGCAGCCCTTGCACCGAGCAGCAGCGCGGTATATTCTGCCGTGTTGTTGGTCTCGCTGCTGCTCGGCATGTAGTGGGAGCAAGTCCACACTACGGGGCCGCTGGGCTTGAACAACGCAGCGCCGGCGCCGCCTGGGCCAGGGTTCTTGCGGCAGGCACCGTCGAAGCGCAGCAGCCACTCGCCATCACCCTCTGTAGCTTCGTCCTCGTCGTCGCTGTCGCCTGCCTTCGTCTCTTCCTCCTCCGTCAGCTCCGGCGGGAGCAGACGGTCAGCGATCCTCGACACCACCACGCTGCGAGGCAGTGGTGGACCCCATCGTGGGGCAGGAACAGCGGAGAGGCGAGACGCGACACGCGAAGCAACCACCTGCCGAGGAAGCGGAGCGCTCCATCGTGATGCCTTGGTCCTGTCATCAGTGGTGCTCGCATGCGGGGGGGACACAGCGAGCACCGGAGGGTCTTGGCGGGGCAATACGGGATTGGCTGTAGCCACCGTAGCGCTGGCATTGACTTCACCAGCAGTGGGGCTGAGATCCCCTGCTGCTGGCGTAGTCGCAGCCGAAGTGTCGTTGAGACTGGCGCACGCTGGCGCGTGGTTTGCTGCAGCCAGCCTCGACACGAAAGGTGTGCCGCATGCACAACCTGCCGAGAACCGGTCGAGGAAGGCGATGCGGCGGTGCCTTGAGTCCCTATGGCGCTTTAGCGAGGCAAAGCTTGATGCCGTGTATGCACACAGCGTGCACGTGAAGTGCGGCGCGTTGTGGGCATACACGGACAGGACGGAGGCCGGAAGTGCGCTGGCCGCGGATGGCCTAAGCGCTGAGTTCATGGGGCCGGCCTCAACGTCCTCGAGCAGCAGTTGCTCGGCTTGCTCGCGTTCATCGCCGTCATCCTCGTCGTTCAAGCGGCGACGCTTGCCGTTGAGGCGGAGCACGAGAGGAGGAGACGGCGGAGTGAGGCTTGCTGCCTGCCACGTCGCGCCCTGGTCCACCTCCATGGGGACGGCTGCGGTCGTGGCAGGAGCCTGTGCAGCACCCACGGGCAGCATGATACCCGCCCTGCCGGGTGTGCAGTCATCATCAAGGGGACAGGGCCCAGCAACAGCGGACGGCTCGTCGCCGCAAGGCATCGGGGCGTCACACCCGACTCGGTCAGGCAGTATGGTAGCCTGCCTGCCGAGCCGGTCGTCACAGGTACGTGGGACATAAACAATTGCTGCAGTGGACACGGCCTCGCTGGAGGTATCGTGGCAGCCCATGGTGTGGGCCGCGGCCACTGCAGTGTATCCAGCTCGGGCAGGCAGCTCGGTAGCTACCTGGGCGAGCCGGTCGTCATCACTTGGAGCGTCGTAGTCAGCGTCGTCACCCACCAGCCAAGCCCCTTGGTCGTCCATGCTATCGTCCTCGCTGCTGCTGTCGTCCTCAGGGCCTCCAGGGCCATGAAAGGCACCTAGGGCGTTGGCCGTATAGACGGCCAGCGCGCGCCCGTTGGTGCCCCGGTCGGGCAGCATTTCAGCCGCCCTGCCGGGTCTAGCAGCAACAATCGCGGAGGCAGGAGCAGCGTCTGGGGCCTGGCCGGCGAGTGGGAGGGCGGGGGGAGCCATGGCGCGCGTCGTTGTACCCGGGCAGGGCGTCTGTGGGCCCGGGGAGCCGATGCTCTGAAGTAGTCCATGCTGGACCCGGTCAGGCAGCATGCCGCTCACCCTGCCGGGCCCAGAATCATCATTCGCAGTGTCTTGGGCCTCTCCCACGTCTGGGAGGGCGCTCACCAAAGCATAGGTGTCCTTGGTGCACGTCCTAGAACCCGGGTGCTGCCTGCACGCACCCAGGGAGCCGTCGCTCTGTAGTCCTTGCGTATTCCGTGGCGCTACCCCATCGGGCAGCGTTTCGCCCGCCCTGCCGGGTCGGAAATCAAACGCACTCGTGTCTTGGGCGGCGGCGGCGGGCGCAGCAGCAAGCAGGGGGTCTTGGGAAGCCATACGGCGCGCGAGGGAAGCCGATGGTGGTCTTGGGGCCCCATGGGGGCCGGCACACTCAGTGCAGTCTTGAGTCGTAGCCAGTGGCGCGTGGTCTTCATCGTGTTGTCGAGCGACGGCGACCCCTATACTTAGACCAAGTATAGGCCCGAAGGTACCTTCACGGTTACCAACGGGGGGTCGCCGGGCCTCTTCCCGGTCTTCAACGGTACCCAAAACCGGGACCGTAGACCGGGGGGCCTCGCGCGCGCCAGAGGTGTCGGCACGCGCTGAAACTGCGCAGGCCAGAGGCGAAGCGTGTTCGCAACACGTGCCCGAAGTGGCGGCGCCCAACTCCGCGTCACCGCCGCGAGGCGGTGTCGCGCGTACACCCACGCAGGGCCCATTACCGGGCGGCGTAGCGGTGACATTGGGGGTAAAATTTGGGACCCCCAACCCTAGTCCGACGGCGACTGTTCCTGGGCAGTTTCGTCCAACCGCCTGTGGATAGGCGGTCGAAGAGCCGTCTGGGAACAGTCTTAATTCAGACTGTCCCGCCTCTTCCCATGGGACCGGTTGCGTGTCACCTGGGAGAGGGGGCGGTTCGTCACCCACTCCAGTCTCGTCATCAGGCGACGCGTCATAGAAAGATGCATCGCTGGCGAGACTGGAATGGCTGTCCGTAGAGCACTCACTATCGCTAGATAGAGAGCGCTCTCGAGGCTCCCAACCCGGCCACCAAAACCGCATAGAAGGGGCGATAGTGGAAAGGCCAGGGCAGAAAGGACAGATAGACAAACGGTACAGAACGAACTAAGATAGAACGAACGAAAGTAGAAAAGAAGCAAGTTTATTGTAGTCGGCCTCACGAGGGTTAGGTGTAAGCCACTCGGAGACCTTCCTAAAATAGTATCGCTACTATGTCAGGACGTCCAAAAATGAATGTGAAAAAGACCGACAAAAGTCGGAAACCAGTTTTCACACTGATTAGAACAGATAAGGGTGTGTATTACCGTCTGGTTAGTCTATTTCTAAAGGGTATAGAAATACCCAATAGAAACTGTGTGGTGTGTAAGTTAGGTACAGGTTGCACCACACAGAGCTAAACTATAACGTACCAGAGGGATTTGAGGACGGTTCCCTACTTGGGTATGGCCCTGTCGGCCACTATGGGCCCGAACGACGCTTAGCGGCGGCCTCGATGGGACGGAGTCCCCCCGGTCTCCGTCACCCGACTGCCCCTTGCATCTTGTCTTGAGCGTCCATGTCTTCGGCCATGAACGTGGGCTTGACTTGGACCTTGAGCTTGATCGTGACCATTCTGTCGCTCGCGGTGCTGGCCGCAGTGCAAATTCCATATGCGGCGGCTGGACTTAATGCACTCAGCAGAAAGTTGCTTGTCCAGCCGCTTCGCATCACGCTTCAGCACACCAAGGTGATCGGTGTAAACCGCAAGGTTACCACCGGCGACTGCGCCAAGCGAACCATAGACGAGCGCTGAAAGGTGGACCGTCCAACCTTGACGCTCTAGGTGTCGCTTGATGCAGCCATACTTGGTGCGCTTAAGCTCAGCAATCCGCGCGAGCGACGACGTCCTTGGGTCGTCCGTGGCTTGGTCTTCAAACGCCACCGCAAGGTCTACAACCGACACCGAACGTGTGGTGTGGTTGTAGACCTGCAAGTCCGGTCGCAAAGCAGGCCCGGGGAGCGAGGGTACGGTTTGGTTAACCCTCAGCTCGACCCGGTCCTTCCGATCACCCGCCGACGACACAACAGCCCGCTCGATTATCTTCAAGGCGTCGTCGTGGCGGGTGCGAACTGCATCCATGGTGCCGGCACAGTGGTTCAGCACATGTGCCAGCGTCTCCGATCTTGAGCAGCCAGGCGATCTGCACTTGTCATGTGCCCGAAGACGCCGGCGCTTGAGGACACTGTGCGTGTCGAGCTGGTTGAGACGACCACCCACCGCGAAGCGGTAGTCGCTCTCCCAAAGCCCTCGGGGCCGCGAAAGGAAGGCGCTCCCAGCACCACCAAGGGTGCGAGCAGCCTTGCCTTGATCCGTCATCGCGGCCCATCGCTGCCAGTGCCTGGTCTTGAGGTGCAGCTTCACGTGCCGAAGGACATCCCTATGGTCCAACCAACCATCGTGGTGGGGCACGCGAAGCTGCAACCTTTGCGCCGGGGTCCCTGTCTCCTCCACCGCCGGAGCCATCTCGAACTTGAGGCCGAAGCGGTGAAGGTGACCACGGACGTCGAACCACAGCGACCCTATGTCCCCATTTCGACGCTTGGGCGGGGCTGGGTCCGACGTCCCCAGCTTGCTGTTGAGAAGGAGCTCGCCCAGCTCCTCCTCACGGTCCTTCCACACCAGAACGTCCAGCTTATAGCGGGCCTCTGCAATCTGACGGAGCTGCTGACGGGCTATGCGCTGGGTGGCAGGGTCAGAAGAGTGCAACATCAGCCACCCATGCGCCACCTGTAACGCACCATGCAGCTCCGTCAACGGCAGAAGCCCCAACCCTCCACGAGAAACAGGAGCGTAAAAGAACGCCGTCGTGGCGTTGGTCGGCAGCCGCAGCAGGTGGCGCAGGCCGCGAACAAGGTGGCGGTCGAAGCCCTCCAGCTGCTGGGCAAACGGGCGCAGGTGCCGGAGGGCGTACTCGACGCGAGGGTACAGATATACCTTGACCGCCTTGATCACCTGCCACGGCGCCAGACCGGACTGCAGCAGGGCCGTCGCATCATGCTTGAGCTGGGAGAGAGCTGGACCCAGCTCAATGCGACGGCGCACATGGTCGAAGCCATCCCCAATCCCCAAGTACTGGTAGGAGTCAGCAGCACTGAGCGCGGGGATTGGGGTGCCGTCCAGCTGCAGTCCGAGGTCGCTGGTCCTGTGGAGGCCGCGGGTATCCCGCTGGACTGACATGGTGCTGCACTTCATCGGGTTGGCCTTCATGCCAGTCCAGCGCAGGAAGTCTTGCACCACTGCATGCTGTCGCTTGATGCCGTCCACGGTGCTGCTAAAGGCCTTCAAGTCGTCCGCGTAAGCAGCAGCACCGGGACGGTCTTCGCTTGACAGCTTCACGCCAGTGTCTGGCAGCAACCGGAGCGCGTGGAGCAGCGGAGCGATCGCGGCGGTGAAGAGGTGCGGGCTGAGTGGGCAGCCTTGGAACACCCCCACCTTCAACGCGATCGGCGCCGTGGTCCCATCCACAGCGTTACCAATCGTGAACGCAGCGTCTGCGTAGAGACCACGGCAACAAGCGACAAACTCGGGCGGAACACCCTGCCGTTGTAGCGCTGCCCATAACAAGTCGTGTGGCACGCTACCAAAAGCGTTGGCAAAGTCGTACCACACGACATGCAACTCCTGATGCTTGCGCCGGGCTTGGTCGACGAGCGTGGCTGCGAGGAAGTTGTGCTCCCCACAGCCGTTCATGGCTCGGAAGCCCTTCTGCGCAGCGGCGTGGCGGCCGTTGACGTCCAGCCAGCGCGTAAAGCGACGCGACAGGACACCAGCGTACAACTTGTAGATGGCCTGCTGCAAGCAGATCGGCCGCCAATTGGATGGGTCGGACCGATCGCCCTTCTTGTGCAGCAGGCGCACCACGCCAACCTTCCAGCTCTGCGGCACACGCTTGGACTGCCAGCAGCGCGCGAACGCAGCATGCAGAGCGGGCAGAAGCTGGGCCGTGAACGTCTTGAAGATGTCGTAGCCTACACCGTCCAAACCGGGGCTTGAGCTGCCACGCGCACGCTGCACTTGGTCCTCGATCTCATCAACGGACGGCGCATCCGTGAGCAGCGCCATGTCAACTGTCGCAGGAGGCAGGCGGTCCATGGCCGTGCGGAACGGGGCTCCTACCGGCGCCATGGGGTCGAAGGCACCCACCGGGGTGTTCACCGCCGTGAAGAACTGGTGCAGGCGCACCCCTGGAATGGGGCAGGTGCCTTCGTCCAGCTCCACCAAGTCCGGCGGAGGCGCAGCGGTACCGACCGGCAGTTCCGTTGCCTCACGCTTGGACCGGGCCGTACACAGGATGCGCTCAACACACACCTTCTCCGTAGTATCGAAGAGGTGGCGGAGGCGTTGTTGCTCGAGAGAGGAGTTGATCCTCCCCACACGACGACGTGCCTTGGCCACAGCCTTGCGGTCGCCCGGCACGCGTTGCTGAACAGCATGCATAGCGTCCAGAGCCTCGTCAAGCCGGTGCTCACGGTGATGACGTGTCACACGGGGCGGGCGCGTGCGCCGGTGCCCCTTGCCACCACCAGAGCGACCACGGCGACGACGTGAATGGCTGCCACCTTGGCGCTGACCGTCCTGTGGCACGGCCTGCTCATGGCCTTGGAGTGGCTCCTGTCGCCGGCCAGTACGCACGGCTTGCTGCGGGAGCCGCGAGCAAGATTGGGCGGGGTGCTGTGCCTGGGAGTATGGCTGCAGTTGGTCGTACAGCGCATGCGGAAGGGCTGTGATGTAGCCCTCCGCCTCCTCCCAGTCAGCAGCGTCCGTGATCTTGGCAGCCAGCTTCGCAGCCAGCCGCTCCACCAGCTCTCCCGCAGCCTCTTGCTCGTCCTCGTCCAACTGGCGAAGGCGTAAGCGGGACCGACGCTGAGGCACTGTATCCGGCCCCACACTCATCGCTGCATACACCTCGCCATCGTCGATGTCCCCCATGTTGTCGTCATCGACGGGGCTTGGGGGGACATCCGTGTCCACCGCGACATGCGGTGTGGCAGGCGGGGGTGTAGCTGCGGGTGCAGGGGCCAGAGTGGAGGTGGAGGTGCATCCATGTCCATCGGTATGCACCCCGCACTCCAACTCGGTCGCGCGGCGGTCAAGAGCGGCGTTGGCGAGGCGGTCGGCATGACCATTCGCCTGCCTGTCGATGGGATGGAGCGTGGCCCGCTCCATCCGCGCCAGCTCTGCCTTGACTGCGAGTCGCAGCTGGCGAAGGCGCTTGTTGCACGTGGCGAAGATGCCACGCACCTGCTGGATGACGAGGGTACTGTCCCCCTCTATCCGCAAATGCGTGACGCCATGATCGGCGGCAGCCCTTGCACCGAGCAGCAGCGCGGTATATTCTGCCGTGTTGTTGGTCTCGCTGCTGCTCGGCATGTAGTGGGAGCAAGTCCACACTACGGGGCCGCTGGGCTTGAACAACGCAGCGCCGGCGCCGCCTGGGCCAGGGTTCTTGCGGCAGGCACCGTCGAAGCGCAGCAGCCACTCGCCATCACCCTCTGTAGATTCGTCCTCGTCGTCGCTGTCGCCTGCCTTCGTCTCTTCCTCCTCCGTCAGCTCCGGCGGGAGCAGACGGTCAGCGATCCTCGACACCACCACGCTGCGAGGCAGTGGTGGACCCCATCGTGGGGCAGGAACAGCGGAGAGGCGAGACGCGACACGCGAAGCAACCACCTGCCGAGGAAGCGGAGCGCTCCATCGTGATGCCTTGGTCCTGTCATCAGTGGTGCTCGCATGCGGGGGGGACACAGCGAGCACCGGAGGGTCTTGGCGGGGCAATACGGGATTGGCTGTAGCCACCGTAGCGCTGGCATTGACTTCACCAGCAGTGGGGCTGAGATCCCCTGCTGCTGGCGTAGTCGCAGCCGAAGTGTCGTTGAGACTGGCGCACGCTGGCGCGTGGTTTGCTGCAGCCAGCCTCGACACGAAAGGTGTGCCGCATGCACAACCTGCCGAGAACCGGTCGAGGAAGGCGATGCGGCGGTGCCTTGAGTCCCTATGGCGCTTTAGCGAGGCAAAGCTTGATGCCGTGTATGCACACAGCGTGCACGTGAAGTGCGGCGCGTTGTGGGCATACACGGACAGGACGGAGGCCGGAAGTGCGCTGGCCGCGGATGGCCTAAGCGCTGAGTTCATGGGGCCGGCCTCAACGTCCTCGAGCAGCAGTTGCTCGGCTTGCTCGCGTTCATCGCCGTCATCCTCGTCGTTCAAGCGGCGACGCTTGCCGTTGAGGCGGAGCACGAGAGGAGGAGACGGCGGAGTGAGGCTTGCTGCCTGCCACGTCGCGCCCTGGTCCACCTCCATGGGGACGGCTGCGGTCGTGGCAGGAGCCTGTGCAGCACCCACGGGCAGCATGATACCCGCCCTGCCGGGTGTGCAGTCATCATCAAGGGGACAGGGCCCAGCAACAGCGGACGGCTCGTCGCCGCAAGGCATCGGGGCGTCACACCCGACTCGGTCAGGCAGTATGGTAGCCTGCCTGCCGAGCCGGTCGTCACAGGTACGTGGGACATAAACAATTGCTGCAGTGGACACGGCCTCGCTGGAGGTATCGTGGCAGCCCATGGTGTGGGCCGCGGCCACTGCAGTGTATCCAGCTCGGGCAGGCAGCTCGGTAGCTACCTGGGCGAGCCGGTCGTCATCACTTGGAGCGTCGTAGTCAGCGTCGTCACCCACCAGCCAAGCCCCTTGGTCGTCCATGCTATCGTCCTCGCTGCTGCTGTCGTCCTCAGGGCCTCCAGGGCCATGAAAGGCACCTAGGGCGTTGGCCGTATAGACGGCCAGCGCGCGCCCGTTGGTGCCCCGGTCGGGCAGCATTTCAGCCGCCCTGCCGGGTCTAGCAGCAACAATCGCGGAGGCAGGAGCAGCGTCTGGGGCCTGGCCGGCGAGTGGGAGGGCGGGGGGAGCCATGGCGCGCGTCGTTGTACCCGGGCAGGGCGTCTGTGGGCCCGGGGAGCCGATGCTCTGAAGTAGTCCATGCTGGACCCGGTCAGGCAGCATGCCGCTCACCCTGCCGGGCCCAGAATCATCATTCGCAGTGTCTTGGGCCTCTCCCACGTCTGGGAGGGCGCTCACCAAAGCATAGGTGTCCTTGGTGCACGTCCTAGAACCCGGGTGCTGCCTGCACGCACCCAGGGAGCCGTCGCTCTGTAGTCCTTGCGTATTCCGTGGCGCTACCCCATCGGGCAGCGTTTCGCCCGCCCTGCCGGGTCGGAAATCAAACGCACTCGTGTCTTGGGCGGCGGCGGCGGGCGCAGCAGCAAGCAGGGGGTCTTGGGAAGCCATACGGCACGCGAGGGAAGCCGATGGTGGTCTTGGGGCCCCATGGGGGCCGGCACACTCAGTGCAGTCTTGAGTCGTAGCCAGTGGCGCGTGGTCTTCATCGTGTTGTCGAGCGACGGCGACCCCTATACTTAGACCAAGTATAGGCCCGAAGGTACCTTCACGGTTACCAACGGGGGTCGCCGGGCCTCTTCCCGGTCTTCAACGGTACCCAAAACCGGGACCGTAGACCGGGGGGCCTCGCGCGCGCCAGAGGTGTCGGCACGCGCTGAAACTGCGCAGGCCAGAGGCGAAGCGTGTTCGCAACACGTGCCCGAAGTGGCGGCGCCCAACTCCGCGTCACCGCCGCGAGGCGGTGTCGCGCGTACACCCACGCAGGGCCCATTACCGGGCGGCGTAGCGGTGACATTGGGGGTAAAATTTGGGACCCCCAACCCTAGTCCGACGGCGACTGTTCCTGGGCAGTTTCGTCCAACCGCCTGTGGATAGGCGGTCGAAGAGCCGTCTGGGAACAGTCTTAATTCAGACTGTCCCGCCTCTTCCCATGGGACCGGTTGCGTGTCACCTGGGAGAGGGGGCGGTTCGTCACCCACTCCAGTCTCGTCATCAGGCGACGCGTCATAGAAAGATGCATCGCTGGCGAGACTGGAATGGCTGTCCGTAGAGCACTCACTATCGCTAGATAGAGAGCGCTCTCGAGGCTCCCAACCCGGCCACCAAAACCGCATAGAAGGGGCGATAGTGGAAAGGCCAGGGCAGAAAGGACAGATAGACAAACGGTACAGAACGAACTAAGATAGAACGAACGAAAGTAGAAAAGAAGCAAGTTTATTGTAGTCGGCCTCACGAGGGTTAGGTGTAAGCCACTCGGAGACCTTCCTAAAATAGTATCTCTACTATGTCAGGACGTCCAAAAATGAATGTGAAAAGACCGACAAAAGTCGGAAAACCAGTTTTCACACTGATTAGAACAGATATTACACTTGATCTTAGCTAAAAAGCCGAGAAGGTATGGCCTGAAAGCAATACAGAGGACAGAATGCAATACTGTCGATACAATAGCGAATGTTGACGATAGGAATTTGAATGTTACATTAAATTCGAAATGCGAAAGTGATATTTCAAACAATGAAATAGGGCAACACATACTAGGAATCTAACGTCAGTTTTTGGTGCTGCACGCGTGTATGTTGATAGTGTGTGTACGTTGTGAATGATGTAAAGTAATCATGACAATGCGATATGTAAAAGATGTTGAAAAGGTAAATGCAAGTTGGCCTCACGGGAGAAAGGTGTAAGCCCCCGGAGACCGCCCCGTCTTAGTAGCAAGCTACTTCGACAGGATGTCCAAAAATGAATGTGAAAAAGACCGACAAAAGTCGGAAACCAGTTTTCACACTGATTAGAACAGATACTACACTTGATCTTAGCTAAGAAGCCGAGAAGGTATGATTTAGTCAACCGAATACAAGATTTACCTATAACTCACATTAGCCCGTATGTACAGGTTTGGAGTTTTGGAAATGATTGATTTATTATCGAAACTATTTGTTAAAGATGATACGGTTTGTTTAAAACACTTTAGTCGCGGTAAATTACCCTGGTACACCGTACCAGTCTTCGGAAAGATAGAGCATATTACCATTTTGCTCAAAAAAAAGGAAAACAGCAGGTGTTATCAAGTAGTTTTTCGTTAGCAGCCAATACGTTTGCTCATCATGACGCAAGCATCTCTTTTTCGAAAATATACAGCTATAAAATTTAACCATGCAATGTGTTGAGCTTGTTGAAATTGAACTTGTTTGGTCGATACAGTGTAATCGTATATGTTCTTGGTACCTGATTTTGGCATGCAGTGACGAGGTGGGTGCACATTGAGCATATGATTGATCTTGTCTCTATTAGCGCCAACGCGACCTTTATGATCCTCCTACTATGATTAACTGCTCGTGGTAGCCTTCACAGAGGTACGGATCCTCGGCAAAGATTAAATCTTGCGAAGATGAGAGCAGGGAGATCCATGGGTTACTACTTTTCGAGCGTCACCTCGCGCAATCTATTACTCGATGACGAAGTCGATTCATTGGTCAGAAAGCAAAAAAAGGCCGGTATCAAGAAAGCGTTAGCATCGAGTTATGCACGTTGTTATAGCCTTGAAAACAAACATTGATGTTCAGCCTCTCCCATTGAAATTTGCATCGCGTCAATGTCTGGACTTCGGTATGTATCATCACTGTAATTTTGGGCAAAGAAGACAACGTTTACTTTTTCGCACATTATTGTATGTTGCCGATAAACGTAAGTTATTAAAACATAAGTTTAAGACGAGCTCCGATTGAAACTTTGTGGACTAACTGTATTTTTGCTGTACCGATTTTCGCACAAATGTCTTAAACAACCGAGTCACATTCCGGTCAAAACTTCTAAACCGTGTCACCTATTGGAATATTCCCTAATTTATATGATTATCGCAGCTACAGTTGTAATTGTGTTAGGTCGTTTAATCTATGGATCAGTTTCTGAATCGATCACTGTCTTTACATACTACTAGCACATCTATTTGAGCTCCCTTTGCATTTTATTTAGATCGACTGTACTGACGTACGTCACATACAGCCGATTCCCGGGCTGTGTCCTGCTCAGATATGATCCCATGGATTCCTCCTAGGAAAGAATGCGTATGATACCCAACTCTGGTATTTGTCATCATTCATTGATGTTAAATTGTTTCATCTTGCTGAACAGGATCATTTCGTGTCGAGAACATTATGAAGAACTGCTGTACTTGATACACCTTGTCACATTTGCTCTGACCTGAGGATACCTCGGCATCCGACTACCAGGCGTGATGGCGATACAAATCTAGTGTTTTCTGCCATATTTGTGAGTGACTGCATTTCTATTACTTACGCTAGAACAAATGATACACTTTCAGACAAACGTCTTTGAACCAGTCAACAGGAAAGCATGGTAGCATATATTACACACAGAATGATCTGATCTCGATTTCTAATCTCAACGTCAGAACATTGCATTTATCTGATCTACCAATAGTTTGATGATCTATAAACATTAGTCATGATAGCAGCGACATGCTACCCTGCTGAAGAGTAAGCACAAAGCGGGGGCCAAGATCGACATATATTAACTTATATATGTATATATATATATATGTATATATATATGTATATATATGTATACATGTGGAATAGTCAGGAGGGGTGACCGACTAACTACCTTACGTCGCGTAAACACAACGTTCTCCTCATTTAGTACCGTTGATGTTTCAGGTTTAGCGATACTTAATATGTAGGCTAAACGTCCTAGATTTACTTATCAGAAACTTGAGGTCGGCAAGTTATGTTACTGGATCCAGTTCTTCAGCTACTTGTCGTTGAATTGAAAGGCGTAACAGGGTCAAACAGTCGCGTGAAGCATTTTTACAAGGATATGTGAAGGCCCTAATTGTGATGCGCTCTTAGACTTATCGTTTGGTTGAGGTACAGAAATAGCCAACCTACCGCGTGTGTGAGCGGTACACAACACGTTTGTAGACATCGAGATTGCACTTGAATTTGTCAGCTTCCAAGACAACCCTTGAGTGTGTGGGGTTGAGTGATGTCATCTTCGATATTTTAATAGATTCAAAATCAAAGCGTAGCGACCGCGTCTAATCTTTTAGCCAACAGTCAAGTATATTAAGCATTTCTGTTTATTTTAGTTTTCTAACAAAAAACAGTCTCATCTTTGCAACTTAGCCAATAAGTATGTGCCGGAGGACGGGAAACAGCATCCGAGCCCCATTTGGCAAGTGCTGCTTGTATTAGCAGTCTTAGGGCGCCCGTCTGAACCTCACTGTACTTGAGAAAGACGGAACAACTTTCTTGGATGGAAAGAAGGTGTGTGCTACGGTCACGCAGCTTTGAGTCCAGCTGCAATTGATCAGTCCGAACGACTATGGATTGAAAAGATGTAGTGTTGATATAGCTATCAGATTGACTGCATAATCATCAAGAACACGCACAAAATAGAAATAATAAAATAGCGACAAGAGCCACACAAATAGATCTTTACATTAAATGAGATCTGTCGTACACGAAATTAAAGCGTAGTCCAAAGCATCCAGTGAATTCTTGCAATAAACTGAAACAATCTATTACCATTAATCCTGGAGAAACGTGAAAATAAGATTTTAGACCGTAAGACTGAAGGTTTTTCAAATTTTTAAACTGATCAGTTCTCTTGTCCAGCAAACAAGTGCTATCTTTGTTTTATCACCGATAAAAGTGGAAGATCGAGCAAGTACCTAATGTGTCGCGTTACATTATACTGACAAACATTTGTCACCTTTAAAATAAACAGTCCGGTACCACTACCAAGCATTATATTGTCGCAGCCTTCATTTTAAAGTTATTGTATGAACAAGTTATGCAGGTGATATACTTGTTTGGCGTGATAGAGCGACATGCGTCACACAAGAGCGACTACTAACGTTTAAACTCATAGAATAGGTTACATTCTGTCATTGCGCACCTTACGTAGATATGCTCTCTGCTTGACGGTTGTCTCGGACGAAGCTTCCTTTGTACAGCTTGTAATATTGATGACTGCAATGATATCACTAAGTATCAAATGTGATTAAAGCGGTGCTAGATCTTCTAAATAGTTAAGTACTGTATAAATAAAATTATTATTACACTTTAAACCCGGAAATATGGGCACCTCCGTTTTTACTTAGTGCTCGGTTTTTATGAGTGTAGGGATGTCGTTTAGATTGTAATACGTTTCCTAATAATATACTCTATATGTGTTTACGTTGGTTATTTCGTAAAGCTAGGTGTATCACAATTAAAGGGTTTATTTTTAGCCACTGCAAATATTTAATTGTTTAAAGTAGCTAAAACATTTAGGTTAATTTAATATGCAATTGCATACTAGTTGTTTATAAAAACCGAGCCTAAATTGCCCCTTGTCTCGAAAACATATTGTAAGGCGGCATGCGTGCGGCTTTAGTAGAAAGTGAATAAACAGTAGGATTATGTATCACACTTGATGTCTTCTCTTCTACCTGCTGCATTCTCCCAAAGCATTCTACACCACTCATCTTGCCAAGAAATCTCTCAACCACCTATCTAAAAGAATGAAGCTTATCAAATTATAGTGAAAAATCTCCCACCTACCTAGTAGCTAATTCCTCGCTCTCCTGTACTCCTTCTTAAGCGTGCTTCCTATTTTCCTCTCTCATCTGACCTTAATCTCTTTATTTACCCTTAGCTGACGTGCAAGAGGTCACGGATGCTAACGATCTTCATTGCATCCAACGCGTTTGTCATTAAGTCGGCCAGCATATCCTCCGACTTATCAATTCTCGTGGAGATGATGCCGCGCCGAGAAAGTTGCACAGTGATGTGCGCCGCTCATTGGCTTGCTGCGCCTTAAGTGGCGTCACCTCGGCCGATCTCTGGCTGATCATCGCCTGAATGCCACTTGAAATTGCATCGGCAGCGCTACATTGAGGCCCACCTCACGAAGCTCGAGCATCTTGCGTGCGACCTCGCCTGCGGTGACGGATCATCCCTAAACGCAGGCGTAAAAAATCCGCACCCCAGGCTCGCACTTTTAATGCATACCATGCTTTTCAAGCGCAGCACTCCGCTCGTTATTAATTTCCTGTCTGCCTTGTCGGTAGCAAATTAATTGTTGCTGAATCACTAAATTTAAGGAGTCGCGTTGTTTTTTTAAATCTGACGCCATCTCATCTTAAATTTCGGCATTCTTTTTCAGTAGCGCGCATTGCGCTTTTCCAGCTTCCATTACTACAAATGAGTTGCGTGCGTCTTTTGCGTCACTTGATGGACCGCGGATGCGCTGTCTGGGTGCGTGCAGCGTGCCACCTAAAGGAGCATCCAACCAGAGACTCTTACTTACACGCAATAAGACCCGCTCACTTGCTGTCTCGAGGAGTTCTACGTCGTCTTCTTTCACCTTACATCGGTCTTAGACAATTGTGCTGCGCTTCGAATTTGCCTCACTCGGCTAATCGTTCTGCAAAAGATCACCTATTGCCTCCTCTAAATCCAGCGTATATCGGACTTTTTGCCGAGCTCTATGTAGTTCCCAGATATTACTCACGAGGCCGCGGTTATCAGGAGAGAGCGACGTAAGATGCAAAAGAACCTCTCGACAGCCGCAGCGCTTTTCGCAGTGGAGTGGAGATTGTCTGCATCGACAACGACGAAGATAATGTGATCACCGCCTCGCTTGATTACAGGCACCTATCGCTTCCCAGCGCGCTAACACGGCGTCAAAATTATAGGCATTTGTCAACTGGCTACATGTCCTGCCTGCCTGCTTGACCCCGTACAATTTACGCAGCTTCAAATTAAGCTCATTCGCGCTCGCAGTGTCGTGCGCGCGCAGTGTCTACTTTGACACGCTCAACTCATACGGCAGCTGCAGCAAGATCCGCGGGTGAGGCTCCTTGTGCGCCTTCACATACGCGTAATGAATGTCGCCGTGCTTCACAAGCAGATCCTTTGTAGTACCAAGCGCTGAAATAACTTTTACTGATGACAGGCCCGTTACTGCGGCAAAGGTAAGCGTGTAGTCGACACCGAGCATCTGCTCATTGCCATGGGCGACGAGATGTGCCTTTTGTCGCTCGAGGTCGCCTAGTGCGTTCTTCTTGGTATTTAATACTCACTTGGTGTGTAGATTTTCTTGATCCCGGGCGCGCTTGAAGACTATCCACACGCCATCTTCCTGGAGCACAGAGATGCCTCCTCTAATGCTTTATCTAATGCTCGCGCTTGCAGCCGCGTATCTCTTCGCCATCGTCCATTGGATAGCGCATAAAATTTGCACTTACCCCTTTTCCTTGTTCGGCTATCTACTCCTGTAAAGCAGCTGCTGGCGTGCGCTTTGATGCGCCACGCTTTACGTGCTATGACCATGTCCACGACTTCGCGCTAATATTCCGATCTGTAAGAATCCCTCCTGTTTTGTCAGCTTTCGCTGCACTCGCTTTCCTTGCGTCTGGAGCCTATTATTCGTAATTTTTTTCTAGTTTGTCCGCATCAACCGAGAGCTGAAAATACGCGCTATGCGTGTTGGACAGCGTTGTAGTTGTTTTGACGTATTGCCCATACATAAATTACTTCGTCCTATTATGAAGAACCTTGTAGCTCTTCGTCTTCTCAATAAGCCGACGATGATGCCGCGCTGCAACCGCTGCCTAAAGAGTTATTTTGCGGGTAGCGATGCATGCTGCGTGGCATGGCGACCCTAATACGACGATGCCTCCTAGACCGATACTTTGCGGTCAGCAACTCGGTTGACAAGACTATTTTTGCGTCAATTCGCGTCGAAAATTGATTTAAGATGTGCATGGCATATCGCACTACATCCTACCGTACTGCAGCGGCATGTAGGGCATTATCCTACGCGCAAAATTAAACAATTTTTGTGTGTATTACCGTCCGTCCGACTCGAAGCGTTCTTCCTCGTCACTCTGATCTACCGCTCGACTTTTATCCGCTTGTAAATGAAGACCACGTTGACATACTCACTGTAAAGGGGTAGCCCATTACATGATATTGCAAAACAAAGGGTGCCCCGTTACTCTCGCCGCCCCTGTCTGTGCGCAGCACATAAATCCTATAGATGAAGAGCTTTTTAAACTGGACAAATAATCTCTGAAATTGCTTTTCCGTCAAGTCTTTGTGCACGCGAGGAACACGCGGTAGTAGCTCGACTTGTGGTTGTTGAAGTTGACCCCAATGGCTGAGTCGATTTTGCGGCGTCATCGGCTCCTCGTGGTCTATGCAGATGACGATGCCACTCCTGTCGATGGGTAAGTTGGCGCCATTGTCCCGTTGCGACTGTGTGTTGCGTGTCCGCTTGTCCTCGAGCCACGGCACTTACCTTATTCACTTGTTGTTGGTCAGTAAGATGCCAGAAGCGGGGTTGTATTCAGTGCGCTCGTTTATGTCAGACGCATGGTGATCGAGTCGCTAATAGAAGTGCTTAATCTAACTCTTCTACATCCGTTTCCACTGAGTGCGCTTCGAGCGCAGTCATGATCGTTTATCTAGTACTGTGTCTACCACCGTTCGACGTCGTCTCGACGTAAGGTGCGTTGCTGTTGAACGTGGCGTCGAAAGCGACTACATTGTCGGTTCGTCTATACAGCGTGTTCTTGTCGCCGTTGTACACGAGGACAGGCCTTAGTTTCAATACTATCGTAAAATTACATGCTCTATTCCAGACGCGGCGCTGAAATTACTTTGTTGAGCGTCAACGTCACCTCATCTCCGCGATCGAGAACCTTTATGTGCACGCTGCCGACGCGTTTTATCGCAGTGAAGCTCTGTCAGCCATGACAATCTGATAGCTGCAAGCTGTTGAATCGATAAGCTACGATTTGTCACTCGTGTAATGTTAAGTCAATAAGCCATATTTGTTGCTCGTGAGATGCCAAATTGATCCGCTGTCGAGAATCGATTCGCCCCGTTCAATACTGACAGCATCGTTCTCTGCGAACTAAAGCCACTTGCGCCGCCTGCAGCCATCGCCTTCCGATCCGTTTCGATCACATCAAATCTATTTTCACGGGAGATCTTCTTCGTCTTGTCCTTGCGCTGCTTCGTGCGACTGTGGCAAAGCTGTCACAAGAAAATTTCTATTGGGACTTGGTTCGGCGATCGCACGGATCGCACGCTCTAGTTAAGCCAAGAATGCTATTATTGGTGGATACAGGACGGGACGGGTGGCTGGCAATATCGCACGCAACCTTTTGTGGACAGGATCGTACAGCCTGGGACGAGGCTATAGGGTGGTCACACCCGTTTTGATTACGCAATCCGTCATGAGACGTGGCAAGACAAGATCCTCGATCTCACTGGAAGACCGCAATCCTAACCCAGGATTGCAAGTCCAATCTCCAGCTGCGATCCGCTAGTAGGATCACGATCCGCCAGCAGGATCATGGGGATATCTTGGGTGGGCCACAAGAAGATATAACTGCTGATATACTGGGTGTGAACCACACAAATGCGAGGGGACGATTTCTCTGGAAAGGCGACGCGTGGCATCTGACTAGGATAAACGGATGAGCATAGGGGTAGGGTTTAGGATGGTTAGTAAACATTAAACGGAGCTCAAATTACTTCACAAGGCACACGTCACCTCTTCCGGGTAAGATCTTTGGCCCCGTCGAATAAAGAGTCGCGCTACACGTCTACGCAAGTATCATACCTGGATTGTTTTGGCCAGGTGTGTTCAAGAACTCTCAAGCAACATCAACTGCGATCGGACGCAGCAAGACACGTAAAGGCAAGGCGCAAGATCGCGAGACGACTCATGTGGTTAAAAGGCTCGTTGGTCAAGCAACCACATAGTGGACAAGGCGATCTCGTTGAGATCAGGGTAACTTTTATCATACCCACTAGTACCCCGTGATCGCGTGAAGATTTCCGCACGATCACAACCCCATCCCCGACACGGTCAAGTTTTCCTTCGACACGAGTCCACCTGGAAGAGTGAAACCCGCCCTTCCGACATAAACACAAGGTGAGGAAGGCAACACACGCGAAATCGGAGTACCTTCTTCGTTAGTCGGTAAAGAAAGTGATCGAAGTTTTGCAAAATGCACAGTGAATATATTTAGGTCCTTAGCTCACAACCTCCTGTTGCTACTCTAAGCCTACTGAATTCTTTCTGACTCTACGTTAGTAATCGTCTAGTCGTACATTACTAATCGTCTCGTCGTACGTTTCTAACTCAGATAGTGTGTTTCTAACAAACACCGTAACTTACTAAGATGGGGGACGTCACTGTCTGGCAGGACAGTGCTGGTGAACCCCGGCACACCAGTACCCGAAGGTTTTAACTTTTTGTTGCAGTCACTGGATATCGAACCAGTGACCTCTCGCATGGTGCTGCCACACCAAACCACTTGAGCTACAGGTTCTTGTGCGAATACGCATGCCGAGGCGCATTTGTGACAACACTCCCACTCGCCTCGGCAGAAGTTAGCACCTTGACACCCAGCATGTTCCGTAGATGTTGAAACTGTACTGTAGGAATTGGCTTCGTCATCAGGTCGGCCTTCATGTCCTTGGTCGAGCAGTATTCCAACACCAATGTTCCTTAAGCCACTTTTTCGCGTACAAAGTGATACCGAATGTCAATGTGTTTTGTGCGCTTGTGAAATTCGGGATTTTTGGCCAATGCGATGGAGCCTTGGTTGTCCTCGTAGATCTTGACAGCTTCATCGCTCCTCATCTCGTCGAGCTCACATTATAGTGCCTTCAGCCAAATTGCTTCTTGTGCAGCTTCCGACAACGCCATGTACTCTGCTTCCGTAGATGAAAGAGCCACAGTGCTCTGTTTCTTACTTCTCCAGCTTACACACCCGTTGTTCAATATGAACGTGTACCCGCTCGTGCTGCGTCGAGATTCCACATCGCCTGCCCAGTCTGCATCCGAATAGCCGTGCAGTTTGTCATTGTTTGTTGCTTGATACTCGATTACATATTCCTTTGTGCCTTGGATGTAACGTAACACCCGCTTAAGAGCTTGCCAATGGGTCGGACAAGGGTCTGCCGAGAACTGGCTAAGCACTCCCACTGCAGCTGCAAGGTCTGGGCGTGTACCCACCATAAGGTACATCAAGCAGCCGACTGCGTTGCGAAATGGCACATTTGCCATCGTTTCTTCATGCTTGCACCCATCCACGCACATTGACTTTGTCAGCTTGAGTCCTGGTTCTTGTGGAGTTCTGACAGGATTGCTGTTATCCATGCCAAATTTCTCAAGGATGTCCTTTGCAAATTGGACTGACAAATCGAAATCGTACCAGCTGAACGATCTTGGTTAACTTCCACTCCTAGGAAGTACTTGAGGTCGCCAAGATCCGTCATGTCAAACCGCTCACTTAGCGCATCCTTTGTAGCTCTAATCAGTTCGGCGTTGTTGCTTACGAGGACCAAATCGTCAACGTACAGCGCTACAAAAATCAAGTCTTCTAGATCTCGCTTGAAATAAATGCAATGGTCGGTCTTGCACTTCTTAAAATCCAAGTCCAGCATAAACTTGTCAATGGTCTGGTTCCACATCCGTGGGGACTGCTTCAGACCATATAGAGAGCGCTTTAGCTGGCAAACAAAGTCCGGATGATCTTCATCAACGTATCCATCCGGCTGCGCCATGTAAATATCTTCCTCAAGATGTCCATTTAAAATGCTGTCTTGACATCCATCTGGTGAATCATGAACGAGTACTTCGCCGCTAAGCTGAGTAAAACTCGGATGGATGTGAACTTGGCCACAGGAGCGAAGGTCTCGTCATAGTCAATGCCATGTTTCTGTAAGAAACCTTTGGCTACCAAACGCGCTTTGAACCGCTCGATTCTTCCATCCTTGGTCTCCTTTACCCGAAATACCCATCGATTACCAATTGCCTTGCGTCCCTGTGGAAGCGGCACGAGATTCCAGGTCTCATTTTGACAAAGGGAATTTATTTCGGAGTCACAAGCCTCTTTCCACTTGACTGCGTCGCTGGATTCCATTGCTGACTTGAATGTCCTTGGTAAATCTCCCACTGAATCCACGACGTAGGCAGTCTCAACAGAGTGACTGGTATCAGCAGTCGCAGACATCTCGGCCATGGTAAGGTATTGAGCTCGACGTTTCGCATCAGGAGCGTTGGCCAAGGCCTCGAGCGACTGTGTGCGTTGGTGTCTCTTAACGCCGGGTTCATCAACGCCATCCATTGTAGCCTCTTCAAAATTCATGTTGCTGGTGTCATGAGAGGAGTAGTCCTCCATAGGTACATCCTCATCTTCCATAAAAGCTTCTTCTTCGACGACGGCTCCATCTTGCACATAGTCGCGTCTCCCACTGTCGAAAACATTCTCCATGAACTGTGCGTCGCGACTGACCAGTACACGACGACTCTTGATCTCCTGGAAACGGTACGCTTTTTCATGGTCAAAGTATCCAATGAACCGACACTGAATCGATCTTGCATCGAGCTTGGACCGCTTTGGATTGGGCACATGCACGTATGCATGACAACCGAACACCTTCAGGTTTGCAAGTATAGGTTTCTTACCACTCCATACTTCGTAGGGTGACTTGTCGTGACTTGTTGAACGACTTGGACAGCGAAGACGTAAGAAGTTTGCAGTCATGACTGCCTCACCCCAATACGACTTGGATAACTCAGCATGTTCCATCATGCAACGAGCGCTTTCCACTAATGTCCGATTCATTCGCTCCGCGACACCGTTCAATTGAGGAGTGTAAGGCGGCGTGAATTTCTGCATGATACCATGGTCCGCACAGAACTTGGACATCGTTCTGGAAGTGTACTCACCACCATTATCGCTTCGAAGAGTCTTCACACGTTTGCCAGTTTGGGTTTCCGCCAACGCAACAAATTGAGCGAACTTGGTCGCTACTTCAGACTTGTTTTGAAGCAGATACACTACACAGTAGTGCGAGTATTCGTCAATGAAAGTCACGAAGTATCGTTTTCCACTGAAGGTAGGAGATTTCATGGGGCCACACACATCGCTGTGAATGACCTCCAGCAACATACGTGCTCGGTCGGGTGACTTGGGCATATAGCTCACACGTGTTTGTTTGCCAAGTGCGCATCCTTTACAAAACTCCCACTTCTGCACAGACTTCATGCCGATTCCACTGCCGTAATCTTTCTTGACGATGGCGTCTAGACCACCATGACCAATGTGGCCAAGTCGAAGGTGCCAGAGGTAGGAAGTGTTGTCTCCTTTGAAGTTTATTGGACTCGCCACATTGACCTCGTCAGGAAGCACCGGTGTCATACAAAGCTTGAACAATCCCTTTCCTTCTAGAGCGCCTAGTTTCCACTTGAAACCTTTCGTTTCCGCGAAGCAACCATCGACTTCAAAGGTGACAGGCCCCACGTCCTTGATGAATCTTCCAACGGAAAATAAGTTTCGAGATAACTTTGGGATATGCCACACATTTGTAAGCACACCCTTCTTGACGCCCTGACGAGTCATCATTGACATGACAATGTCACCCTTTCCAATCATTTGTACAACTCCATCATCAGCAAGATGCACATCTACTGGTCCAAAGTCCTTGTAGTTCCTCATGAACTCTTTCGAACTTGTCATGTGCTGCGTCGCCCCTGAATCGACCAGCCACATGTAACTCGACTTGGTCTTGCCACCACCAAACGAGAACAGGTAATCGCCAAGCTTTGGTTCTTGCGCGATGTTTGCACGCTGGTACCTGTGTCGATCAGCGTCTTCCTGGATGCGCGAGGGGCATTCGGCAATCCAATGTCCTTGCTTTCACCAATTGTGGCACGCACCGGTCTTCTTAGCCGGTCGAGCCTTGCGCTTGTTGTCTCTTGACATGAATGCTTGAGCTTGACCGTGCGCGGCTCCTTCGACGAGCGAACCAGTGGCAACTGCGAATCCTCCATCGCAAGACAGATTATCGCTAGCGCCTTTCGCGACTTTCGCTTGAACGTCGCTTGGTCCAAAGTACTTGTACAGTGCTCGATCTTGACCTCGCCGCTCACGACGTCCCACAGGTCTCGCTCCTCCAGCACCATTTGCATCTTGAACTTCCACACATGGAAGTTTGTTCCGGAGAACTTGTTAATGCGAGCGGCGGTAAACAGAGACGAGTCCATGGCGAAGGCGTGATCGAGGTCTTTGTCAGAGTCTGCGAAGCTTGGGCTCATAACCTAAAGGAAGTGATCGAAGTTTTGCAAAATGCACAGTGAATATATTTAGGTCCTTAGCTCACAACCTCCTGTTGCTACTCTAAGCCTACTGAATTCTTTCTGACTCTACGTTAGTAATCGTCTAGTCGTACATTACTAATCGTCTCGTCGTACGTTTCTAACTCAGATAGTGTGTTTCTAACAAACACCGTAACTTACTAAGATGGGGGACGTCACTGTCTGGCAGGACAGTGCTGGTGAACCCCGGCACACCAGTACCCGAAGGTTTTAACTTTTGTTGCAGTCACTGGATATCGAACCAGTGACCTCTCGCATGGTGCTGCCACACCAAACCACTTGAGCTACAGGTTCTTGTGCGAATACGCATGCCGAGGAGCATTTGTGACAACAGTCGGTTGTCCGAGCGCCAGTAGAGAGTTGGGATCGACTCATAAAATGAGCGGTCGCCACTCCTCCACACGACCATTGAGTATCCACTCGATCAAGGCAAGCACCATGCTGCTCCCGCTATTCAAATCGCTCGCTTCGTCGTCGTGCACGAACCTCTCCTTACATCTGGCTACTACGTGTCCCATTCTGTCGCACCGAAATTACGTCCGCATGCTTAAGCGCTTCTTCTCGACAAATTCGCAACGAATTCGCGTCCGATTGTAGCACTGTAGACCTCAGTCGACTAGGCGTAAGAGCAAGTTCCTTCTCGTGCCACAAGCACACGGACCATGTTAAGTCTGACTTATCGTTTAAGACGTTCGTTAGCTTTGGCGACGTGTGGAATACATTTTATCGATCGCACTGAGTCTGCGTCGGACCCAAAATCCACCTGTTTATGGTAAGATCACTCCGTTGTGTCTACCAGGAAGTGGCAGAGTAGGGAAAAAGCTACGTCTTCGTTCCACGCCTAGCCGCAAGACGCCTCTGCGATTTCACTACGTACAGGAGGGAAGTCTCGAATCCTTGAAGCCGCTGCCAAGAAATTGCACGGTTAGGTCTTGTTGAAACTTCTAGATTTACAGCTCGAGCAATCTTGTGCTCGGCATCCCGTGCTCTCGCGGTCTACTTGAGCGTGCGACGCTGCTTTTTGACGCGGCACGGGCAAGGCACCGCTGCTAGCGTCGGCGCGCGATGTTGAGGCTTCATCTGCTCGTAGGTTTTAGCAGTATAAAAAGTGGCTAACTAGCGTCGATCGTGCGTACGAGCGTCTTCGGGTCGCTTGCTTTTTTTCGGGCAATCTGAGAGCGGCGATCGTGATCATTATGTTGCGCTTGTTCACCACAAGCGCTGAAGCGAATATTCCGCTCTCATCCGCGCCAAAATCCACGCGTAAAGGCTCTAGCTTTGACACTTCATCGATTACGAGGGCTAGGGCTGCGAGAAACTTGTCGTAAGTACACTCGCTCCTTTTGCAAGCGGACGGGAAATTAAAGCCTACGAGCTCAAAATATTTGGTGTCTTTGCAGTCACTTTGCTATCTCCTGCCATTAGACTTGCTCCCCATCGGTCGGTTTGCGTTTGGCAGTAAGAGGCAGTGAATGTACAGTTTGATAATGTATTACACTTGATGCATTCTCTTCTTCCTGTTGTTTTAATCATTTATCCAATCATATGCCATGGAGCCGCTCTGCCTCCTTTACGACGGATGACGCTTATTAAAACATCGCGCCGATTCTTCGCCTTATTGTATAGCAAATTCCTCACTTTTCTTAAATTAATGCATCGTCGCGTAATTAAGCAAACAAGCGACGCTAGTTTGGCATGCGTTATTGCATCTAATGTTGCAGATTGTGCAGCCTTCAAATCAAACACGTATAAAAATTGGGTTTAACTGGCGTACACTTGCCTGCAAACGATAAACTACTCTTTTAAGAAAAATGTTTTTTTTAATTATTTTGATGGCAAGTCAAGCCCTGCTTTTTCTCTACACACATTTTTTTTGTGAAGAGAATAATTTAGAATTACATGGTTGTATGCATGTCAATAATATTATTTACAATTTAGTGGGTCTTACACCATACCTACACGCTGGAGACATCGAGCTTCACCGCATGTGCTAAGAAGTACTGTTTCATACGTCTTCAGATGGAAAAATATGCCGTGTAGTACAACAGCGGAGTATCCTAAAAAGAGAAAGCAGATCGATCAGCACATAATGAGTTCAAGACAGTAAAAGTGTAACGAAGCATCCAATTCTTGTACTGCCTCAGTACAATCTTCGTCGCCTAAATACAGATAACCAAAAGAATTGAATACATATACGTATGTACTGATACTAAATTTTGTCCGAAAAATTGTTACTCTTGACGAGTATTGTTATAGTCGATTTAGTAAAAAAGTATCGTTTCAAAAAATCTCAATTTGAAACTCTCTTATGTTGGTCTAAAATTAAAAAAAAAATACAAAAATATTTTAACAATTGTTTCTTAATGCGTCGTAGCTCGTTAGGTTTATTACCAACTGCAATGAATGCTTAATATAGGAAAATAAATTTTAAAGAATAATGACGACAAATAATTCACATCAAATTCACCGCACGTAAATATCGTAATCGGACACACATAATTTCAAAAGTTCAAGTCTACTGACTATATGCAATTTATGCTGCAGCAGCGGTAGTTTATCACGGTACGAGCCGTTGATGCGTTGACGACACGATATATGCTACGCTCTTTATAATCATATCAGGCTACTGCAACTATAGAATTATAGTTGAATAAAAGATTTAATTGCTAACTCTCCTGACGAGACAAACTTAATAAAAACAACAGGCAGCTCATTTACAGATATAATCACTTAGTACCCCAAGTTTCGATATAAAATATATAAATCGTGTAAATTGACTGTACTTTATATAATATTATCACATTATCGCTTCAGACACTCATTACATGCATTTCGCCGTGTTCGTCTAATATAACTTATTTCTAACAAAATGATTTTTTAAACACGACACCTCCGAAAAAAAGATTTATGACTAAAACTTAAACATCCCGAGGATGAATTGTGATTGATTACATGAGTCACACGGATGCACTTGTGCCGGGAGATATCTGCTCCAAACTCGATTCATTAATGTCACAAAGATGCTCCGCACTTCGACTTTATACCCTTTGTACAAATAAGGTATAAAGCCGAAATTAGAATAGAATAAATCGACCAATAGAAAGCAAGAAACGTTCAGTTTACTCAAACAACGAGGTTTTTGCATATAACTAATTATACAGTTTATAAGTCGTTTTTATTGCGCAAAAATGAAATTGGCAATGAGCTTCATTTTAAAGCTCTCCGGAGAGTAGAAGATTAATTAGCTGGTGCCCCAATTGTCTTTGTTTAGCACATACGCGAATCTGATCGTCTTGGGGAAATAACGGAGGTGCTCGTATTTGCTGAGTATACGAGAACACTGAAAAATGCGAATGCATCGTAAAAACCTTCAGATATACATTTATATACGAAGGATATAATATCATTTTAAAAACGGGCACTATTCAGTAAACATGGTAAATTTTTTATGTATTAACTATTCAGCTAGTAAAAAGCTTTTCTAATTCAGTTATAGGCTTTCATATCGTGGAACTATGTAAAAATTGTATTTAAATACCGAAAACTACTTGATGCAGTATCAGACTTACTTGATGTTGACCCTAAAGCGAATTTAAAAAAATTTAAGAGCCATTTTTCGACAAATTATGTGTCGATCTTCGAGAGATTAATTAATGAATGATCTACATAAATTAGGTTCGAAATAGTAATAACGTGTAGGTGGATACCGATATCAAGGTTTTGTACGTTGTCAACGGTCATTTACAACTACACCAACAATTAAAAAAATGCATCATGCTCATTACTAACTAAAAGATCATACGAATCTTTTACAGTCAGTATGTGGCTTTTCTTTAGGTGAGGTTGTTATCATTCGTGCTTTCGCTTTATATAACCATAACCTTACATTATGAGACCTTGGACCCAATTCGTACAGTGTAGGCCGGGATATAGATATAATCTTGATATGCATGCTACCCTTGCTATCAATAGGTTCGATTTAGATTGTTTTACATCCATGCGTGTTATTAATACATGATCTCGAACAAGTTACGATCACACAACACCCTTTGGCTGACGCTCGTTAAGCTATTCACTCTTTGTTAAAACCCCATACTTACAGCATGTTATACGGTACGATAACATCTTGTGATGAAATATCGGCTCTTTTTGGTGCACACAAATCAACAGTGCTGTTTGCAGGGCTTTACTTGAATTCAATGATTGCTGAATATAAGAAGATAGGAGGATGAACTAAGACAAGGTTCTTATTCGACCCTGTTCTCACACTGGCGAAAATAGACGTACAGTAGTGTCAGTATGCCCTGCGCACAGCAGGCGTAAATACTAAGTCTATTAACAAGTTAAGCATAGAAGAAGTTGATTTATTAATGCAGAAGGCTAAATAGCGTAACGTCATTAAAACAAAGGATGTAACTGATTTACTAAATAGCGTTACGTCGGTCAAACTTAGGATGAGACTGAGATAGGTGATTTTTACAGTAGGATGTGACTACTCTAATTTATCTATTTTATGTGCATACGTGGTATCCTGTAGACCTTTTTATGCAAAAATGCATTGGGGTAAAGGCTATTTTTATCAGGCTCAGTATCGGATTCCTTAAAAACTATAATAAGCATTTTAGATTAAGGAATCCTCAGACAAGATAGGAAGTTACGAATGGCTTCTGTTTTCACTAAGCATAACACGATATTGTGTGTTGCTAAAAGCTCAATATCTTTAGAATAGTAAACCCCCCTCGATTTTTAAAATATACCATTGGTTTCATATAACCCAAGTGATTGGCTGATAATGAATCGGAAATAAAAGATAACTATCACACCATTTGCTTTTAAATGGCATTTTGAATTTAATTATATAATTGAACCTTTTTGCGCGAAAAATGTCG